CCTGCGAGTCTTCGCCTGGGATCCCCTTGGGGTCACTCTGGCCGGGAGGGAAGCAGAAAGGGCACTTCATCCCCAGTTGTTTCAGCCTTCAGCGGAAGAAACTGAGGCACTAGAGTTAAGTGATCATCACGGCCCACAGGGCAGCCCTATGGCAGCCATGGAGGGCGCTCAGACCAGGCTCCTAGAAGTCCCCGAAGTTCTGCTGACCTGAGGGGTGGGAGGAAGGCAGCACCACCCTGCTCTCCCACCTCTCCCTCCATCCCTTCCGCCCTTTTGCAGGGCTTTGATGAAGACCTGCAGCAAGAGGGCACGCTCCTTGGCACATTCACCTACAATCAGGACGGGGAGCCCATTCAGACCTTCCACTTCCAGGTACAAGACAGTCACAACAGTGGGGTGGCACTTTGCTTTCCCATTTGGGCACCAGATGTTTCCCCTGCACTTGTTCTGCCAGGCGCAGGGTTCAGAGAGACAGACACAGGCCCTCCTGCCCTTAGAGTACAGAAGTGGAGATATCACATCCTAGAGATGGCTACCGAGGGGCCCCTTCCAGAAGTGCAGTGTCAGGAGCTTCCTGAAGCAGGGTGCGACCAAGGAGAGTTTTAGGAAAGAAGGGTTGGGGTGACCAGGAAACACAGCTGTGAAGGGTGTTCTGGGAAGAGAGGCCAGCTTGTGCCAGGGCATGGCCAGCTGGGACCTTAGGCAGTGCCTGTGGCTTAAGCTTGAGTGGGCATCAGGTCTTCTGTGTTAGAAATGCAGATCCCTAGGCCCTGCCCTAGGAGAATGATTCCTTAGGCCTGATGACACCTGAGAAGCTGCATTCAAGCAAATGCGAGGCAAGTGAGGAAGGGGGAATTGTAAGAGATGGGGAGGGCACAGTAGCAGGGAGAGGCCCAGGAGGCAGGAATTTCAGGCCTCAGGGCTGGGGGGGGAATGACACTGGCATGTCTTAGGTGATAGTAACATGTGCATGTTAAGATCAAATGTGATCAATCCCTAGTATCCCCCCCAAAAAAAATCAGATATGAATGGAAGGAGACAAGCCTGGAGTCTAGGTGCAGGGTGAGCAAGCGGGGTCCGGAAGTGGTTGCAGGGAAGTGGGCCAGAATGGCTGAGGTCAGAGGGGGATGTGGGGGGTGAGGATGGGACAGCTGGGAGGCCCTGAATGTCAGGCTGGAGGAGCAGGGGACAGCTTGCACGTTGGTGGAGAGCTGGGGAGTGCTTTACCCACCATGCACACCCACCTGTGGGGCTGTCCAGTGGCACTGAAAGGGATTAGATGTAAGGACAGCTGTTATTAGCTCCAGGGTGACGAGAAGTCCTGGGAGGGAGGCTTTTCTGGGTAGTGTGAAGGGAGGATGCAGGAAGGGTCAAGGGAAGGGGACCGGAGAGGCACTATGCCACGCCTGTGGCTTCCGCAGGGTGAGATGTGATGCAAACACTGGCTCATACACTGGCTTTAAGCACAGAGGACCAGGCCAGTGGGCACTTGAGAAGGAGAAGAACCACATCAACATATGTCAGGCCCTCCATAAAGGCATTTCTGTCCCCTCAGAGCCAAGTCATCACTGTCTTAATATATTGTGCTGGTCCTTGGCACCAAGGCCATTTGCAGGTAGCCTGAAAGCCAGGCCTCCTCGTGCAGGCCCACAGGGTCAGTGGCCCTTGGGCTGGCAGCTGTTCCAAGAGACTGAAGAGAGGAACTTTTGACATCTGGTTCCCTTCAGAGCCTCAGGGGAGGACAGGGAGCCATCTGGCCCGAGATGATGTGGCCACCTCCCCATGCCCTTCTCTCAAAGGGGTCCATGACACTCTTAACCCCTATCTCTGTGCAGACCCCTAAAATGGCGGAGTACCAGGTGGTAGAGCTGCGGATCCTGACCAACTGGGGTCACCCTGAGTACACCTGCATCTACCGCTTCAGGGTGCACGGGGAGCCTGCCCACTAGCCCCGAGCCTTTGTGCCTGCTGCCAGCCAGGGGGTGCACCCCTCCCCGCACATGCTCAGCTCCAGGATGGGTGTGCAGCACCCTGCCACTGCCTTCACATGCTTGACCAGTGCTCTGACTTCCGGGAACAAGAAAGAAGAGCCCTGGCCCCAGGGAGAGGAGAAAGTGCTGGAGTCCCCTTCACCCTTTGTCCTCCGAGCTGGGCCATGGGTGTACAAATGTAGCATACCATGGGGGACTGGGAGGCAGGAACTGAGGCGCCTACCCTGGCCCAGGTGGAAGTGTGTGGATGAAGCAGGTGCCTGGGTGGGCAGAACCAGGGCCCGGGAGGTGCAAAGTGCCCACATCAGTCAGGGAAGCACAGCCTTGGGGGAGCGTGCATCTACAGGCTGGGACTGTCCCCAGGCAGGAGACCCTCTGCAAGGCTGGTGCCAGTGACCTGGAGAAGCCAGGTCCCCAGGACCCCCAAGGGTCTCTAGAAGCTATATTTGCCCAGGGTAGAGAGGCTGCCTGTGCCAGCCTGTAGAACTCCTTGCGCTTTTTCTCTCCTGATGCCAGGGTGAGGGCTGCCCTGCACCCTGTTTCTGCAGTGGGCCTGCCTGTGCCCCACAGCAAGCTTCACACATATCCCAGGCTGTGGGGTGCCCAGGCCTATCTAGGGGCCATTAGCTAGAATGGGGGAGCAGGGGATTTCCTGGGCTCCCCTCATCAGTGACGATGATGACGGTGTCATTCAGGGTGTCGGGTGGAGGGAGGGCTGTCTGTACTAGCCCACTGCCCTCTAAGTGGGCCTGGCGAGGGCCCTTCCTCAGGCTCCCCTTGGGCTCTCAGCTCCCTCTCAGACTGTTTCTTTTCTGGCTCCTCTGCAAGGGCAGTAGGGTGGGGGCTGGGAGGGAGGCGGAAAAGGGGCTTTTGGACCCACAGGCCCTGCTGTATTATGTATATATTTTTCAAGGTCTGTTTTTTAACTGAAAAGCTAAGGGCTTGATTCTTAGCCCCGTTCTGTGGGGCACTGGGTGGTTCTCAGTTCCTTGGTCCCGGCCTGTGGGGAGTGGGCATGAGGGGCTGTGGGCAGGCGGGTGCCCTGTGCTACAGGACGGGGCCCTGCTCAGCCCTGCCCCTGCCCGAGACAACCAAGTCTTATTTTGCGCTCTCCTGTCACAAATGCTGCACTGTTGGTTCTTAAATTTTTTTTTTAATCTCCAGATTCTAATTTATGCCTATGCAAAAAATAAAGGATGCCCAGGATCAGTGGAACGTGGTTTTTATTGGTCACTGCACAGGGCAGCTGCTCTTGGGGAAATGAGGGAATGGATTTTTAGCTAAACCCATGTCCTCCAGGGCTAAAGTGTAAGAACCCAGGACTTCCGGTTACAACCCAGTTGTAATGGGGCTGGAACCAGTGTTGCAGGGCCCAAGGCTGGCAGGAGGAAGTGGGCTGGCTTTATGAGCTGTCACAGAGGCCCTATGGGGAGGAGGCCCTGCCTGTCCTGTGCCAATGAGCAGAGGCAGAAAGTCTGTGGCACAGAAACCATGGACCCCATCCACCTTACATGTGACTCCTCCATAGGTCCTAGACTGGCAGGGAGGGGACAAAGTAAGTCCCCTTATGCACCAGGATCTGTCAGCTCAGCAGGAAGACGTCCTGACCTTCCTGGACAGCTGCCCAGACTCAGCTCAGGGACAGTTCTCTAGCTGGCCCCGAAGCCTCGTAAACTAACCCAGGCACCTTGCCCAGGGCTGGGCCTGGCCATGGCTGAGAAAATACAGGCAGGAACCACACAGCAGGGAGGGGTGGGCAGCTAGCCAGCGACAGGAAGGGATGGGAGGAGGGCAAGTCCAGTAGGGCCTTCGGGTCTGGAGAGCGGGACAGAGCGGGACCTGCACTCACCTCCTGCTCTGCCTCTCCTCAAACCATTTGCTGACCAAGGTGACGTCCTGGGCAGGAAAGGGTGATAAACAGGTCGCTGGCACTTGCACACCAGGATGCAGTCTGCCGGTCTCTCCAAGTGCAGATCCTGCTGGCTCAGGGCACCTTCCCAACCTTACCCAACACTAAGTCCCTGCATGGGGCCCACTCCTGTTCCTTCATCTCGCTCCCTATTAGGTGCAACTGAGCAAGATAGCTTGTGATGGGGATCTGGTTACCTCCACCCCATCCCATCCGGGGCCTCCTCCTGGCTAGATGCCAAAGCTCCTCCCTGCTGGCTGGCCAGGTCAGGCCCTGCCATCTAAGAGCAACTTTACTTTCTGTCAGTCACAGTGGGCTGGTGCTTTGTTCCAGTGCATGGCAGGAGGGCTGGGACCTCTGCAGTCCCTGTGACCCACACTGGAATGCTGATTCAGTTAGCTCCCTGCTGGCAGACGTGGGCCGAGGGAACAGACCCACCCTCCAGAGTGTCTGAGGACAGAGGCCAGGCTGGCTAGAGCTCCCGAAAACAGAATGGTTGTGGCGTTGGCCATTGCTTGGAGAAGCAGTGTTCAAACAGGAAGAGGCTCCACCAAGGCTCAGCCTAGACTCCTGCTGCTCCAGGTACTCAGTGCAGCCCTCTTGTTAGGAAGGCACCGGCCTAAGCCAGCCAGAGCCCACAGAGCAGCGCAGACAGGACGCAGCCGACAGACACAGGTGGCAAGAATGTAGCACAAGGAATAGGGTAGGGCTGCCAGCAGCGCATAGGCCGAGCTTTAGTTTCCTCAAACAGCAAAACAGAGCGAACAATTCCTCCCTCAGAGACAGAAGCTGTGACTGTCACAGACCATGACACACGCTGAGTCCACCTGGTCGTCCAGGCCACTCAATAGCCCCGTCAGTGCCACACTCCACGCCTCTCCAGCCTGCCGGCCTGCCAGGGCCCCTACTCTCACTGACTGCACAGCCCTGGCGGAGGGTCTGCCTCTTGCTGTAGATGAGGAAACTGGCAAGCTGTCTGTGTCACACAGCATAAGCTGAGAAGCTGTGCAGGCCTCTGCTGGGCACTCGAGGGCAGGCTGGCCACAGAGACCCTGTGGTAGCACTTCCACCTGGAGGGCTGGGCAGGGAACACAACACTGTCAACTTGAAACAAACTTTTATTGTGAATGCTGGTCTGGTCGGTCCATGGCCATGGGGCAGTGGTAACTAGAAACAGTTGAAAGGAGGGGAGAGGGGAACCAGCAGTAGGGAGCAGAGGACAGGAGGCGGGTGGGACAGGGAGGTGAAGCTGACGAAAGACCCAGCCAGCTGGGTGTCTGGCCTGGCTAGAGAAGGAAAGTGGGCCCACCACCCTAAACGGAAGGCTGCAGGGCAGAGCCCAGTCCAGGACAGCCTGGGCCATGTCACCATCTCCGGCCTGCACAGCTCCACCTGCCCTGCCCCAGGCAGCAGTGCTTCTCAGCGCTAAGTGCTCTGTGTTGGGCCCAAGCATGCCCGCCCCCATCCCCGGCAGGGCCTTCAGACCCGGGGCCGAGCCCTGAACTGTTGTGCTCCTGCAGCAGCTGTGCTGGACTGAGGTGGGCACGAGGGGCCCGGAAGAGAGACCCTCTCCCTACCAACCAGAGGTGCTAGAAAACCCAGTCCTGAGCAGCCTAGCCCTAGTCTAGTAAACCAGTGCCCTGAGGCCCAAGCAAAGGCCAAGGTTGCAGCAGGAGGGGGCTCGAGTGGTGGCAAGGAGCCAGCCTCAAAGCTGGGCAGATCGGCAGGAGCAGGAGTAGCCAGGGCCAACCCAGGCAAGCACAGGATTGTCTCCAAGGGGAGCCCTGCAGGTGCCCCGGAGTGGGGCGCAGGTCGGGGCCAGGGTGGGATGAGTCCTGCAGCCCAGTCGCCACTCCCTCACACTCACAGGTTTGACTGAGGAACTTTTGGCATCACCTGTTTGAGGGCTAAGGGGAAGCGGAGCGAGAAAGAGACGAGGGGAAGCCACCGTTTCCTCCCTGTTAACATCACCAAGTCCTGGGCTGCAGGTTCTCTGCCCTGGCAGTAGCAGACACAGAGTCCCAGAAGCCTGAGAACCCAAGGCCAGCCTTGCAGAGGGACCTGCAGTGGCAGGAGGAGCACTGAGAAGGGAAGGTGGCCTCCTTCAGCTCCTGATGTCTGCTACAGCCTCTGAGGATCTCACCACGACAGACACATGGACGGATGGATGAACGGATGGGAAGGCCAGCCACGGAGGAGAAAAGGACAGGGCCCTGGCCACCGCCACACTCCTGGGCCTCACACACACACACCACGCTGAATAGAGACAGAGATATATAATAAAAAGATAAAAACTAAGGGCCCAGATGTACAAAAGATGTGTGAGTGAGGAAGGAGGCAGGGAAGAAGGCAGGAAATGGTCAGTCCTCAAAAAGTCTGGCCACTTTCCTCATTTATAAATTACAACCCCCCTGGAAAACGGAGGTGGAGCAACGGAGAGGCTCTGGCTGTGGCCTGGGAGTGGGCGGGTGCGGTCAGCTGCTCTGCCCAGCTGGTGAGTGGTGGCCAGAGTGAGGATCCCTGGGTGGCAGGGCTGGGCCAGGGAAGATTCAGCAGCCGCTGGCAGGAGTCACACAGGCCCCCTGGGACTTCACCTTGTGGCGCTGGCCCCCTCGTCGTCGGCCCCCACTGCTAGGCTTGGGCTGAAAGAGAGAAAGGAGAAGCTTGAGAAGCACTGTCCCCCGAGAGCAGAATGGAACAGCAGGGGCCAGGTAGAGGGGCAGTCTGTGAGGTGACCTCGCCCGCTGCACCACCTGTCTTTGAAATGGAGCCTTCCTTGCATGGCAGGACACACATACACACGCCACTCTCAACACTATGTCTACTCTTACCATGAAAGGGAAATCTGACATTTTTCTATTCTATTTTACTTCATTAAAACCAAATGCTAGTCAGGACCAATTACACTGATGGGATGTGGGCCACATCCCAGCTGGAGAAACTCTGCCTTAGTAAGAGACAGCACTTGGGTGGCACCTGCAAGAGCAGTTGCCAGGACCCCTTCCCACAAGGCCAGGCTTCCCTGGGCCACGCCCTCCTGTCCCCTGCCCAGGACCCTGGGGCCTCACTCACCTGGGGCTGCAGACCGCTGCACGTGCCCGGCTGCCCAGCACCGAGAGATGAAGCTTCGTCTCCGGGAGGGGCTGCCCCCGCCGCTCCTGCCGCCACAGACCCGCCAGATGGCGCCCCCTCTTCTCTTTTGGACAGTGGGCCCTTTTTCGTTGACTGCATTTTAATCTGCTGGGGCTTGGAGTTCATCGGGGAGTTGTTAGTAGTCTGGAGCAGCTGCGGGAGCCAAAGAGGCGAGGGTGAGGCCAGAGCTGCAGAGCAGTGGCATGAGCGGCCCAGCCAGGTCCCTGTCCCCTTCTCCCAGGGGACTTTACCCCCAGTCTGGTTGGTCCTACACAGGGTGCACGGCAGGACGGCACGCCAGAGAGCGGCCAGGGGAGGTCTGCTCACCCTAGTCTGAGTCTAGGACCTCGGAGCCTTGGGGGTATCTCTTCCCTTCCCACCTCCCCACACCCAGGCAGATCCATCCCATTCCCACTCCTGGCCCAGCACCGGCCCACAGAGCACTCCCTGAACCTCTCTGCTGCCTCCCAGCCCAGCTCCCAGCTCCCAGGCTGGCATCCAGCCTGCCCACAGCCTGCTCTGAGCCAACTTTAACTTCAGGCCTCCCAAAGAGACCAAATGAATGACTCATCAGCTAAAAGCACATGTGGAGTCTGTGAGATATCTACCACCTAGACAAGACGTGATGGTGAATGCCCGTAATCACGGTATTTGGGAGGCTGAGGCAGGAGGATCACCATGAATTCGAGGGCAGCCTGGGCTAGACAGTGAGTTCAAGGCCAGCTTGAACTACAGAGCAAGACCCTGTCTCAAAAATGAAACAGGAACAACAGAACAGGCTACCACTCAGGAGCAACTAACTGCCTTCCCTTAGGGTTCTTCCCCTGGGGTTCAGTTCAGTCTCAGATCTAGCAGGGAGGAGGCCCAGCCCAGTCCCAGAGAATGCTAGTGTGTGCTGCGGCCTCCCCCACACTCCTGGCCGGACCTTCAGGGACACAAGGCTATAAAGAGGACAGGAAGAGCCAGCCTGAAGCTGACTCCAAGATCTCAGACATGTGGAGACCACATCTTCCTCTGTTCACGACAGAGGTCAAAGCCTCCACTGAATGCCCCACCCATGCCAGGGGTGAGGTCTGCAGAGGGCAAAGTGGGCTCCTGGACAGACACAGAGCTCAGCCCCAGGAAACCCACAGCCACGGCCCTGCAATGTCCAGCACTCACTCAACCAGACACGTGGCACTGTAGGGACAGGAGTCAGAGCTGGCACCTTGGAGGAGGACCCTGGCCAGGCCCAGGACATCAGCCCCACCATTTCCCAGGAAGAGAGGCCAGGACCCAACCTCAGCTCTCCTCCAAGGCCACACCAAAACCCAGGATGGGAGACCCAGGGACATCTCCTGCAGCAGGAAAGAAGCCGGTAGAGAAGCCACATCTCAGTGCTGTCCAGCCTTGCCCAGGGAGGCAGAGGGAAGGGGCCTGCCAGGGTTCTCAGGAGGAGCTTGAGGTGCTCACAGTCACCCTGCCAGAGTGACCCCTGGAGCATACTGCAGCAGGTGAGGAAGGTCCAGGCCATACCTTGGTGATGGTGCCAACAGCCTTGGTGCGGCCTTCTCGGAACACCAGCCGCTGGTCTATGTGCAGGTACTCAGGGGTCTTAATGAAGCGGAAGTGGACAGTGGCCTTGTCCCCAGTACGCAGGCAGTCCTTGTCCATGCTCAGAATGGTGGCCGTCTGCCTGATGCTCCCACAGTGCACTGCCAAGGGAGCAGGAGGTCAGGACAGGCTCGGGGTGCTCTGTGGCGTCAGGACAACGGGACAGCGAGTGAAAGCATGAAATACACCAGAGCTGCAGCTCCAGGGGCTCATCTCTAGGGTCAAAGCCCCTGAGGGAGTGTAGGGAGCGAGCTGGAGGCCTGTGCTTAGCCTGATCCTGCCTCCACTCTCCCCTTCCTCTGGTTGGGCCAGCGTGCTCACCCGACACCCTAGTTCCAGGGATTACAGGGTGCTGTGTCTGCACCTGTACCTAACTGGATGTTGAGCCACCATGTCATCTTTGTCCCAGCACCTCAGCAACAAAGCTAGGCACACAGCAGAACACAGCTGGGAATGAAAGTGAGGTCCCTGAGGACAGGTCCCTCAGGGCCCTCAGTGACCATCTGCAGGACCAGCTCAACACTGCAGCTCATGGGCAGAACTGAAGGAATGGCTGTGTCAAACAGGATGGGGATGTGGATCTCCTTTTGGCTGGAGCTGGATCACTATTTTGTGGGAGCTAGGGCGGGGCCTGTAAGGCCCAAAACACATACCCATGGCCTGGTAGCGTGGGCTAATGGTGGTGGGGTGATGGAGGACAAGAATCTCGGCCTCAAATTCCCAGGATGCTTGAGGATTCAAACGAGGGGAAACCATCACCATGCCTTTCCGGATAGATGAGCGCTTGATCTGAAAGAGACAGGAAACACACAGCTCAGGGCTGATGATGCCTTCTGCTTTTGCCCCAGTCCTGGAGAACCAGGACTTTTTCTAGGAACAGGGACCACCCACCCAAGCCCTGCCCTCACCACCTTCTAGGGTGGCCTACAGAAGGCAGCCTTAGCACTACATGGGAAGCTACATACTGCCACTGGGGAAGGAAAAAAGCTTTCGAGCAGAACTGACATTTCATTAAGTGGACAAAAACTGAAAGCTTTCACTCTAAAATCAGGAACAAGACAAGGATGTTCACTGTCACCACTCTTATTTAATATAGTTCTGGAAACATTAGCCAGAGCAATTAGACAAGAGAAGACATAAAAGGAATAAGGGTAGGAAAGGAAAAGTTAAATTATCATTATTTGTAGATGACATGATATTCTACATAGAAGACTCCAAAAGACTTCTAGATTTAATAACCAAATTCAGTAGTATAGCTGGAAACAAAGTCAACACACAAAAATCAACATCATTCCTGTACACAAATAACAAACTCACTGAGAGAGAAATTAGGGAAACAACACTTTTTACAATAGCATCCCAAAAAATGAAATACTAGGAATCAGTCTAACAAAGGAACTAGAATACCTTTACATGGAAAACTACAGTACTCTGAAAAAGGAGATCAAGGAGGCTACCAGAAAATGGAAAGATATCCCTTGTTCTTGGGTAGAAAGAATCAATATAGTGAAAATGGCCATACTTCCAAAATTCTTCTACAGATTTAATGCAATCCTGATCAAGATACCAATAGCATATCTCACAAATTAGAGAAAACAATCCTAAAATTCAGAAAAGACTTAGAATAGCAAAAGCAACTCTGAACAACAAAGGCAAGGCAGGGAGCATCACAATCCCTGACTTAAAATTATACTACAAAGCTACTGTGATAAAAACAGCATGGTATTGGGGGAAAAAACAGAGCCAAGGATCAATAGAACAGATTAGAAGATGGAGAAACAACCCCAGACATACTCAGGCATCTTACGTTTGACAAAGGAGCCAAACCTTCACTGGAGGAAAGACAGCCTCTTTAAAAAATGGTACTGGAAAAACTGGATTTCCATTTGCCAATGATTAAAACTCAACTTATCTCTCTCATCATGCACTAAACTAAAATCAAAATGGATCAAAGATCTAAACATTAAACAGAAACACTAAACCTGCTGGAAGATAGAATAGATAGAACTCTTAAAGACATTTGTGTAGGCAAAGACTTTATGAACAAAACCCCAATTGCACAGGAACTATCACACAAAGAATCAACAACTGGAATCTCATTTTATTAAAAAGCTTTTGCCAGGGATTTAGCTCAGTGGTTCTGGTGCCTGCCTCGCATGTGCAAAGTCCTGAGTTTGATCCCTGGTACCAAAAAACAAAAAAACCCACCCCAAAACAAAACAAAAAAAATCCTGAAAAGCTTTTGCACAGCGATAAAATAAAATAAAATAAAAACACCAAGAGTGAAGAGACAACCCACAGTGTGGGAAAAATTCTTTGCTAGCTGTTCCTCAGACAAAGGACTAATATCTAGAATAGATAAAGAACTGAAAAAAAATCAGACACCTCCAAATTTAAAGACCCAATCCAAAAATGGGCATCTGAAATGAATAGACACTTCTCAGATAAAGAAGTAGAAGTGGCAAATAAATATATGAAAAAATGTTCAACATCACTGGTCATTTGAGAGATGTACATTAAAACAATGCTGAGAGTCCATCTCACTCCAGAAAGAATGGCTGCTATCAAGAAATCAACCAATAACAAATGCTGGCGGGGCTGTGAGGGAAGAGGAACCCTTCTCCACTGTTGGTGGGAGTGTAGACTGGAGCAACCACTGTGGAAATCAGTATGGAGATACCTCAAAGAACTAGGACTAGAGGTCCCATTTGACCCAGCTATTCCCCTTCTTGGTATCTTCCCAAAAGAATTAAAAGCATCATACCACAGTGATATACGCACACCCATGTTTATAGTAGCACATTTTGTAATAACTAAATCTCGGAAACAGCCCAAATACCCATCAAGTGATGAATGGTTGGAAACAGCCCAAATGCTCATCAACCAATGAATGGATAAAGAAGACGTGGGTTTTTATACAATGAAGTACTACTCTGTCATAAAGAAGGATGAGCTTGAGACATTTCTAGCTGAATGGACGCACCTTGAGACCATATTCTTAAGTGAAATAAACTGGACACACATATTTAAATACCGCATTGTTTCTCTGGTCTGAGAAACTAAAAGTATAAATAAGGACCAAAATGTATAAAAGATATTGGGAAATGGGAAGAAAATGTTCAAATGAGAAAGTGAATAAGGGAGAGGGGAGAGGGAAAGGAAAGAAGGGACAAGGACAAAAATGGAAACAAAGCCTTTGTAAACCAGGAGGGGAAGAGGGGTTGAAGGGAGGGGAGGGGAATGGGAAAAAAAGAAGATACGCCATGTAATTACAAATTCCCTATGATGAATGTTATCATTATATATATCTAAAATGTCCACTAAAATAAAAAAATAAATAAAATGGAAATAAAAAGAACTGGCATTTCAGCTGATGGGGTGATGAGGAGGGTTGGATGAGGAGCAAAGACAGACAAGCATTCAGGTCGAGGGACAGGGCGAACGTGAGTGACCACTGCAGGGAACACACAGTCTCACTTGGCTGGCAGGAAGGTAGGTGACCCCAGAGCCAGCAAGGACCCCAAACCCCAGGAGACAGAAGACTGAACAGGAGTCCTATGAGCCACAGTCCTATGGAGAAGGGCTCTGTGCCTGGCAGCGAGGCTCCTAGCTGACCTCAAAAGGGGCTCCAGAGGCTGTGTGTCGTGGGCAAGTTCCAGGGTCTCCTTACCTATAAAAATGAGCTCAGTAATTCCCACCCAGCAGAGCAGCCCCGAGGACCAGAGAGGGTGAAAAGTGCCCAGCCAGAGCCTCCCATGATGGAGCTCAGGGGGTTCTAGCACTGTCCAGACTCACCTTCTTCAGCGCAAAGGAGGCTGTCTGGCCCCCACGCACCTCCTTGACAGGCATGCGCTTGCGATGAATGGACTTGACAGCGATGGACAGGAAGTTACCCAAGGGGTCTGGGCCCAGCAGCAGTGTGTCATTCAGCTTGATCAGGCCCCGCAGTGTTGTCCCTGATACCACTGTCCCCACACCCTGCCAAGGAGAAGATGCCAGGCTAGTAAGTCCATCCCTACCACAGACACAAACTGGACCCCTGATGCCCACCAGCCACACACTCTGTTCAGTCCCACCCAAAACCACTCACCGGGACAGAGTAGGTGTCGTCGATCTGGAACTCAGCAGGCTCTTCTTCCCTGTAGCTGGTGCGGGGGGACAGGAGGTTGAGGAACATCTTCAGCAGATCTAGGTTCTCGCCTGTAACGTTAGAGATCTGGAATATTGGGCACATCCTAAGTGGAGGGGAAGAGAAGGAAGAAAGGAGAGAGGCGCTCAGGTGGCCAGCTCTAACCCTAACCTGCCAGCAACCCCACCTCTAACATCTCGACCCTCTGCCTGGGCCTGAATCTCCCACCCAGTCCTGCCCTGTGGCCTTCTTCCCTGACTTAGTTTTGTCTCTGAAACCTGTCCCCTATGTCTTCCCCTGCCACTGCCCTAGGCCTATTTCTTCTTCCTCGAGCACACATATGCTTTAAACCCCACCTGCCTTTCCATCACCTAGAGAAAACCAGAGTTCCTTCTCCCCTCCCAAGAGCTAGGTAATGTTCTTCCTCATTCATACACTCACTCTGATCGTCCTTCTTGTAAGCCTTTCCTCTTATTCAACTACCAACCCTTCTCATCCTCCATAATTCATCTCAAATACCATTTCTCCCATGAAACCCTTTCTGGGTGAATCCTCTCAACCTCTTGGGAGCAGGGAAGAGCTTGTGTGTGTTACCGTACTACAACTGACTTTCTATCACAGTCATCTAAATGGTCTCTATCGTCTCATCAGGGTGAAAGAAACCCCCCAAGGTCAGGAATTACATATTCCCCATAACTCCTACAACAGTGCCTGCACAGACAGGGACTCAGCAAAATGCCTGAGCTGGAGCAGGGCTGTCTGAAACATGGCCCCTCTTCTGGCCAACTGGTGGTACTGCGGATGGCAGAGGCCAGAGCCACAGCTGGAAGAGCCAGGTTGCTCTGGGTCCTCTGCACAGTAGACAGATGGCTGCCAAGGAGGCTGCGGCTCTGGCAAAGCCTTTAGCCAAGTTCGGTATTAACAGCAGAGTACCTTCAACCAAGCTGAATGCCTGAGGATTGTGCTCAATTCTCTGGATGAAGAACAACATCTAATAAATATTTATGGACTGAAAAGACCCATTCACGGGTAAGTGTCTGTGATTAGTGACCTGGGATTAGAGAGCTTTCTGGAAACAGTAAAAAAAAATTAATAATCATGAAAATGGCTGTGTATCTGCCAGCCAGGCACAGTGCTAAACACTTTATATACATTATTTCAAATACCCAATGGGGCCGGGGATTTAGCTCAGCGGTTTCACCACCTGCTGCGCAAGCACAAGGACCCGAGTTCAATCCCTGGTACCCCCCCCACCAAAAAAAACCCACAAAAGCCCTGCAGGGGAATCAGTATTATTCCCATTTGACAGATGGTGACAATGAAGTCTCAGCAGGGATCTCAACCTCAGAGGCTGCATCTTAGAATATGGGTGACTTGATATGGCCTCTGGCAATACTGCTGTTCTGGGAGACCTTGCCCTACGACAGGAACCTTCTATTTCCTCCAACCCCTGACTAGTAAGGGTCCTTGAGACCTATGCCCAAATGACAGCCATTCTAGGCCTATCATCGGCCACAGCCCCAAGCACATGCTGTCCACCCATTACCTCTCAGAGCTGAAGTTGGAGGCCGTAACAATCACATCATCCTTGCTCTGCACCAGCACAGGGATCTTCCGGCAGCCTGGAGACTTCAGCAGGCGCTGTAACAGCTTCAGGGTTTCTTAAAGGGCAAAATGGAACAGAATTATGGAGCAGAGCCTTCTCTTTGGCTAGGATTCCAGGGCAGGACAGGCCCACTTGTTACTGATGCTAGCAGGGGATCGACAGATGAACCAGTGTTAAATGCCACAATGCCTGGAGAAGCAAAAAGGAGGAGCAACACTGGGTGAGTACAAGCTGCTGGAGTAGAAAGAGCACAGGTAAGGCCTCTTTTTTAAGGCCTGTGCATCTGAAACCTGGTGGATTTCTCCAGTCTCTAGCAGACCTATATCCTGCAGACAAGTGATTCAGGAGTCCCTGAAAGGAGCCAATGCTCTTCTCAAAATGCTCTGCTTCTGGGGAGAAAATCTCATCTGACAAAAAGATCTCTTGTGCCCTGAGAAGTCTGCAGAGGCCCTTGTTATGAGGCCTCCTAGCATGACAATCTGCAACAATGAGGAAGAGGAACATGGAGGCCCTCTATTGCAACCCTGTGGGACATTTGGGTGGTAAAGGTCATCAGATACCCAAGGCCTGTGTATATATCTGGCTTGGATGGTACAGCCCAATGCCTGCTGCCTGAATCATCTGAAAAGAGTACCAGATTAGGGGATCTCAGGATTCTACACTTGGAATTAGAAGGAACAAAGAACAGAGGAAAATTCTAGGCTATGCTTTGATCAAGAGCCAAGCAGGGAAGGAAGGGGAAGAAGATTCTGGGTTGACAGAAATTCAGGCCAAGGTCTGAGCACAAAACACAGAAACAGAAGAGCCTGGGCTGAAGCCCTGGCAGCAGATTGGCCTCCAGATGCAGTGGGAGATGAAGGGAGGCTGCTGCCCGCTGGCGGCGGCACTTACCTTGTAGGATGTTGGCGGGACACATGTCAATCTTGGTGACCACCACAAAGACAGGTACATTGAGTGCCAATGCCAAGCCCAGATGCTCCTTGGTCATCCCCACGATACCAGCATTGCTGCCCACCTGCCCCAGTACAGAAAGGAATTGTCAGGACAGGGGGACAGAGGCTGCTGCTAGGTGGGCACAGGGGCTCCAAGGCATCTACCAACAAAAGCTGGGCTGGGCACAGACCACTTTAACCCAGACTCACAAATTCAGGCCATTCAAACCTGGGGAGACTTTTCAACAAGAGAGAAGATAAAACCAGACCATCTAGCTGGGCATGGTGGTGCATACCTGCAGTCCCAGCACTCGGGAGGCTGAGGCAGGAGGATTGCTGTGGGTTCAAGGCTAGCCTGAATTACAAAACAAGATCCTGTCTCAAAAAACCAAAAAGCCAAAACCAAAACCAAAACACCCAGGGTCGGGGGGGTGGGGGGAATGTCTGCAGTCCTCAAAGTGGATTCAGTTTAACATCCTTAGCCCTCAGTTTCCTGGAAAAGAGATAACAACCTACTTTATCTCAATCAAAAATACCAACAGCATTTCTCAGGGAAGTAAAACAATCCTAAAATTCATATAGAACCAGAAGAGACCCAGAATAGGTAAAGCAATCTGGGTAATAAAAGCAAAGCAAGGGGCCAGGGATTTAGCTCTGTGGTTCCGCCACCTGCCTCACAAGCGCAAGGTCCCAAATTCAATCCCTGGTAACCCCTCCCCCCCCCAAAAAAAGCAAAGCAAGACTCATCACAATCCCAGATCTGAAATTATATTACAAAGTTACAAAGATAAAAAGCACGGTACTGGCACAAAATCAGACGCATGGGTCAGGTGTGGTGGTGCATACCTATAATCCCAGCACTTGGGAGGCTGAGGCAGAAGATCACTGTGAGTTTGAAGCCAGCCTGGGCTACACAGTGAGTTAAAGACCAGCCTGAACCACATAGCAAGATCCTATCTCGAAAAACAAAACAAAACAAAAAAATCAAGATTATGCGGATCAATGGAATAGAATAGAGGAAGCAGAAACAACCCCAGGCACATTCAGCCCTTTGATCTTTGACAAAGGGGCCAAAAACATACAATGGGAGAAGACAGCCTTTTTATTAAGTGGCACCATGGATATCAACATGCAGAAGACTGAGTCTAGACTATGTTCTCAACTATAATCAAAATGGATAAAGATCTAAATGGTAAAATAGAAACAATCTGCTGAAAGACAAAACAGGTGAAACTCCTGAAAGTATAAGTGTAAGGGGCTGGGGATGTAGCTCAGCGGCACCCCTGCCTGGCAAGCACAAGGTCCTTAGTTCAATCCCCAGTACTGAGGGGGGGAAAAAAGGAAAGAAAGTAAGTAAGTATAAGTGTAGGCAAGGACTTTCTGAACAGAATCCCAATGGCACAAGAAATAATATTGAGAATAAATAAATGGGATCACATCAAATTAAAAAGCTTCTGCATAACAAAACAAACAACCAACCGAGTGAAGAGACAACTTACAGAATGGGAAAAAGATGTCTGCCAGATATTCCTTATACTGAGTACAACATCTAGAATATACAAAGAACTCAAGGGCCAGGGACTTAGCTCAGTGGTTTTGCCACCTGCTGCGCAAGCGCAAGGACCCAAGTTCGATCCTCGGTACCAAAAAAAAAAAAAAAAGAACTCAAAAAAATTAGACCTCCCTCCAAAATGAAAGACCCAGTCAAGAAAATGGGCAACTGAAATGAACAGACACTTCTCAGAAGTACAAATGACTATAAATACATGAAGAAATGTTCAACATCGCTGGCCGTTAAAGAAATGTAAATTAAAACAACACTGAGATTCCATCTCATTCCAGAAAGAATAGTCATCATCAAAAAACTCAAATAACAAATGCTGGCATGGCCTCAGGGAAAAAAAGAACTCTTCTACATTATTGGTGGGAATGTAAAATAGTACACCAACTATGGAAACCAGCATGGAGATGCCTCAAAAAACTAAATATAGGGGGGCCGGAGATTTAGCTCAGTGGTTCTGCTGCCTGCCTCGCAAGCGCAAGGTCCTGAGCTTGATCCCCGGTACCAAAAAAAAAAAGAAATTAACAGAATGTTTTTATGGGCCGAGGATTTAGCTCAGTGGTTTCACCACCTGCTGCACAAGCGCAAGGACCAGAGTTTGATCCCCAGTACCCAAAAAAAAACCCCAAAAAACTAAATATAGGAATTCCATTTGACCCAGCTACTCCCCTTTTAGGTATCTTTCCAAGAGTTAAAAGTCATCATATAGAGATACATGTACACTACTCATCTTTATAGAAGCACAATTTATAAAAGGTAAATCTGGGCAGGGGATTTAGCTCAGTGGTTCTGCCACCCGCTCCGCAAGAGCAAGGACCTGAGTTCGATCCCTGGTACCAAAAAAAAAAAAGAAAAAGCTAAATCTTAGAAATGACCTATATGCCCATCAACAATGAATGCATAAGGCGAATGTGGTATTTATACAGAATGCAATACTACTCTGCCACAAAGAAAGATAAACTTGAGACATTTGTAGATAGATGCACTTTGTGCCATAATATTAAATGAAAATCAGACATACAAGCTTAAATATTGCATGGTTTCTATGAGAAACTCAAACTACAAATAAAGAGCAAAATAAAAGATAAATAATAGGAAGTTGGGAGATCTTTCTCAAATGTTAAGGAGAACAAGAGATGGAAGGAGAGGAGATGGAGAGGGAGGGGGAGTGGAAAAAAAGAGAACTGAAGAGAAAAAAATGGAAATAGAGCTTTTGTAAATGGGAAGGGGACCAACAATTGGAGGAAGCAGGGAATGGCGAGGTAGGGTTCAAACGTGTCTGTTATGTGCATGTACCAACCCCCCATGATAGAAGTAATCTTTATGTACCAAAAACGTAGTTAAATAAATCTCTACTTTAGAGGCACAGTAGAGGCTTAGATGTCTTGGTATATATGAAAAGTCCAGCACACAACCAGCATGAACTAGGTGTGTCCAACGGCAGCTGTTACTGTTACTATTCCTTTTGGTAATGTTAAATGTCTTCAGTATCACCATGAAGGCTTGTTACGTAAATTAGGGCAAGTGTACAAAAAAGAAACTTTTGTTTCTCTTTTTGGTACTGGTGATTGAACCCGAGGCCTACACACTGAGTTTGCCTTTTATTTTTAGGCAGCTTCTGACTGGTCCCTAATTTGCCCAGGTTGATGGGGCTTGAACTTGCAATCCTCCTGCCTCAGCTTTCCAGAGTGCTGGGATGACTATGTGTGGCTGAAATGCTTATCTTCAGTTAAGAGTAGGTTATTTATTTATGAGACAGGGTCTCTCTTTGTAGTCCAGGCTGACCTTGAACTCACTATGCAGCCCAGGCTGGCCTTGAACTCTCTGCAACCCTCCTGGCCTCTTCTCCTGAGTGCTGGGTTACTGGCACGTGTCACCATGCCCAGCAAGGGTTAATCTTTAAAATATGTTTTTAAGGGGGAAAAAAGCCCCGAATGAAATGCACACAGTGCGCTACCATAAAAAGAGGCGAGCGGGCTGCAGATATAGCTCAGTGGTAGAGTGCTTGCCAAGCACGTGCAAGGTCCTAGGTTCCATCTCCAGAACCAGAAAGAGGCAAATGCTGCTGAATCATGAGTTGAAAAAGCAGTTATAATGTAAGACATGTGAGGAATATTTGAGAAAATATACAGATTAGACCTTGGAGGACACTAAGGAACTATCATTCTTCATTTTCCTCATTGCAATAATAGGAGATAGTCCTTACTTTTAGGAGTTGTGTGCTGATTATTTGACGGGAAGGTCACAATCATCTATGTGCAAACGTTTCTTGGCCTTTTGGCTAAGATCAAGTGTATTTTTTTTTTTTTGGTACCAGGGATTGAACTTGGGTCCTTGCACTTGTGCAGCAGGTGGCGAAACCACTAAGCTAAATCCCCGGCCTTAAGTGTATAATTTACTTGCAAATGATTCAGTAAAAAAGGGAAGAAAATATACACACATATACATATGCACCCATCGTGTTATTGTTGGATCTATGTAGCAGGTGTGTTTATGACATTCATTATACCATTCTTTCCATTTTTTCTGCATGTTTGAAAGTAGAGGGAGAGAACAGACACACTTTTGCTGGCACGAGTACAGGTATCAGCAGCACACACACGAACTACAAACACTAGTTGCCTCTGGCAGGAAACTAGAAAGAAGAGGAAGGGAAGCTTTTCACAGTAAGTTCTCTGGTGCCTTTTATTTTTGTGTCCCATGAACATGTTACTTACTCCAATAAAATTAAGTTGCAAAAGAACTTGCTGTATCATCCCAGGGCACTGTCACGTTGCCGTGCTGCAAGGAACTCGCTCACTCGTGTCATATCAAAGCCCACAGGGTGTGGAGCCCGGCTGCCGCTGCACCCGTTCCCTTGCCTTACCAGGACACCCACCTGCCGGCAGGCACAGTTTCCTCCTGACACCCCGCCCAACCCAACCCCCCGCCATCCGGCTCAGGCTGGCTTTTGTTTTACCTGAGCTGCAGAAGAGAGTGCTCTACTGCTCTGTTGGGTACATACTTTTGTTTTTTAAAAAAAATTTTCCTGGAAATTGACCACCATGGAACAATAATGAAATATTTCATTGTTTTTTATAGAAGTTTCACGTCTGGATCATGGCCTATAAGTGAGACATGAACACTGTGTCTGGAGAAAAGATAATTCTATTCATTGGTCTTATTTACTTTAGAAAAATATTTTTATTTTATGAAGAACTAGAAGAGAGGAGTTTTATATCAATTTTCACATTACATTAAAAATTGATTAGTACACATTCACAGTACATGATTACATTCACTGTGGGGAGCTGGTGCACGCACACAGTGCATCTTGATTTTTCTTTCATCCCATACCCCTCCCTTCCCTCCCTGCTCTCTTCAATGCTTGGTCCCCTTTCCAGTTGTTGCAAAAGCTCTGCTTTCATCAGCATTTTCTTTTCCCTTCAATTCCTCACCAACCCCATCCCCACCCCCATTCCTTTTTTCTTCCCTCTCTCCCACCTCCCCTTCATCTCTTATTTCCCCAAACATTTGGAAAAGATCTCCTGTTTATATTGTTTTACTCTTTATTTGTATATATAAATATATATACTTTAAGTTTCTCATATAAGAGAAATAATGCAATGTTTAAGCTTGTGTCTGATTTATTTCACTTAATCCATTTGCCCATGAATGCCTCAAGTGAGTCTTTCTTTATGGCAGAGTAGTACTCCATTGTTTATAAATATCACATTTTCTTTAGCTATTCACCTGTTGATGGGGATATAAGCTGTTTCCAAGATTTAGCTATTATGAATTGTGCTGCTATAAACATGGGTATGCATGTAACCCTGTAATATGATGACTTTTAACTCTTTGGGGAAGATACCTAGAAGGGGAATAGCTAGGTCAAATAGAATTTCTATTGTTAGTCTTCTGAGGAATCTCCACACTGATTTCCATAGTGGGTGTGCTAGTTTACATTCCCACCCACAATGTAGAAGGGTTCCTTTCCCCTCACCCTCACCAACATTTGTAGGATTATTACATTAATTCAAACAAAACTACAAAAGAAAACCACTTATTTTATTTGTTTTTGTCATGCTGGTGATTGAACCCATGCATGCTAGCCAAGCACTTTACCCCTGAGCTACAACCTGGGCCCCAATACTTTTTGTTTTGTGGTTGGGGGAACTTAACCCAATGGCCGTTGAGCGACATCCCCAGTCCTTTCTTTACATTTTGAGACAAGGTTTTGCTAAGTTGTCCAGGCTGGCCTTGAATTTGTGATCCTCCTGGGTCACCCTCCTGAAGAGCTGGGATTACAAATGTGCACCACCCAGTGGCTCCTAACACTTATTTTAAAGTGGTTTCTATAACCTTCTTCAGAGCAACTGCCCACATAAACCCTATGGATCTTCTACTGGGTCTCACTGCTACACAGCAGCTCCTTCCTCAGTCTAGAGAGCTAGTGACAGCTCTTCGGTGTTCAAAGAAATGGGAGAAGAAATCGTGCTGAGAGCCCGAGAACTTCAGGCAGAATGAGTATGTTCACACCACACGTTCTGTCTCCCTCTACTGCTCTTGTGTGTGGAGCTGGCCTCAGGACTCTTGTTTGTGGGGCAACTTGAGCAAGTTTGCTAGGAACAGATGCTTGTGTTTACCACACTTATTAACATGAGCAGCTGAGGAACTGGGAATGGGGAAGTGCTTTGGGAAGGACTTGCCAAAGGCAAATGTGCTCACTCCTGCACTAGCGTACCCTTCTCGTTATCCCTCCTTCTTGCCTCCCTCCCTTGCAAAGGCTTGGAAGCTTTGCAGAGGGTTGGAGGCCTCACTATTCCCATTCTGTCCAGGGAGGAAGGATACCTGTGAGCACAGTAACAGGAAACAAGCAGAGCCTTCTGCTCCCTCTCCTTTGCAGTGGATCCAATGACAAGCTGCTCAAAAATCAAATCACGGCCCAGGGATTTAGCTCAGTGGTTCCGGCGCCTGCCTAGCAAGCGCAAGGTCCTGAGTTCGATCCCCAAGCACAAAAAAAAAAAAAAAAAAAAAGTGAACATTAATTATCAGTTCTTTGGCTGGGGGTTTAGCTCAGCAGTTTCGCCGCCTGCTGCGCAAGCGCAAGGACCTGAGTTCGATCCCCGGTACAAAAAAAAAAAAAACCAAAAATCGAATCACGCTAGACTGCAAGCTCTCTGGGAGCCCTGGGACAGCCTGGTCCTGCTGTGCCACCAGGTGAGCACAGCGCCAAACACACAGAAGCCACCCCACAGGGGCCTGTGGCCCGGCCGACTGCCCCTCCCAGGCTCTGAAGACGCCATCTCTCAGGCCACCTGACTGATGCCCATGGCTCCCTATGTGAGGCACTACCCTCCATGTCTTCCCCAAGTCTCCCCTCATCCAAGTACCCCACTGCTCTGGAAACATTTCTAAAGGCAGTAAGTCAATCCCAGGATAGGCTTTCCTTTGTGTCTCTGAAAAATAAAAGTCTGCAAATGACACTGTGGTTTTACCAAGACAACCCCTTCCTGGCCTAATGTAGGGAAGAGGTCAAGTTCATCCCTGAGAAGGCCACGGTGCTCAGAAGACTGGGCACTGAGATCCCAAACTTGCCATCCTTACCTAGTGTTGCGCTTCAAAGCAAGAGCCCTGTTGCTGACCAATCCCAGGCCCTGCATGGGATTCCCCTCCCCAGGATGTCTCATACTTACCATGAGCATGCAGAAGTCAGGCAGGTGGCCGGTCATGCCAAAGACAGTGGTCTTCAGGTACTTCTCATGGCCAGCCAAGTCGATGAAGGTAATCACTTTAGTGGACTTTTCACAGATCTTCGTCCACTCCAGGCTGCCACCATGGCTGTCAGGCTTGTTTACCACATTGCCTTCACTGTCGAAGCCCAGAATGTCATTGCCCACGCTGCTGGTACGACCAGATTCAATCTCATGTTTGTGGCGGAAAAGCTTCTGGCGGGCAAAGCCTCGGCCATTGTCCAGCTCCCCATGCGTCAGGACCCCCAGAAGTGTGCTTTTGCCAGCATCCACGTTGCCCACAACTGCTACCCTGTGTGCACATGAACCCATTCATCAGCATGAGATTAGCGGTGAAGAGACAACTCGGAGCCCAGAAACTGGACCTCCAAGTCCAGGCTCGCCCCCAGGCCCTCAGCTCACCATTCCTCCTACTCTTATATTAGCCCCTGGGAATGTTCCTAGAGTCGCAGCCAGGGAGTAGGAAGCTGTTCAGGGGTCCAGGCTCCCTCAATAGCTATCTCCCCTAACTCCCCCAGGCCCTGGTCTTCGGGCCTCTCAGGCTGATGGGAGAACAAATGCAGCCCACAGGGTGGCCACAGAGCACATGACTGGGCCTCTCCCACTCTTCACAGATGGAACCATTCAGGGGCAGGAAGTGCAGACAGAACAGAGCTGTCGTGACCCTGGGCACACTTTCCCCATCTCAGGAAGGGAAAAGAAGGGAAGGGTACGGCTGACACACTAAGTGTCACAGGTTCTATCATGGGTATCTAGGACACTGTGGCCCCAGGGTCATGCACTGGGGACCCCTGGACTGTTCTGAGGCTTCCTCACCTGACCTCCAAGAAGTCATTGTCTCCTACTCGTTTCCGGACCAGGTAATCACGCACGCGGCCACCGGCTTCTTGGCGCTCCCTCAGGAGGATGACATCAGCCTCTAGCTGTTCCGCCATGCTCTTCACTGTGGCATAGGAGGCCTCCATGTCAGCTTCGCTCAGCCCGTACTCAGTCCCATCTGGTGACAAGAGCCCACACATCAGCGGGAGAGAGAGTCCTGACCAACCAGCCTGCCAACACGCCAGCCAGTCCCACTTGCCTAACAAAGGCCCACCTGGGCACTAGAGAACACACACTCTCACCTGACAGACTTAGGACAAGACAGTGCCAGCACCTCCCACCAACCTGGGCACTGGGCAATTCATTCAACAATAATCACTGAGACTTTCTTAGGTTTCGTGCCAAGTCTCATGCTGGGTACTGAGAATACAGGTGCCCTGAGCAAGCTCATGCCTCTGAGGGAGGGTCAGGCAAGAAATTAATTAACTGCTATATAGCTTGAGTGCTGTGCTGTAGATCTGGATGGAGAAAAGAGAAACACAGCCAAGGGAAGTGAAGGGAGCCTTGCAGGTGCTGACCCCAGGCTGAGTGACAAATGAGCCCATGAGAAAGGAGAAAGGACATCCGCCAGAGGAGCAGAGCATGAACCATGGCAGATCAGAGCACATCAAGGAACCAGGAAGTGGCATGGGGGAGCAGGACAGGGAAGATGGAGTGGCAGGAAAGCACACAAGAGATGGAAGCCTATATGGGGGATGGGCATCAGACAGAAACAGTACTAGGAAAACAGTACTAGTACAACAGAAACTTTAGTACTAGGCTGTGGGAAGCCTGGGTTCAGGCACAGCAGTAACAGGAGATTGAGGTGGACTAGAAAGGCCTCCAGGGGAGCAAGCAAGAGGCCAGAAGGGGGAAGCCAGGGAGGAAGTCATTCTACTAGCACAGGTGAGCAAGGAGCACAAGAGGAAGGAGGGGATGGGGAGGATCTCAGGGTTTATTTTACAGGTAGACTTTGAACTGAGGTGGCTCAGCTAAAATGTCCGGCAAGTAGCTGGCAAAAGGAGTTTGAGCCGAGGATGAGGAGAGGCAGATAGAAGACAGGCTGAGCAACTTCTGGTTACTGAGCGCCACGTGAGTGCGGGATTCAATTCCTACCCTCGCCCCCTCTGCCCTTCCCCAGGCTCCTCCCTGGCACTCCCTCAGCAAGGCGCCTCCCCTCTTCACCACCTCCCCTGCTCTGGTCTCCTGTCCTCCCCCCACCCCCAAGCCAAGAAAAAAGCCACACCTCCTTTCCTCGCCATCTCCTGGCTCTCCTTTGACCACAGAACACCTCAAAAGAGCATCTGGCCCTTGACCATCCACTGAACTTGCTCTGAGCTGACTGCTCCTGAGGAAACTGCAGTTTCTAGATGTCACCAGTGACCTTTCAGCCACTCTGTCCCACACCCGTGTCTCCACTCCTAGAGCACTCTACACTGATGGCCATCCTGTCCTTCCTTCTCCCACCCTGCCTGTCTGCCCCAACACCTCTCCTGTTGTGCCTCTCTCCCAAGCATCCATCGATGGGCCTTCTCTCTCTTCTCCTAACCCTCCCAGGTCGGGCACTATGGCACATTCTGTAGTCCCGGATACATGGGAGACAGGAGGACCACAGTTTGAGCCCAACCTGGGCAGCTTAGCAAAACTCTATCTCAAAAAAGAAAGAGAAAAGAAATAAACATTTACCTTAGCCATTCTGTTCTGTAGCTTCAACTGTCATCTTGTTGATTTTTTTGTTCATTTGTCTTAAGACAGGGTCTAATTATGTAGCCCAGGCTGGCCTCAAGCTTGCTGTGATCCCCCTGCCTCAGCCTCCTGTGTGCTGGGATTACAGGTGTGCACAGCGATGCCACTTCAACTGTCATTTTGGAAACAATAAAACATTCACCTCTAGTACTACCCTCTTTCCTGAGCGCTATACTGAATGCCCAAGGGCCTGGAAGACAACTCCTGAAGTCAGACACCCACACTCAATCACCAGCATAAAGTGACTAACACCAATAGAGCATTGGAGCCCTCACCCCCAAAGGGGTGGGGTAAACAGAAGCCAAGGGGAGCAGAGGGGGCAACCTGGAGCCTTTTCTTCACTGGCTCCTCCCCGCATACCCTATTCTAATAACCACACCCCTAGCCTTCCAGCCACCCAAGTTTAACACCCCTCAGCCCAGTCCTGCAGACTCAGCTCTTTACCTTCCCTCTTTCTCTGATGTCTACCCACTGCCACCACCCGACACAGCCCTTATTCTACCCAAATCACCACAACAGACTCTGAACTGGACTTCACAAATTCAGCCTCTATTCCTTCCTCCATCCTACATGACTCACAAGCTTAAGCTCCTAAATAAGCAGGGCTTTGATGCTGTCACTTCCACAACAAAACTTCTGGATGGCTTTCCAGACCCAGCAGCATTCTAGCCTCTCTTACTGTTGTTTTTTTTTTTTTCAGAACTAGGGATCGAACTCAGGACCTTGTGCTTGCCAGGGAGGCTTGGTGCCAGAGCTACATCCCCGGCCCTATTCTAGCCTCTCTCTTTTTTTTTCTAGCCTCTCTTAAGGGCCTCCCCAAATTAATCCATACCTCCTTCTCAAGCTCCCTCTGAAAGCTCTGCCCCAGTGCAAGTAGCCAGTCCCCTCTTCCCCTGAGCTCTCGGCATGGTCCCAGCTCTGTACCTCTGCTCATGGATTTCCTATCCCAAGCAGCCAGTCAGTGCCCCTCCTCCTGGCAAGATCCGACCACTCTGCTCAGACTCCACATAAATCTTTGCCTCCCTTAGAGCATCTGTCATGTCCTGCCTAGTCCAAAAGGTATTCTGAACTATGCCCAGCCCGCATAGAGGAGTATCCTGAAGGTAGGGACCATATCACAACCATTTCTTTTTTTGGTACCGGAGATCAAACTCGGGTCCTTGCACTTGCGCAGCAGGTGGTGAAACCACTGAGCTAAATTCCCGGCCCTCGCAACTATTTCTTGATGCCCCACACAGCATGGCTTTCCTATGTCACTTCCTCAAATGTTTGTAAAATGTGAAACAAATCAGCCAAGAGGGAGCGGCTGGGCTGAGAGGTAGTTCTAAATGCACAGGCAAATGCGCTCTGAACGCCTCCGGGGTTAGAGAAGGACTTGGGAAAGTGTCCCTAGGGGGAAGCTGGAGAGGCTGCCATTCTCACCACACTCTCAGTTCCACCCATCCTCCCCTGCCACCCTCTGTATAACAAAAAGCAGTGCCGGGCCGGGGATATAGCTCTGTGGCGCCAAGAGGGCCTGGCAAGTGCAAGGTCCTGAGTTCAATCCCTGGTTCTGAAAAAAAAAGAAAAAAAAAGCAGCACTTTCAGGTCCTGCTTCACACAGAGGCCATCGCCAATGTCAATGTCACCTGGTCCACCTGTGGGCGATCAGTGGGTCACATCACCCTTCAGCATGCATCACATTCCTTATTCCAGGAGTAGAGACAGGGGCTAAGAAGAAAAGCCACAGCGTTCTAATTACTGAAGGCCTATCCTCAGCCATGTCTGCCCCAATCACATTTCCATCCTGCCAGCTCATTTACCTTTCCTACAAGCATTCGTCTGCTCAATGTGCTGCAAGGGCTGCCCACACTTTGGGGATAAACATCTAACCTCTCTGGCATGACATTCAAGGACCCTCCAGATGGGGCCTTGTCTACCTGTCCAGTCTCCTCTCCTGCCACTCCCACCTTCCCAGACCCCTCAGGCCCAGTCTCCACTACCTCCACGACTCTGTGCGCAGCTTTCTCTGCCAGCTGGCCACTGACTCCATTCACTTGCAAATTTCTGCTCAGCCCTTAGAATCAATCCCAGCAGCAGCTTCTCCGGGTAGCCTCTCCTACTCCCCACACACTTAAGCCCCCCTTCTAGGAGTCAGCACTCTCAGTAGAGCACCTGGCTCTTGGAAAGTCATGACTTAGTATTTGAGAAATGAACCAGGTTCTTTCTGAAAAAAAAGATCTCATGATAAAAAAAACTACAGTTGGGGATTTAGCTCAGTGGTGCCACCACCAGCCTTGCAAGCGCAAGGTCCCGAGTTCGATCCCCGGTATGAAGAAAAAAAAAAAAAGTGATAAAAAAACTACAACCTGGGATCCTAAGAAATTATTACAGTAACTACTATACTCATGAATGTTTATATGCCATTTATATGCGATTTCCTTGAATTCTTACTATTTAATCTTCACTACTGGACCATGGGCTAGGTTCTATGATCAGTTACATTTTCAGACAAAGAGAAAAGTCAGCAGGCAAACAGATCTGCCAGGCTCCAGACCCTCACCTACTAGGCCCTAATGCCTTGCCTCCTTCTGAAATGCCCACTTTAAATTAAGAACATATACATCAAGAACACATTCCTCTGCAATGCTCACAATTTCTTAATGTCTAATATATCCATTTAAAATTTCTCTGAGGTAGTGAGGGAGATATCATTACCCCCATTTTACAGAAGGAGCACATGAGAGATAGAGGTGACATACCAAGGACACACAGGACGTCAATGATGAAGCCATCTCCTGGGAGTCTGCATCTGATTGAATCCTCTGTCTGATGCTCAACTTGTTTAACTAGTTCTGATCTCTTTCTGGCTCTAAAGAATTCCAGCAGGAATCTAATAGCATCCAACTGGTAGATGAGAGGATAATGCTTGGGTGTGTAGGAGATGGGCTAATGAGTGTCTGATATCTCTTACGCTTTGCCACAGAAGGGTTAATTAGTTGTGAGTTGCCAAGGCCTGGTAAAACGCAGAGTCTACATTAAAGGACAAGAGGAAAGAAAGGTCTTAAGAATCTGGGTCTTCAAAGACCAGTCCCAATACTGGTCAAAACTGACCTTTATGTGGTTTCTGAAATTCTACAAGTGATCTACAAGTGGTTTATCTTATTAGAGTGGGATAGGAGTGTACCTGACAAGCTTTTGAAAGGCTATCAATGATTTCTCAGCCATCAAGTTGAATAGCCTTTTCTGAATTCGACACTGTTGCTGTGTTGGCCATCTGCCCCCTGCATCCTTAGCACTTGACAAAGCTGACCAGTCCCTCCCCTTCCTGATATGCAACCTCTCAGTTTGCCTATCTCTTTGCCCATACCTTCTTTTAGCTGATAAAGACTCATAACTGGAGAAGTGGCATCCAGGATAGGGATAGGAAAGAACAGAGATAGGAAGGACAGTTCAAAGGACAGGACAGCAGTATTTGGAGAGCAAACCCTTTTTCCTTTTGTCACTCTTGTAGCAGTTCCAAAGATTATTTTCTCCTGAGGTTATTTATGTATACTATATGCCATCTTTCCTTCTTGGGGTACAAACCAGACCTTTGGGGGGGGGGTGCTGGGGATTGAGCCCTAGGGCCTAGCACATGCTACCCAAGTGTTCTACCATAGAGCTATAGCCCCAGCCCCCAGGACCAGATTTTAAGTATCCAGAAGAGCTTTGTAACAGTATCAAGCCATGTAGAATAGTTACTAGATCTATGTCAAACTGTTAAAAAACTATTTTGAGATCTCCTCAACCTTAAACTCAGACTACAAAAGAATAACAACCTTCCTTTACAAAGCCCACACTGAACAAAGAAAACTGTTTCCCTAATGATGAATCCAGACCCATCCTGGGCTTTCAGCAAAGCTGACAAAGACAAGTGCTGGTACGGACTGAATTCATAACTGTTAACAATCTCAGTTGTCATGTCAGCAAAGATAAAGTTACAATGAAGAGGGAGGTAAGCAGACCTCCTATTGGAGGGTGTGAACTAGGAGTGACTGGGGGAAAAAAAAACCTCATGATATAATCTGGGGTTCTGTCACAGAGGCTGCATTCCTCTCAAACTGGAGGCCCTGTTACAATGAATAAGCAGGTTGGAAGACAATAACCAGAACAGTCACAAGCTTACGTGACAGAAAGGACCCAGTAGGGAGAGGAAGGGACCTCTGTTATCACGGCAGACCTAGTGGTCAGTGTGGTCTGGGCTAACTGGCTCGACTGAAGACAGATTCTGGGCATCTTTTTCTTGCTGACATCAAGAAGAATCAAAGAGTTTCTCTGCTAGGCAGGAGATAATAGCAACGGGACCCATAAACAGGGCTCAGAGGGGAGACCTGGAGCTGCCCAGGGCAGGCTTAATTCCAAACATATGACTTGCTCTGTCACCTTAGACAAGAAGTTTCCTTGCTTTGTGCTTCATTTCCTTTTATGCATATGGGGAGCACTGAGGTAGAAAGGACACATCTGTAGAACTGCTCAGAAAGGGAATCTTTAAGTCTAGGCACATCATGATTACTAAAGTAGGAACTGGGGAGCCGGGGATTTAGCTCAGTGGTGCTGTGCCTGCCTGGCCAGCGCAAGGACCTGAGTTTCATCCCTGGTCGGGGGAGGGGAGTAGGAACTGACATTTTCTCTCATTATGTCCTCCAAATAGTTCTGCAGATACTAAAGCAACACTGCAACTCAGACACATGAGCAGAAAGTTGATAAAGAGATAAAAGGTGCTCTAAATAATTGTTAAAAATAAATGAAAGGAAAACTATGCTCACCTGATCCCTGCCCAATGACATATATGGTCTCTCCGCATCCCTCGTCCATCCTCTCCCACATCTGCCGAAGTAGGCTGTCATACTGCTCTGATGTAGGGCTCACTAGAACCAGCTAGAAGAGAAACCAACAGCCTTAGGACCACACTTACTACAGAGCACCACAGCCAACACTGATCACCAGCCTGACCACAGACTCTGACAGAACCCCACAGCACCCTGACTGAGGGGAACTGCACAGTCCCCTCATGCCCTCTCTGCATCTCCTTCAATAGCCTTGAAAGACCCAGGTAATAAATGAGGGTGTCTGAACTATGATCCACAGTAGAGGAGGTCAGGACTCAATCAACTGAGAATCTAGCATGGCAGGAAGAAACTGATGAGCAATGCTTTATACCTACATGCCAGTCTTCTACCTGAAGCTTGTATCTGGAAATTCAAGGACAAAGATCTCATGTACAGCCATGCCCTCCACCCATAGGCCAATAGCTCCCATAATAATAACCAAAGAATTCTGCTCCACCTTATCTTAGTCCTTTTGACTATTAGGAAAATAGCAGTGGAAAGTGCCTGCAAGACTCATCTTCAATTAAATGTCAATACCACTGAGATAAGTATTAACATCATAACTCTGCAAACTTTAGTCAATAACATTATGGTATCAACCATTCATTTGTAGAGGCCACTCACCAATGAGCATGTCAGACCTCATTCTCTTGTATGACCTTAGACAAAGAACTTAATCTCTCTGAATCTAAGATTTTCAAACTGAAAAACAGAGATAATACTACCTTGCATCCTGTGGCCACTATAAATACCAAATAACATGTAAAGCATCTAGTCTGAATCTCAATACATGGTCATTACAAAGTTCTCTTCATCCAATCATATCTTTAAAAAATCTCCTTGCATGGAATTCGCCAACACTGTTCACTAATTGTGAACCTTAGAGCCTTAGGTCCCCATATTTAATTATAGTAAGGATATAATGTTGGGCCGGGGATTTAGCTCAGTGGTTCCACCGCCTGCTTCGAAAGCACAGGGACCCGAGTTCGATCTCCGGTACCAAAAAAAAAAAAAAAAAATGTCTAACATCTAATCTTTTCAGGATTTAATCTAGTCAACCCATTCCTTCTCTCCTCCTCACAGGTCAATTTTCTTTTCAATATCATCTATCCACCTGTCTCTATATGCAAATACATGCAATGTATCATATAGACATATATCTTCTCAATTTCAAAATCTTTAGGATTTCCTTAGCTATGTGATGAAGTAACACTTCCCTAACCATGAACATTAAATAAGCAGGCTCTGCAACTTCTCACTGTTTTCAGTTTTCTTCAGCTCCTTGACCATGTACTGACATCTAGCTGGTCCACTCCAGCCAGATGCCTACCTTAGAACTTCCTAAGCTGACTCATCAGGGTTATAACTGTAACCTGGATGCTGCCTGGGCCATCCTGCCTCTCCTATTTTCCCTCCCGACTGTCTCCAGCCCCTCCCTTATTGAGGCACCAGAGAAGACCACTGTGACAAACAGGACCCAGTTGATTTCCAAGGCCTCAGCTGAGACTAGGAGAAAGAACAGTTGAAAAACTGCTTACTTAGGTTGCAGGGAAAGTTCTCTTCAGTTTAGGGCCAAGTTTCATGCAGTTTTGTCATCATGAGCTATAAGTCACAAGCATTTTCAAAGTTTTGATGAAATCTCTATTGTATCTATTTTACAGTGTTCATCAGCTGCTACTTAATCCCCACAGGGAATTACTGTATCCAGTTCACTTCAAATATTTACTGAGTCTCCAGTATGGACCAGGCGCTTACTAATTGTCTCAACATACACTTTTAATTTTTGCAATGAATCTGTACTTAAGAGGAGTAGCTGAAGAACTGAAAGGTTAATTTTCCCAAGGTCATGGAGCCTTTCAAATGGCAGAGCAGGAAAAGGAGCTCATTCCTGTCTGACTCCCAAATCGATATTCATTACTTTAGCGATGTTAAGCGCCTTCAAAACACCAGTCACATTTTATACTTTTTCCTTCTCCACAATCCTAAGCAGATGGGTGAGCCCTTAATTCCTGCCTACTTTCTCAAAAGCTCAGAAGACAGTATTTAAAACATCCTTCATTACTCTGCTCATACAAGACGAGGTTCCAATTCCAGATGGCGAGATTCTGGGTCGTGCCCATCTTTCCATTTTGTTTTGGGTGAACTCACAAAGTGGACGTCCCTCAGACACATCCTTCTCCCGGCTGAGCGACTGCTTTCTGTTTCTTTTCCCGAGACCAGGAAGGGACGCGTCTGCCACCCCAGCCTCCCCTCGGACTATCTTCCCGAGCATCCCACCCCCAACGTCCCCAAGCTCCCCACGTCCCCAGCCCAAGCCACCTCGACCCCCAGCCATCCAGGACTCCCTGGGGAGAGGGCCACTCTCACGGACAGGACCCGAAGAAGGGGGCGACGGCATGGCGCGCGGGGGGACACCACGCAGCTGCTGCCGCCGTCGGGCGCCCCCGTTCCACGTGGCGGAGCCGAGGGGTTGAGATCTCGGCGTAAACGGGGAGCGCGGGAGACCGGGTCCGCGCCGCCGGGCAGCCGAGGAGGCTGCCCGGGGTCGCGGGGGCGGCCCTGCCGCACGCTGGTCCCAGAGCCTGACCCTTCCCAGCGCCCCGACGGCCGGCGGCCCCAGCCGTCGCCCAGGAGACGGCTCGGCCCGCCCGGGTCCCCTCAGCGCCCGTGGCCGCCGCCCGGGCCTACCTTGCTGGTGAGGTCCAGCTCCGGTTCGCCGTTGAGCGCCTCGCCGTCCTCGCTGCAGTCCGAGTCGAAGCCGCCGTGGAGTCGGGCGGCAGATGCCGCAGCCCTGGCCGCCCCGGGGGAGCTGGGCTCGGGGGCGAACATACAGGCCGGCACCGGCGAGTCCATCGGAGAGCGACTCCGCTCCGCCGCCATCTTTAATAACTTAGGCTAATTCGCAGCCTGCTGCCCTCCCTCCCCGGCTCATTTGATTAATCTATGCGTGACCACGCCCTGTCCTTATTGGAATAATTTATGCGGAGCTTCTACGGCAGAGCAAAGGATGACACGTATCTCTAGCTAAGACACAATCGACCAGGTCTCTCAGCCGCCAATCGCTGTAGCCTTTTCAAGTACCTAATGAATAATTAATACAGCTAAAACCCCAACAACAAATGTCTGAGACGTCAAGAGCCCGGGTCGCAGCCCAGGAGCTGGCAGCAGGGTGTCCACGCTACATGCTACATACCTGGAGTCTTCCCACCAACCGGAGCAGAGTGCTGTATGACTGACACAGCATCCATCCAATGAGAAGAGAAATTCATGTTTCTCCCCACAGCCCCTTCACGCTCCTGCCTTCCAGGGGCGGGGCGTGGCTCCCAAATCTTACTGCAAAACAGTAGGCGCCACGAGCCTCCGGTTGATGCACAGGGACGCAATCCAATCTAGTCCTCCATAGGTACGGCGCGGGGGGGGGGGGCGCTGCTCTAGGAGATAGTAAACTGCAAAACGAACCGCCCACTCAATCCAAAGACTGAGGCAGTGGCTGGAACACGTTGTCCGCCGTGCTGGCACACGCCAAATTTGATAGTAGAATCGATGCTGTATATTCCAAGAGTTGTAATACTATAGCAGCCACAGTGAGGCAATTAATTAGAATGCTGACCTTAGGGAGATTTCTCCATTCATTGCCTCTGCGGAGACAGCAATTGCTTGAACAAAAAACTAAAGCAAGCAGCGAAAATGCAAGCCAAAAGCACCTCACTACATTTCTAGTGAAACAGCTAACCCAAGCTCTAAGCTCCGTTAAGGTAGTTTCCTTTGGATTATTCTTCCACGATATCATCAGTTGTGGAAAGCCCCAATCCAAAACGCCATTTGCACAGTTTTAAATCTTTGTTTCAAATATTATAAGGCCTAGACCTTCAATGAATTTAGGGATTGACTAAGGTCTAATAATGCTAACCTTTGCCACTTTTGCTAGGCAGTAAACAAAAAAGAGCAGCCATTTGAGAAGGTAACCAAAATTTAGGGTTCTGACAGCAGAATTTAGTGAGCAGGAGGTGGTAGGGATCTGAGAGGAAAGAGACAGCCTCTTTCCTATTTTCAGTTAGGTACCATCAAGTCATATATATATATATATATATATATGCAAATAAAACAGCTCTTTATGTATTTCATGAAGAACTAAGTGCAGCACTGATATCTACTAGTGATGACCCAGTGATGGACAACTTGTCCAACAGCTGATTGTATTTTACTGTTTTCTAACCCCAAGACATCATTAAAGGCAAAGCCTGTATGACTCTGTACACAAAAACAAATGGTTGCAGGGGTCATACTACCAATAAAATGGTAAGTAAACAAATCTTTTCCAGCAGGAGAGAAAAAATAGCACTCTGCATGCTTCACCCTACAAGACAAATTTCCCTAGAAAGATTCTGATGAAAATAGCTGCGGCCAGAGGAGTGAGAGAAGAGGGCTGGTGACATTTCTGAAGGATGCAGCTGAGGTTCAGTTGGGTTTATCTGAATGTGGTACCTTTCCAGCCTTAAGCTATCACCTCTCAGGTGTTGGTTTTCTTCTGACGGTTTCATCATTTCTCTCTGAAGTCTTTCCCACTCTTTTATTAGCTTCCTTACTTCCTCATTCAGTACCATTGAGCAAAACACTGTAGTTTGGGTCTGGGTCCATCTTGTTTAGATACATTCAGTGGAGCAGCTTTGCTAGGTTCCCTATCACTCAATTTATCCTTTTCATTTGGTATTTCAAATACACATCTCAGTTTAAAATCCATTATTTCAGCCTCTTTAATAAATGGTGCTGGAAAAACTGGCTTTTCACAAGCCAAAGATTGAAACTAGACCCATATCTTTCACCACGCACTAACCTAAAATCAAAATGGATCAAAGATCTAAATATTAAAACAGAAACACTAAATCTGCTGGAAGAGAGAATAGGTAGAATGCTTGAGGATATAGGAGTAGGCAAAGATTTCATGAACAAAACCCAGACTGCACGGGAAATACTACAAAGAATCAACAACTGGGACCTCATCTTATTAAAAGCTTTTTCACAGCAAAAGAAACCACCAACAGAGTGAAGACCCACAGAGTGGGAAACGTTTTTTTTTTTTACCATATTCAGATAAAGGACTATTATCTAGAATATATAAAGAACTCAAAAAAATCAGACCCCCCCAAATATAAAGTCCCAATGCAAATGGGCATCTGAAATAAAAAGACACTTCTCAGATGAAGAATTAGAAATGATAAATAAGTATGTGAAAAAATGTTCAACATCATTGGTCATTGGTGAAATGCAAATTAAAACAATGCTGAGATTCCATCTCATTCCAGAAAGAATGGCTGCTATCAAGAAATCAACCAATAACAAATGCTGGAGGGGCTGTGGGAAAAAAGGAACCCTTCTCCACTGTTGGTGGGAGTGTAGACTGGAGCAACCACTGTGGAAATCAAATTGGAGATGCCTCAAAAAACTAAAACTTAGAGGTTCCATTTGACCCAGCTATTTCCCTTCTTGGTATCTTCCCGAAAGAATTAAAAGCATCCTACCACAACTATACATGCACACCCATGTTTACAGTGGCACAATTTGCAATAGCTAAATCTTGGAAACAGCTCAAATGCTCATCAACAAACAAGTGGATAAAGATGTGGATTTCTTATACAATGGAGTACTACTCTGTCATAAAGAAGAAAGATCTTCAGACAGTTCTAGCTAAATGGATGCATCTTGAGACCATACTCTTAAGTGAAATAAATTGGACACGCATATTTAAATACGGCATTGTTTCTCTTGGTGTAAAAAAAATGTGGAAATAAGGATTGAGATGCATAATGGATGTTGGGAAATGGGAAGAAAGTGTTCAAATGGGAAGGGGAACAAGGGAAGAGGGAAGGAGAAAGGAGGAAGGGACAAGAAAAAGTGAAAATAGAAGGAAAAAATGAAAACAAAGTTTCTGTACATAGGGAGGGGAGGGGGCTTGAATGGGATAAAATAAAATAAAATTTATTTTACAAATTAAAAAACAGATCCTGAACATTAAAAAAAAATCCATTATTTCACCGAGGGTTGCTTCTTTCCACACAGCTTCCTTATCAAAAGTATTTGGTGGAGCAAAAATTGTACCATGAACTTGTGTTTACTGTCTTCACTTAGCTCAGAGTCAAAGGGTTGTAGCATTACTCAGTCACAGCTGACCCTGAGTCAATAACTTCATGGTTGGGCCTTACCCAGTACTGGTGAAATGCTATAATTTTCTCTTTGAAACACATTTTTCTAGCTGATGGATTTCACAATTTAAGATCTGAGGTGACTACAACTGTACAGGGGCCTTTGAATTTGAGGTCTGTGGGCAGGTTGAGGACCAGGTTCTGCTAGTGCTTTGCCATGGCCCTGGAGGAGGACACCATTAGACATAGCTTACAGTGGTGCATCATCCAGGGCCTTGATACCTGCTGCTTGGTCCAGGTTCATGAGATTCATGGGCCACTGTAAGATTACAACTGACTCAACCCCGTGCAGCTGCCACACCACCCACACTGCCACATCAAGGTTTTGGGGGGCGTTTTTTTGGTACCAGGGATCAAACTCAGGTCCTTGTGCTTGCGCAGCAGGCGGTGAAACCACTGAGCTAAATCCCCGGCCCTTGTTTTCTTTTTTATTTTTTTGAGATAGGGTTTCACTATGCATTGCAGGCTGGCCTTGAACTCACTGTATAGCCCTGGCTGGGCTGGAACTCATGGTGAACCTCCTACCACAGCCTCCCAAGTGCTGGGATTTCAGTCATGCACCTCCACACCCGGCTAATATCAAGCCTTATTTGTACAAATACAGCTGGGAATGTGAGATAAAAAGTCATGCAATTTCAGTGGTATTGATAATTTTTCTGAGGTGCTTTTTTCCCCCCTAGCTGAACTGCTCACCACCATCCCATATACTCCTCTACCTGGTCCCATGAGTAGTTGAAACATTAAAATTGGTTTGTTAGAAAAGTCAAATACCTATAATTTAAATATTCTATAATAATTCCCTGTGCTAATGTGTTCATAAAATTGTTGGAATCTCCTGAGTAACAAGTATTTTTTTGTACACTAGAAAGGTGAGTGGTGGATAGAGGGTGGTCACTGGAAAGACGAAGGCAAGATTAAAGGGTCAGGAGTTCAGCCCCAGCTTCTGGGAAAAGGACTGAAGCTTAAGTTGATAATCAGTGAACAATATTCATTCAGTCATGCCTATGTAATGAAGCTTTCATTAAAAAAACAAAATGGAAAGGACCAATTTTGGGTGGCTTCCAGAGTTAAATACATAGAGGTTTCTGGAGAGTACATACCCAGAGAGGACACAGAAGCTCCACACCCCTTCCTGTATCTTGCTGTTGATCTCTTCCAGGCTGTTCGTCCTGATCCTTTGCAATATCCTTTACAGTAAACTGGTAAACATAAGTGTTTCCCTGAATTCTATAAGTTGCTTGAGCAGGTTAATTGGACCAAGGAGGAGGTCATGAGTACCCTGCTCTATGGAACTGGCTAGCCAAAAGTTCTAGAGGCCTGGCTTTGCACTTGGTGCCTGAAATGAGAAGCAGTCTGTAAGCCTGAGTTCCTTAATCTATAGCATCTGATGCTATCTTCAGGTAAGTGTCAGAATTGAATTGGAAGATGCCCATCTGGTGTCTGCTGCCAAAAACGATTGGTTTCTAGGAAGAGAGAAATCCACAATTTGGCGACCAGAAGTGCTGTGTTACAACTCCATCACCCCAGAATGATATTTAGCATGTCTCATCCACTGGATCTTCAAGACAAGAGCTCAAGTTCAAAACGTATTACCTGACACCCAATAAAACTTAAAAGACAAAAAACATGCCCTTCCCACTATAGGACTTTGGCCAGAAAGATTCTCAGAATAGATGCTTGTTAAATTGAAGGGGGAAGTCTAAATAACATTTCAGAGGCAATTCCCCACCTGTCTTTACATCCTCTTTTTTTGTAAAGACAGGTTAGTTTAGGTTCAAATCCTGTACCCACTAGACATATGTGACCTTGAGCAATTTAACTTCTTTAAGCTTCAGTTTTCTCTAAAAATAAGTGTCTAATAAGATAATTGGCGGTAGGGCCAGGGATTTAGCTCAGTGGTTCCAGTGCCTGCCTCGAAAGCACAAGGTCCCGAAAAAAAAGATAATTGTCGGTGAATGAGAATATATGTAAAGCGTTTACAACAGTGCTTGTTGCACAGTAGCCCTCAATAACTAACCTTATGGAGATATACTATAACCTTTAGGTGGTTTACAAATTACAAAAATCTAAGATAATTCAGCAGTGGGCTGATGAGTCGAAGACTCTACCAACGTGGTAATTGCTCAAGCATGTTAAGTAACACCACGGAGTGAAATGGTCTTGACAGTCGTGTTGAAACAGAGTCCAAACGACTGAAGGAAGTGCGATTTTTTCTTTTAATGTTTTATCTATTTGCTGAACAAAGATCCAAAAGGAGGGCTGCTCCGGGGAATAATGGATGCCTTCCACCTCCTCTAGGAGTAAAAAGAAAAATATCCTCGTAAACCTGCTTGTCTGCCTCTTAACACAAAACGCTAGGCTACGGCTTGAAACTATGCCGAGGAAAGCCCTGTGACAGCCACCATGGGAGGAGGGGTGTGGGGCAAAAGGGCAGCGGTTTGTGTGGGCTGAACTGAAACACGACACTAGTAACTGAATTAGGGCGCTCCTTCCCACTGGCGAGGTGCTAACCCTCGGTGCTCTGGACTGAGAGGAGGTCGGGATCACTAACCAAAACAATTTGTGCCCAACCTGTTTCGAAACCACCTGGTGAATGGCGCGCTAGACAGAAAACGGTAGGACCCGCAGTCCAGGTTCGAGAAAGCACAGAACCCAGCGAGGCCGGGGTGGGGCGTGTAGCCAAGGACAGCCTCAGGCTGGGTCAACGCCCCGGCACGGCGCCGCCGCCCAGAGAAGCGGGCAGGCTCCCAGCGGGACTTCCTACCCGGGGGTGGAGTCGCGGACCGGCCAGACACCCGCCCTGCCTGTGGCTGCCCAGCAACCCGCGGCCTTTCACAGTCCCCGCAGCCCTCGGCGCCGCCCACACTCGCTCTAACAAGATCGCGGCTACCACTGCTCCGAAGCCGGCGCCGCTGGCGTCATCCTGACGTCACGCATGACGCCGCCGCAGGAGGGCGTTTCCGGAGCGCGCGCCAGGAGACGGCTGCTTACGTCGGCCTCAGGTGCGCGCGCGCGCCCGCCCGCCCGCGGCCCAGGTGGTGGCCCGCAGGTCCTGGCGGCGGCGAGGGGCGACTGGCGGCGCCACGGAGCTCTGTCCCCGCGGGTACGGTGTACAGGGAGGGAGCCAGAGTGCGGAGAGAAGCCAGAGGGCGCCTGGGCTTGAGCTCACGTGACGGGCGGGGAGGTCGGCGGGGGGGGGGGGCAGGGGGGCCTGGGCCGGGAGGGCGCGGTGAATGCCCGGCCCCACCCCTCCGGGCCTGTGCGGCGCAGGACCCTTCCGTCGGCATGGGCCGGGTCCAGGTCAGCCGCTCCCCGTCCCGGGCCCGCCTAGTGCTGGCGGCGGCCCGCCGGCGCTGACCAGTTGTCTCCGTAGGGCCGCGGCGAGAGGACCAGAGTCCGCGCTTCCCAAGGAGCCGTGCCCGCCGCCCTGGAGGGGATGGAGGGCTGCTCCAGAGCTCCCCGCAACCCCACGCTGGCTAGCCGCCTCTAGCTGCTCGAATTGTGCGTTTTATCCACCACCTCCTAGGCCTTGTCTCTTGATTCAGTGGCGTCGTGATTGGAAAGAAATGGAAGAAAAGGAGCGATGTGACCTATTCCAGTCGGTCCTCCTGCGTTAAGGCCTGGTTGGCATTTGCAGAGAGGAAGGCACAGCAAGGAAGGAAATCGTGTCTTTCTGGAGGAGGGTGGGTAAAGAGTAACAAGGTCTTATGTTTTGTATGATTTTTTAAAGCCCAGCACTTTGACGGTGGTGGCGATATAAACTAATTCAAAAGTTATTTTTCTATTGGGAAGTGAGAAGAGGGGAATTTTTCTTTTTCTTTTTTGATCCCAACCTTTTCTCTCAGTGACAAAGCATAAATCATGGACACCAGAGAATAAGGTGGACCTCAGGAGGGAAGAGTGGGTTGTTTTCAGCCCTCTCTGGAACCTAAAATTAAAAAAACATGAGTTGCGTGCCATGGAAAGGAGACAAGGCCAAATCTGAGTCCTTGGAGCTGCCCCAGGCAGCACCCCCACAAATCTACCATGAGAAACAGCGCAGGGAACTTTGTGCCCTACACGCCCTCAATAACGTCTTCCAGGACGGCAACGCCTTCACGCGGGAAACGCTGCAAGAGATTTTCCAGAGGTAGGGTGCCCCTTCTTGGCATCCTGATGCCCACTCCTTGGTATTTCTGAGTTTGTGTGGGTGGGGCAATGTCTCATGTACATACGTCTTTGAACCTGCAAGTATTAACTAGATGTGGTCAGCAGGTATAAGGGATGCAGGAATGGGAAAGAGAATCGCTTCCATTTATGGACCACTTACTTACTGAGGCCTCAGATGTGTTCTTTCAAGAGATCTTCTTTTCAAAAAAAAAAAAAAAAGATCTTTTTTCAAGAGATCTGTTCAATAGCTTCATGGAATCCATTCTACATGCAGTTATTTCCAGTTTATAGATGAAGACTGCACTCAGCAAAATGCAGTAATGTGTTACAGTAGTATAACAAGCATTAGAGCCAGGGTTGCTATCAGGCTTATGTGTCTGCTGTTGATGTTTGTGCTGTAACATCGTCCTCTCAAGTCCTGCCACCAAGTTTACAGTTTAGAAAGGGGACATAATAATGTCCACGGTTACCTGCCTCCGAAGGTTGGAATGTGGTAGGTACCACAAGAAAGGTGTACACACACTACCCAGCTTTTCTGTGAAGCCGCATGCTGGCCTTGGTGCTTTTTAGAACATTTGTTTTGTGTGGCCATCTCTCAATGGTCATTTTACTGATAGGGAAACAGGCAGAAAGATCAATAATTCATCCAAGTCAGTCCTAAAGAGCAAACTGTGATTTGAAGCTGACTCCATATCCCTCCCCCACTCCCTTTCTACGTTATTCTAGATGGCCTTTCTTTTTTTGTTTTGTTTTTGTTGGTACTAGGGGATCAAACTCAGGACCTTGCACTTGCTTGAGGCAGGTGGTGGAACAACTGAGCTAAATCCCCGGCCCCTAGATGGCCTTTCTTATCCACTAAAATACCACCCCACAAGTAGGTAGAAGTTCAGCTTTTTGCTCTTTGCTTTGATTTTCTAGATTTCTTTTACCAGAGAGTTAGGGAATTAGTTCTGCAGTGTTTGGATGGACACAGAGCATGGCGGCAGTGCACAGAACCCTTGGCCATGAGCCTGTCTGATCACTCCAGCTAGAAAGGGTTAGACTTGCCCAGTCCTCAGGGTAGGAAAAGCTTGAGGTGTCTTCAAGCAGAGCACACTGACACTTCCAAGGACTTTTTTTTAATTCCCTTTATTTAGAGATGAAATTACTGCAGCACAGGAGCCTGAGTCACAGCCAAAATCAGTCTAGTTGTATGATTTTTGAAGAATAGGTGTGGACCAGTTTCCCTGGAAGAACCATAAGCTTTCTCTTAAAAGAATGTTAATTTGAGCATGCTGACAGAACTATAATGAGAGTAATTATTTTCTAATGCCAGTAATAACTGAAGTAGTGCTTTCGCCATAGCAAAGCAGATGTGTCATTTGCATCATGCCCATTATCTGGCAGCAAGAAGAGTGCCAGCTTTAGGAAATGGGGTCCTGGGAGGTAAGATAATGTGTCACAGATCACCAAATCCTGTGATAGGACAACCCAGTCCCTTGAACTGCTTCTTTTTGGCCAGCCATTAATTTTTCTCCTACTCCTTCAGTATTTGCAAATTATTTCCTAATCCAAAACTAAGAAGAAGGAAAGGATTCATAGTACTTGAGTTACTTGGTACTTCACAATATGTATTGATGATCCCAGAACAACCTTAGGAAATGGGACTCAGTTTGAGTGATTTGCACAGTTAGTACCCTAGTGAATAAATGTCAGATACAAAAATTCTGTGTACAGTTACACTGAGGAGGAAAAGTCTTCTGTAAATTTGGCCTCTGATCTGACAAGGGGAATATTTTTTTTTTTTTTGTACCGAGGATCGAACTTGGGTCCTTGTGAGGCAAGCGGTGGAACCACTGAGCTAAATCCCCGGCCCAAGGGGAATAATTGTGAGAAGAATAACAGAGCACTGTTCTGAGTGCTTCCCTTGTGCTGAGTACTCATGAGAGCACGGGGGGGGGGGGGCAGGCTCTGTTGTTTCCCTTTTTTCCAGATGAAGTCGTGGCACAGAGGGTGCACAGAGCTGTTCATGGCAGGATTTGGACTCAAGGTTTATGGCTGCAGGGCCTGTCTCCTGCGTGCTGCAAACTGGAAAGGCTTGTCTGAGCTGTTGTATCACCAGTAGCTGGTCATGCTGCTAGTACCTGCAGCCAGATCTGAAGATCTGGACTGTGATTATTGAATATTTGTGGATAATAGCAGGAGTTTTCAGCTGCAATTCTTGAGTGAAAGATCTCTTAATATCTGCGAAACAGCCACATGGAACCAGGGACCTGTTCCTTTTAAAGCTTTTTGTTTGTTTGGTTTTTGTTTGTTTTTTTGTTTTTGGTACTGGGGATTGAACTTGGGTCCTTGCCGCTTGCGCAGCAGGCAGCGAAACCACTGAGTTAAATGCCTGGCCCAGTTTGTTTTTTGAGATAGAGTCTTGCTATGTAGTTCAGACTGGCCTTGAATTCACTATCCAGCCCAGGCTGGCCTCAAACTCAACAGCAGTCCTCCTGCCTCAGCTTCCCAAGTACTCTTAAGTTTTTTCAAATTGTACTGCACTCCTCCATTCCCTATCAGCACAGTATAAAGATCTACCGGAGAATAAAAATAAACCAGTACATAAAACAGAATTCCAGAAGTAAAATTCTATCTAGAGCATTTTGTATGGAAAGCTTCGCTATATATAGGTAGGAACAAAAGTGTGGAAGAAATACAGAGGAAAAATCAAAGGGATAAAAGGTGAGGGAGAGAAGATGGAATTTTTTAAACAAACATTGAGCAGCTTTCTTGCAGTGTGCCAGGCACCACAAGGCACTAGAGAAAACGAGCTGAACAGGACATCTCAGAGTTGTACTCTGAACAGGTCTTAGAAAAGATTTAGGTGAAGAGAGAAGCATGGAATTCAGAGCCATTTAGAAGTAAAAAAGGGGGGTCTCTTCATATCTTGATGGGAAGAAAAGTAAAGCTGTCAAGTGTAAGAACTAGATAACTTTTAAGTTCTCAGACCTAAAATTCTCTGCTGTTTTGAAGATGTGGCTAATGAGTGGTAGAAATGGGAAGAAAATGTTGATAAGTGCTGTTTTGTTGAGAGGAAGTTCATCTTAGCAGTTGAGTTTTAGCCAAATAGAAGAGGAAGAGGAGAAATACAAAAGCAGGGTGGAGTTTCAGTAGAATCATGGATATGAGATGACTCACACTTAGAGTAGAAATGAGTAGGAGCTCAGAACTGAGCTGATCACTGCCAGGAAGGGACTAGGAAGAGAAGTCAGTTGTGACCAAGGCATGGTCCAGGACGAAAGCTCAGAGTGTATGTGTATGTAGACAAGGATGTTAACTGCAGATGTCTTACCATGTCTTTGTCTTAAGCTTTGAAAAAGGAGGGTGGTAGAGGTCAAATGATACAGTAGCAGCTTGGCCAAGTGGTTTTGAAAATGCTCAGGCCTCAAACATTTTGCAGGATGCATCCCAGTTTTTCATTGATCAGACTTTCTTGCAGCTGGCTGTGCATTCTTCTCCCAAATAGACTATCTGTTACAGTCTAATTAGATGAAAACTAGCTTGGTACGGGGGAGGGGGAACTAATGACAATTGGAAAGAACAAAGAAATTGGGGTGTTGTTGTACCTTAAAGAGTAGGCACTCCACCTTCTCCATTAAAGGTCTCTGAGCAGGTAGAAGAAACCACATGTAAATGTGTGGTAGTTATAAGTTGAGAAAAAGATTTGAATGTTTTGTCCAAGAGCCAGGAAAACATAATAATAGTAGCTAACCTAAAGAATTTACATGGCTAGCTCTATAATCTGTCCTTTATTTAGAAACATCGGGATGCCAGGTGTGGTGGTGCATGATTATAATCCCAGCTACTCAGGAGGCAACAGGATTGCAAGTTCGAGGCTAATCGGGCAATTTATCAAGACCTTGTCTCCAAAAATACGCTGGGATGTAGCTCAGTGGTAGGGCACTTGCCTAGCATATGTGAGACCAGGGGTTCAGTGCCTAGTACTGGAAAAAAAAAAATCAGGAAATTTTGAGCCATTCCCCCCCCCCCTTTTCTCCCTTTGCAATACTGGGGATTTCTTTTCAGAGTACCTGGAATTGAATCCAGGGGCTTTGCACTGAGCTACATCCCCAGCCCTCTTTTCAAATTTTTATTTTGAGGCATCATTTTTGTTCAGTTGGCCGAGTTGGGCTCAAACCTGCATTCCTTCTGCCTCAGGTTCCAGTATTGAGCCACATTTTTTAATGTCACATCTCCCAGACCTGACAAGGAATTCGGGGAGGAAATGAACCTTAATGAAATGCCTCCCTGTCTCCCTTTCATAAAAATTCAAAATCATCATGGCCAGATGCACTAGTAATCAGGAGAGAGTTCCAGGGACTTAGCTGAGGGTGTGGAGACCTGGGCTAGAGGCTAGTCACTTCAGATCTTCTGGCTCTGCTCTATGTGATGACAGACATGAGAGGCTTGCTTTAGAACCCAAAGTTTGTATGGAAATCAGTAAGACAGTCTTGAACAGGCGTTTGCCAAAACAACTTTCCATGGGAAGGCAAACAGGACCTTGTAGAATTCACTGGAACCAGAAGACTTCAGTATTTTCCTGGGTTAGAGGTTAAACCCTGGCTCTGCCACCAACTGCATGGCCATGCAAATCCTGAGATAGCCTTAGGACCTCAGCTTCTTTATTTACAGAATATCAAGATTGCTGGGAGGATTAAGTGACAAAGTCCATGGATGCATCTAACACAGTGGGCATCTGATTATTAGTAAAATAGCAAGTACTTGGGTGGTGCACCCAGGGGACCTCCCTACTCAAAAGAGCACCCTCTAGGGTGGGATGGAAACTACTCAGCATTCCAAATCTTGAGGGGTTTAGACAATCTATTTCATCAGGTGCCAATGCCTAGCCAAAAGATACAGAGTGAAAGAGCTTCAGGGACCTGTTTGGTTATACATGTATAAAATGAATTCTTCAGTCCCATGAAGTAGGAATCATTCCCATTTATATGGATCATTCACAACAAATGTCTGGGTGGTCAGATAGGTTTGGGAACTGAAACATATTGTGTAACAGGCGTGGAGATTAACTTTTTTTGATTTGGAGGCTCTCCATGTTGCCCAGGCCCAAGTAGCTGGGACTTCAGGGGTGCACCACCACATCCAGTTTAGCCTCAGAGATTAAATCTCACAGTGTAGATGACACCTAGAAGTGAATTTGGATAAATGTTATTCCTCCCAGTCGCCCTCCATTTTCACAGAGGAGCCAGAAAGGATTACATGGGAGAGATGGGATGTGAGGTTGAGCTTTAAGAAGCTGCAGGATTTGGCTTGGAACTAGACAGAGGATAAAAGAGCAGAGGCCATGTGGTGACAGTGCCTAAAGGGCACTAAGCCCCGGGAGAGCAGAACAGCAGGCCCAGTAGGGCTGGGGGTTTGGAGTTAGCCGAGCTGGCAGGTGGCGTGACTGTCAGTTCTTATGTAAGGGAGTGAAGTGACATCTTGGTGACTGTGGCAGGATACAGGCTGAGTTGGTGGAAGGAGAGTTTGGAAGCAAGGAGATCAGCCTAAGAACCTGTTTCAGAAGTCCAGGTATACTTGAGGGGCCTCCAGTTAGGACAGAGGTAGTGGGAATAGACAAGAAAGGATTTCAATTTGAAATGGAAGATGAAGGCCAAGGAAGAGAGATCCTTGGGACAGTCTTGAAAGGTGAACTTCAGAAGAAATGCCTGGCTGGTCAGATATGTTTGGGAACTGAAGCATATCATGTAACTTCCTTTCCTGGAGACACAGGTGAAGATTATCAGAGTAGGGACTCCCAGAGTACCTGCAGGAAACCTTTTTACTTGCTTGGTTCATTCAGTTGTTATGGTATTGGAATATTGGGTGCCTTCCAGTTTCTCTGATACTAAGCCCAGAGCTAGGATCACTGGGAATGTGGTAGCTCTGCTCTAAGATGTGTGCCTGCAGGGAGGTACGTGGTGAGAGATGGAAGACTCACTGTTGTTCCTGTTGGGATCTTCTTCCTTGTACTGGTCAGGGACATCACAGGAAGGAATTAGAGGCCACTGGAAAGTGAGTGGGGGAAAGGAGCCTGTGAGATCTTGAGCTTGGCCTTCTTTTCCTGAGCTTTCTCACCAGGGAAAACCTTTGTCCTTTTAAGCTGTGTGTTTCAGCCCCAGGCCTTAGGGACTCAATGACCCTTCCTCTTAGCAACCTGCACCCCCACCCCCACCCCACCCCGTCACTAATATTGAGAAAGGAAGAGATAGAATAACAAAAATAAACAAAGGATATTTCAAGAAACATTCTTTGAGTACCTGGTGTGTGCCCGGCACTCGAGGCCCTAGCGGATGATAACTATTAACAGTTAAGACCCCAGGCATCGCTACAGCAGAAAACCAGCACAGGAGGAAACGTGTCTGGTGTAACAAAGGGCTGTAATAAAACCAAAGCAGATGGACAGTGAAGAAGCAGAAGAGGAAGTGACTGGGAGAAACTTAAGGTTGGGTAGCCAGAAAAGGTTTTTGTGTGGCAGTAACTTTGAGACCCAAATAATAAGGTGCAAAGCTCTTGGGGAGGAACATTTCCAGGCCATGGGGAGCGGGAAGAGCAAGTGAGTCCCAAGTGAGAGCGAAGCTTATGTATTCCCGGAACAAGAAAAAGATCATGTGTAAGAAGAAAGAGCAGAGGTCAGCAGATGAAGGTGTTTAGATTGTATGCACCTATGCAGTTTTAGTAGTTAATTTGTTTATTTTTGGTTTTCTGAGTCAGGGTCTCACTAGGTAGTCCAGGCTGGCCTTGAACTTGCCATCCTCCTGCCTCAGCCTCCACAGTGCTGGGATTAGAGGCATCCACCACCATGCCTGGCTAGCTTGTAATTAAATTCTCTGTGTATGATTGGAGGGTTTTAAGCAGTGGCAGGAGTATGTTTTATGTACATATGTTTAAAAATATCAGTAGCTCAGTTGTAGAACACTGCATATCTAGCATGTGCAGAAGCCCTGGATCCCCAGCACAGGAAAAGAAAAAAATCAGTATGGAGAAGTAAAAAACATGATGTTTTTAGAGTTGATGTGCTTCTAAAGGGCCGAGGATATAGCTCAGTGGTGCCACACCTGCCTGATGTGCTTCACGTCTGAGTTCCCTGCTGGAGATGGTACATCAGGGCCTTCTGGACACCTGCCCTCCACTTTGTCCCTTTCACAGAAAGGTCAAAGGCATGCCGAGTCTCCCTTCAGGATGGCCTTTTTTCAGCTCCTGGCCTGACAGATCTCTGAAAACAAAATAATAGGATTGCAAATGCCTTCAGCACAGGCTTTGTCTTGAAATGGACTTGCTAGAGTCCTGGCAGAAAGTGGCTGGAAGCTGGGTGGGTCAACCAGCACTGTAGGTGAGTTGTTTGTCTGGCACAAAATTTTTCTCAGTTAGCTGGATATGGTGCGCTTTATAATCCCAGGTACTTGGGAGGCTGAGGCAGGAGGATCACAAGTTCGGCACTAGCCTGGGCAAGTTAGCAAGGCCTTGTCTCAAAATAAAAAAGGACTGGGGGTAGTTGACTTTGGGGCTGGGGATTTAGCTCAGTGGTTCTGGCGCCTGCCGTGCAAGCACAAGGTCCCGAGTTCAATCCCCAGTACTCAAAAAAAAAAAAAGGACTGGGGGTGTAGTTCAGTGGTAGAGCGGTTGCCTAGCTATGGGTCTCCATTAACACACACACACACACGGGTTTTTTCAATTGATTCTTTGTGTTTTAATTTAATTTTTTTTTCAAGTACTACACACAGATTTGGAATGCTTTCAGGTGTATCATATGTTCCAGATTAACACAGGGCTTACTAATTTTTAGTGCCTTACATCTGGCCCCAGTTCATGCATTTGTTACCTGCCTGGGCCTCTGTAGGCCTTTGAGTATTTAATTATTACCAAGTGTGCAAGCTTTAAATAGCACTTAAACTGTAAAAAAACCAAAAAACAAAAACCTCCCCAGCAGTAACCAGTCACTATCCACACAAGTACACATATTACATATGTTTCCCACTATTTAAGAAAAGACTTGCATCAAGGCAGGAAGATCAGTGATAGGAAAACGGCAGAGAGGCTGCAGTGGGCTGGGGTTTTGTGAATGAGACTCCTTTGTGGATCATTTTTTGTGTTCATTGATTTAATTGTAGAAACACTTTTTGAATGGCAGCCAGATAGGTCCCACTCCTCCTGAACTGTTTTGCATAGAGAGAAAAGCCCTAGGGAAGCAGGAGCCCAAAGGTCAGCATACTTAGGTAGACCTGGAGAAACTAGCTTACATCGCAGTGATATAAAGTGCTTTTCTGGGCTGAGGGGTGGAGTGTCAGCAGACCAGCAAGTCTCAGCCCTCCTCTTTTCGAATTGTAGGTTGTCTCCAAACACCATGGTGACACCCCACAAGAAGAGCATGCTGGGAAATGGGAACTACGATGTGAACGTCATTATGGCAGCACTTCAGACCAAAGGCTATGAAGCTGTTTGGTGGGACAAGCGCAGGTAACATGAACCAGACTTGACTCAATGAGAACAGGTCATGGCATGGGCCCAAGTCTGGGACTCCTGATGGGGAGGTGGCCAGCTGTGGTGGTACAACCAGGCGGCCTTGGAGGAGGTCCAAGGCTGGGCACCTCAGAACCTGAGGCATGTCTGTTTCACAGGGATGTCGGTGTCATTGCTCTTACTAACGTCATGGGGTTCATCATGAATCTGCCCTCCAGCCTGTGCTGGGGACCACTCAAGCTGCCCCTCAAAAGGCAGCACTGGATCTGCGTCCGAGAGGTGGGAGGCGCCTACTACAACCTTGACTCCAAACTCAAGATGCCTGAGTGGATCGGAGGCGAGAGTGAACTCAGGTAATCCTCACCGTGGCTAAGCTGCCAGCTTCTCCTGTTTGCTAGTTCATCGAAGTTGAGCTCATCTGTGGTTATTTGACAGAGGAAATGAAATTCCTATGTACTCGGATCCTCTCCCTGCCTTACTTGGCCATAGGTCTGAGACCTGAAAGACCTTTTTTGGGGAGGTGGGGGTTGAGACAGGGTCTTGCTATGTATTGCAGGTTGGCCTTGAACTCACAGCAATCCTCTTGCCTCAGCTTCCCAAGTGCTGAGGTTGTAAGCATGTGCCACTATGGCCTGAAAGTCCTTAATCAAGACTTTCTTCCTTTTGTTAGGCAAGTTCCACAATTTGGGATCCTGGCCTTCTAGGGGCTGGCATTTTCTCCACTGAGACAACCAGGGTCATTTCATTGATGTTCAGAGAAAGGAAGACAAACACTCAACCAGAAAGGGATAAAGGTTTTTTGTTTTTTCTTTTGTTTTGTTTTTATTTTTCTGGTACCTGAGATTGAACTCAGGACCTTGCGCTTTCGAGGCAGGCAAGCTGAATCCCCGGCCCTCTAAAGTTTTTTCAGACAAGTAGAAGCCTTTTATTTTCCCTTCTATTCCTCATAGATCCAGCTACAGTCAGCAGTATGAGCATGAGGAGTATTCAGGTTGGAATTCTACCTGGACAGACCGAGGGGAGCCTCCACAAACAGTCCACCACTAGAATGTTTTAGGATTACCAATGTATAGATGAGGTCTTTGCTCAACGAATGGCCCTGAGGTTGGAATTCAGTTCACCAGGATTTCATTTTCTCTCTCACCTGTTCCTCTGTAGGAAATTTCTAAAACATCATTTGCGAGGAAAGAACTGTGAACTCCTGCTGGTGGTGCCAGAAGAGGTGGAAGCCCATCAGAGCTGGAGGGCCGATGTGTAACAGTTCTGCCCAAGCTGCCCCTGCCCCACCCTCCAGGTCTCTGTGATGTGCTGTGGCCTGTGCGGTGGGTCTGCCCTGGCCGCTTCCCCAGACATCTCATTGGGCTTCCCCTTCCGATCTGCCAGTGCACTAGGCCAGGTGTGTGGACTGTCACAAGAACCACCCACTGTCTGTGACTGGGAAAGGAAGGGAAGGGCCCACGCACTGAAGGCCAGCCATTGGGAAGGCAGGGTGGGTCCCAGCTGTTTGCCCCTTTCTCTGAGGACCTGACAGAGGTTCTGCTGGAATCATCGCTGCTGCTCCAGGCTCCCCCCACTTTTCTCTGCCATGGCACCAGTGGGTCTGAAGACACAGTTTTGTCTTTTTTGAAGACAAAACCCAGCAACTGCCTCCAAGGACCCAGAGCATAAGTGTCTCTCAGGAAATCGTCTCCCGGACCCCAGCAGCAGTACCACATGCTGGGCCATCTGCAGCTCTTAATGCCACCCCACCCCACTTTTACAGGTGGTTTATGGCCAGCCTTGAGCTTTATAATGAAAAGTTCTCTAATATTCCAAGCCAGGTGGCTAAATCCCACAATCTTCTGGCAAGACAAGGGTGAATACATAGCTAAGAGGATGTGGCTAAAGCCAAACTGGGACAGGCATGGGGTGGCTTTTCTTCACTCCAGTTTGTCCATACCATTTCACTACATTGATTTAGAAGGCTCTGGAGCAAAAGTCAAGGAAAATGGGCAGTTTTCATACTTTGTCCACTCTGGCAAAATCAGAAAATGATGTTTACCCTTGATAGCAAATTCCACTAGCTTGGGACAGAAGTGGATGAGGGAAGTAATGTGAAGATAACGTTTCTCAGAGTTAAAGAGCGAATAGAAATGGCAGAGATCCTGGGCTCCAAGGCTGAGTCACTGTGTTGACAAGCAGCAGAGCCTACAAGTCGGTGGTTCTGTGCATTGTTATAGGACCTGGGTTTGTCATCTCCATGTAGTTTCCTTTACAAATCACCGGATTGACCCACCCCCTACCTCGAGGTAGTTGTAGGCCACATTTCTCCTGTAACGTTGGAAAACAAAAGAGGAGAGGAAGTTGTCATACCATGTGTCACCAAAGTGGCTGTGGTTGCCTTAGGACAGGTGGGCAGGTAGGGGCGACATGGCCAGCCCTTCCAGATCCATGGTCTTGGCAGGTTGGAGGGCTGCCCCACTGGCCAGACTTCTCTCCAGCAGCAGAGCCAGCCTGGGGCTTGCATGTTGATCCTCAGCAAGCTTCACAGGGGAAGCCAAGGTTTGCTCCCCACTGTGACTGGAGTGCATGTTTACACCAGCACTTTTTCTGCACATGTATCTTCAATCCAACAAGGCTGTTTTTTATGCCGAGTAACAAGAGGCCCCAAGCAGCAACTGCATTATGCCCTCTCAGCAACTGGCCATGGTCTCTGCACCATTTTATACACCAGACCTGCTTGGCACCACAGGGAGCTCTTTCCCCCTGCACAATGACATTCCACCCACACCAGGCAGGAAGTTACAGCCAACCTTGCTGACTGTCACAAGCAGGACTGTGGGTCCATTGGCACTGTCAGTGAGAGTAAGCCATTTCCTGGGAGGAGGAAACTCCTCTCCACAAATTTGATTGGGCTTGTGCAAATGGCACTTCAGAGTCCCATGCACATGGAGTGCACGAGCCAATGGAATATGCAAAGATGCTTCAACATTTCAGGGCTGGTTTCTCTGTTCATATCCAATTCTGGTGCTTAGGAACGGGGACCCATGCTGATGCCCAAGGGCGGAAAGCCCACTCCTCTAAGGAAGGGAGCAGGCCTGACCCTGATGCCCCGTAAGGGGCAATCCTAGGCTTTGTTTTTCTTGCTTTTGTTCCCTTTTTTTGTTGGCCTTGTGCTGGGTTTGTTTACAAAAGATGTATTTTGTTTAACCAAATATTAAAAATGGAAAACTCCATACGTGAATCTTGTCTGCCTGAATTCTATAATTATGTAAAGAAAAAAAATAAACAATAGTATGATGCTGTTTCAAAAGGAATTCATTACTATCATAAGTCATCCTTTAGAATTACATTAAGCTCTGATCAAACTTTTTACCTGAAAAATCCAGACAAAATATTTCACGTGGAACTTGGCTCTGAAGGTGCCCAAAGCTTTTTTTTTTCTTCAAGCCAGCGTCTCACTAGGTAGGCTGGCATCGAGCTCTTGATGCTTCTGCTCCAGCTTCCTGAGTGCCAGAACTACAGGCATGTGCTACCAACACCATACCCACCTCCAAGGTGTTTTGGAGTTTACCTTAATTTAAAAGATTAGGCTTGGCAATTTGAAGCCACAAGGTAGGCATAAGTTTGTACCTGCTGATGGAGGATCAGTGTTTGTCCTTAAGTTGAAAGGTGAAAGGCCATGCACTGGGCCTGGGCTGTCTGCATCCGGAGTACACTGCAAGGCCTGTACTTGGAAGGCTGAATCTAGGTCCAGCTTTTACTACAAGACCTCATGTACATTACTTAATCTTTCAAAAGAATACTACCACCTCCTAAATTGCATAGTATTCTAATAAATACATCCAAGGCAAAGTATGTTTGATGCTTATTAAAAACATAGTAAATGGAAAAACTGCAAAGTTCAGACAAGGCTGCAGCTGGTTTCATCATCAGTGGTTCATTTCAGCAATAACTTTTTAAAAACTAGGTCACAAAAAAGTTCTGTTTAGGGCTAGGGATTTAGCTCAGTGGCACCGCGCTTGCCTTGCAAGCACAAGGTCCTGAATTTGATCCCTGGTACCGAAAAAAAAAAAAAATGTTGTTTGCAAACTTAGCCCCATCACTGAGACTAGAAATCAGTACTTACTGTAAATATTTTATGATGTCACTGAAGACTGCAAGTACACAGAGCTGATCCTTTGCTTTAGGTTCATGGATCTGAAAGTGGTTACTTGAATTAGGGCAAAGGCTGCTAGTAAGAGGTGTCCAAAAATGAAATTTCTTTTTCATTTTGGGAAACAAAATTACACCTATGAGATGGATTAGTGGAGACAGAGGTGTTGGCTTAGGTGAGGAGATCTGAGGTACTGTGTGTCTCTGGCCTTCTCAAATGATCCTATGTAATTCTGAGGTACCTGTCACAAGCACATGGATAACACTTTGAGTTGGAATAATTTTTAATGTTTAAATACAAAAAGTGAGCACTGACCTTTCTTATACACAGGCCTGATAGCCAAAGTGTGCAGAGGAAATGAGCCCCTGCTTTGTCCCCAACAGCCCTCATCATCCTCATCTTGGGGCTGAAGCTGCAACAAGCCTCCCTCTCCAACACACACAAGGATTTCTGGTGCTTTATAATACAGCTGTAATGTACCGTGTCAGTTTTATAACGTGTGCACATCCCTCCCCAACATCGCCATTCTTGGAAAGACAAAAATAACCCAAAACCAGTTATTAATGGTTGGGTGTCTGTCCCTCCCACTGGCATCAGTTTTTACCCCATCTGGGATAATTTGGAGGAGTTTACTAAAAGGGGTTGGGTGGCCAGAGCTGAAGTAACCGTCCATGTAGCTGCACTCCAGTATCAGCGAGGAGAGGACAGTGAGGACAGCGTGTAGGGCACAGCTGCAGGTTGGGAGTCTCCATAAAACAACAAAGGGAGAATTCTCCCTACCAGGTTTACGTCAATGTGCCTAAGTTTAAAAAAACAAGAAACAAACAGCAGTTCAAACACAACTGAGTTTGACCTGCTTCCACCAAGACAGCTCAAATGTTATCAGTTAACAATCTAGATCTTTCCAGGAAGCGAAGGTAGAGGCCCTGGCATTCCTCCTGAAAGCCCTGTGTTAGGCCCTAGAAGTATCTGGAAAAGAAAAAAGACAGGAGTAAGGAACTATATAGGCCTAGGGTTGTCACTTTCACCATAACTGATGGGGCAGACAGACACTGCTGAGCAAAAGCCCAATCCCAAGCCCCCACCCCCACGTTAAATGCCAGTCTACCAAGGTACTGGAGAAATAAATAACTCGAGTCTCCCACTGGCAAAAAGCCCAGGGTTCAGGCTCACCTGCCGCTGCTGCAGCTGCTGCTGTTGTTCCATTTGCAACTTCTCAGTCTCAAAAACAACAGGAAGAACCAGGATCATAAAGGAAGTGGTCCCGATCCACAACGCTGCCCTGGAAAACCTGCAGAGGGAGGGTGAGCATGGAGAGATGCAAACAAAAACAGCCTGGCCAAGAATAAAACCCTAAACGAACCTCTGCCCTAGTACACCAGTGTTTTTTGAAGTGTATTCTACTCCCTCTTTGCACCACACTCCTACAACACACAGGAGCAGCAGTTCTGGGACCTGTATTGTCTAGTGACAGCAGTTTAACATTATCCTGCGCTCTTAAGCTGCTCAAACATTAATGACCTGAAACGATACCCATAACGACCTTGCTAAGTAAGAATCCCCACTTTATAGAAAAATAAATTGAGACTCAGGTTAGGGAGCCATCAGTCCAAGGTCACCCGAACCCAGGTCTGCTGTTTCCAAAGCCCGTGTTCTTTCACAGCACCAGTCACCCCCTGCAAATCCCCAATGTCTTTGCCCCCGCCACTTACCTGTACATTTTTTGAGCCACAAAGAGGGAGAGATCGAAAGTGGCTCCGGCCGCGGACCGGACCCTCTCGGGGAACATCTCCGTCAGACCCCAGAGTCTTTCGGACAGGGTCTCGTCTAGCTGTGGGAGAGGAGGCGCGGGTATCGGCCAAAGCAGCGGGAGGTTATCCCAGCCCTGCCGCGGCTCCAAGAAACGCCGAATCCCCCGGAGCTAGGGCACCGCGGGGGCCCTGCTGGATCCCTAATCCCGCCTCCCGGAGAAGCCGTCTTCGTCCGATCCGCAGCACGCGGAGCCCACACCCCCGGGCCGGCCCGCTCCCCGCCCGGCGCCCCGCGGGGCCCCAGTACCTCGTCATCGTCGTCCTCTTCCAGCTCTTCCTCAGTCTTCTCCGCGTCGCCTTTCGGGAGTAACTCGTCTGGGGACAAGGGCTCCCCGGCACCGGCGGCAGCGGATGCGGCGGCCATGGCTGTTAAGGGACACCGGACGCGGAAGGGGGGGGGATCGAGCGTGCGCAGCGGCAGACAGAGCGCCCTTCCGGCAGCGAGACGCGCGGGCCGGGAGAGTGGCGCCCTCTGTCCCTCGGGTCCTCCGGCTCCATTCGGCCGTCTGGCCCCGGGTTTACGCGGTGGTTCTGACTTTAGCAGGTTGAAAAACATCTGGAAACTTGCTAAAGGGAGCACTCCTGGGTGCTTCCACGGCATTTCTGGGCAGTGAGTTTGGGGTGGGACTAAAAATCTAGATTTTAACAAGCCTTCCTGAGCTCACACCTTGAGAAACACCAATCCAGTTTTATTTTCCAGAGGGATATGGCAGTTAGTAGGAATAAGTTAGCAGTTTGCTGGTTTACTGGTCTTTGGGAAAGCAGCAAGTAAATAGGCCCAAGGTGCCAATGTAACAGGAACCTAAAAGCCGGGCTTGCAGATGCCCAATGGGTAACTAAGAGCAGGGTGAAGCTTGGCATCTCTCCTTCAGTTTCTTTCATTTATTACTTTATTTTTAATTTTTAATTTTTTATTTTTTTTGGTACCGGGGATCAAACTCGGGACCTTGTGCTTGGAAGGCAGACGGCGGAACCATTGAGCTAAATCCCTGGCCCTCATTTATTACTTTAATATTTTGGGTCAGATTCCTGCTCAGCTCTGCACACAGGCATTTTAATCACTTAAGGAGAGTCTGTGATACAAGTTTGGCCCTAAATCTAGCTAGTCTATCTTGCTCCCTTGCAAGACTGAGGACACCAAGATAAGAGTAACTAATTTTCAGGATTTGCAGGAACATCCAATGGTCAGATTTGTCAGCATCCAGTTCCAGACCTGCTGGGGCGATGCCTAGAAGTCCCCGGTCATTGTCCTATACCAGCAGTCACCTTGGATTCCAGAAAAGGGTGGAAAAGCAGAGCCTTGCAGACCCCCAACCCCATGATGAGATCCCCACCCCCAGCAGGTCCAATTACCATGACAGGAAGTGACAGTGCCCCCAGGCCCAAGGTTCCAGTCATAAAAACCTGACCAGGATCACCTACAGTGCTGGCTGTGCACTCCCAGCTATGCAAACCCCCAGCCCCTGCCTTTGCTTCCCTTTTCTATAAAACCCCAGGGCTTGAAGCTCTTTGTCCGTGATTCCCAGCTTGGCCCTGGTGATTAAAGCTCCTTGCCTACCCTTTAGCACCTCTCATCCTGGGACAGGTGGCTGAACCTTGCTGCTGGGACTCCTGGAGCAAAGGCTTTTGCCCTAAAACTCTGGCAGCACCAAAAGCAAAACAAAGGGTAACAGCCCTGAAGGATGAGGTATGCTGTGTATTTTTTTTTTTTTTTGGATACAGGATCTTGCTAAATTGTTTTAGATGGCTTCATACCTGCGATCAATCTCAAACCAGCTTCAGCCTCCCAAACAGGATTAGTTTTGTTTCTGTTTTTGTTGTTTGTTTATTTGGCTTTGTTTGGTTTGGCTTTGATTTTTTTAACATAGGGTCTTTCTATGTACCCTAAGCTGGCCTCAAACTCACTACATAACTTCAGTCTCAGCCTCCCTGTTATCCCTATTTTAGAAACAGGTAGGTGTGGTGGTGCAGACTTGTAATCTCAGCACTTGGGAGGCTGAGGCAGGAGGATCACCATGAGTACGAGGACAGCCTGGGCTACATAGTGAGTTTAAGTCCAGCCTGGAATACACAGAGGGACCCTGTGTGAAAAGAAAAAGAAAAAGACATGTGAAAATTGAGGCACAGTGTAGGGTCACTGCAGGTATTTCTAGGGGACAGATTTCTAAAAGTGGGCTTGCTGGCCAGAAAGTATGCACATTTAAAGTTCTGCTAGGAGGCTGGGTATGTAGCTCAGTGATTGACTGCTTCCCTAGCACATGTGAGGACCTGGGTATGATCCCCTCACCTCAAAACCAAAGCAAACTAAATTTTGCTTGGTATTAGCAAATTGTCTCCAAAGAACTATAGCATATATATATCCCCCCCACACACACAATGGAGCTTGAACTCAGGACCTTGTGCTTGCTAGGCAGGTGAGGCACCACTGAGCTACAATCCTGGCCCTAGCATATACTTTTGCTAAGTAGTACATGGAAGTGTCCTTTCCCCTAGGCCTCCTCTTCATTAGGTGTCAATCCACATTAAAAAAAATTTTTTTTGAGAGAGGATCTTAGTACATTGTTCAGGCTGTCCTGGAATTCACAGTGATCTTCTTCCCTCAACCTCCTGAGTGCTGGGATTATAGGCATGCCTGGCCAAATTTTAATTTTTCAACCATACAATGGATGTAAATGCTTCTTTGTTCAATTTTTGTTGTTGTTGTACATACTTTTTATACGTGCTCCCAGAAGTTATTAATTAAAAGGTAATTTGATATATACCTTTAGCTAACTGAATTGAGGCCCTGGCAGTTCAAATCTTTATCTGATTCATAATGGTCCTATGCTTACATACTGCATCGGGGCTCGGGCTGGCGGGTCCTCTGATACAGTGCTCAGGTCCTCAGTCTTTGGTACCGGGGATCGAACTCGGGTCCTTGTGCTTGCAAGGCAGACAGTGGAACCACTGAGCTAAATCCCTGGCCAGGCCTTCAGTCTTTGGATGGGGCGTCTGTGAGTGTAGGACTTTTGTCACAATGGTGAGCAGTCAGCACCCTCTGAGGAAGAGGGGTAATATATTTGGAAGGGAGCAGGACTGTAGTTTCTGGGGTGTGGGGAAGGTTCTGTTCTTGACTCATGTGGTGAGTATGGGATATTAATTTGAGGTAAATCACCAAGCTGATCATCAAGCTGTATACTTATGAATTATTTTTCTGTGTTAAAAAGTTCTTACTTAAAACAATTTTTTTTTAGGGCCGGGGATTTAGCTCAGTGGCACTGCGCCTGCCTCCCAAGCACAAGGTCATGAGTTTGAGCTCCGGTACCTAAAAACAAAAACAAAAAAAATTTTTGATACAGGGTTTCACTATGTAATTCAGGCTGGCCTTGAATTCATGGTGATCCTTTCTCCTGCCTCAGGCTCCTGAGTGCTGGAATCACAGTTGTGCACTACTATGCCCTGTTTTTATGTTACATGGTTTTAAAAAATGTTTAAGACTGGGCTGGGGATTTAGCTCAGTGGTGCCACTGTCTGCCTCTCAAGCTCAAGGTCCTGAGTTCGATGCCTGGTACCAAAAAAAAAAAAAAAAATTTAAGGCTAATTGAGCTTTTCCAGTAATTATAAAATTGCCAGGGCCGGGGATTTAGCTCAGTGGTTTTGCTGCCTGCTGCGCAAGCACAAGGACCCGAATTTGATCCCCGGTACCAAAAATAATAATAATAATAATAAAATAAAATAAAATTGCCAAGGGAATTTTAAGAAAACATTGGTAATTGTACGATACAAAGTGTCCAGAATTCCAGGACTAGATGAGACAAGCCAGAGAAGGGAGTGCAGTGGGCAGAGGACGGGCCTGTGGCATCCCTCAGGGTTTCAAGGACTAATGCTCAGCTACAAAGGCCACACGGTGAGCCTGATGCCAGGACAGTGGTCATCTCGATGAACAAAGGACAAGGAAGGGTGCCAGGGAGTGGATGGTGACACCACGTGTTGGAACCAAGGTGACAGAGTCGGGGTGAGGGGGTTCTCGGACCCTGGGCTCCTGCTCCTCTGTTCTTCCTCCCTCAAGCTCACCACTGCCTCCTTTCCTCTTTCTGTCCTGTAAGAATCTGTTTGGTTTGGTTTTGTGGTGGCACTGGGGGTTGAACCCAGGGCTTTTGCACTAAGCTACAACCCAGGCCCTTTTTTAAATTTTCTTTTGAAACAAGGTCTCACCAAGTTGTCCAGGTTGGGCTCCAATTTGATACTCTCCTGTCTCAGCCTCCCAGAGTCATAGGATTACAGGCTTGTACTGCCAGACTTGGCAAGGATATAGTAGTTCTTAAATGGAGTGGGGTCAAATAGGTCCCTTTGAGAATCTTATAAAAGCTCCAAGCCTTTCCCACAAAAAAATGCACATTTGAACCAGCTGTAGTAGCGCATGCCTATATAATTCTAGCATCCTGGAGCCTAAGGTAGGAGAATCACAAGTTCAAGCCCAGCCTGGTCAATTCAACGACTTAGCAAGACCCTGTCTGTTTTTCAGGCTGTGAGGCAGTAGCAGCATTGTCTGACTCCTTACCTGCTGATAGTCATGCTGATAGTCTTGCTGCACAGGGCTACACTGGGGGCAAGGAGATGGTGTGTGCAAAGGACTTTGGTACCAGGCACGCAATGTGGCTACAGAAACCTGGGCTCTGTGTCTGCACCCGCATGACCACTGGGCTCCCCTTCACACAGAGACCTGGCTCACACTGACTCAGGTAGGAACTCCTGTGCCAACCTCTGGTCCCTGCCAGGCTAGGCCAGTTCCACCTCCCAAAGCAGCAGGGTAAGAGAATCTGATCATGCAGAGATGATTTCACTTCTGGGTCACTTCCTCCGGGGGACAGGAAAGCTGCACCGTCCCCTGCAAGGCTGCCTTTCCCCTCACCCTGACAGTTTGGTCTTTCCTATTACTTCTTTAGGAACTCATGGTTTTTTGCAGTCCTTTTGGCCACAGAGAGATCACTCAGTATCATTTAATAAAAAAGAAATAGTATAAACAGGAAGGTAGCACAAAAATAGTACTGCTGTGGAAGGCTGGTGCTTGTTGCTGGGAAGCTGAAGCCAGAGGAGCTGTGGATTTGGGGAAGCATTCTTCACAGGCTGGGGATGAGTGGCCTGGCAGAGGGGCAGCGGCAGAGAACATGAGAGTCACTCATCCCAGACCCCTAGTGCCACCCTCAAACCCAGCATAAGGGGGGAGATGATGGAGACCAGCTGCGGCTCCCAACGGCATCTGTCCACAGGGTGGCCAGGACTCATGACATTGCACCCAAAGCTCACCACCCTCCTCAGCTTGCAGACTGGCATCCCAGCCACTGCTGTGGCTTCCTGGCTTCCTCCATCCTGTCCCACCTTCCTTCTGCCAACAAAGGGTGCCAGTACCTGTTGTTGCTCGCTCTGGGACCAAATCCACTAGTTTTGCTAAAAACCAAACTGCTCAGTCTCACCCTACTCCCCCAGTGAGTGGGATTTTCCCTACTCCTAACCAGCATCTCGGGGTCTTATTTCCTCCTCCGACTGACATTCTTCAGTTCATCCAGTTCCTTCTCCATTAAGTGGCATTCGGCTGTGGTCTCTGAAAGCTGAAAGGGGAGTGGCAACTGTTATAAAGGAAGACATTTTGGGGCTGTGATGGGGTCTGCAAGGCCACCCTGGGAAAGGCCTGCTGGATTCCTCTAGCCCTGCGGCCTCCGAAATGGGAAACCTGGGGCAGCCTGCCGGAGTAGCCACCCAAGGACCCAGGAGCACAGGTACTTGAAGAACATTTACTGTCCACTCTGCCCACATCTGATGAGCAATGATTCATGGCATCCCCTGTGTGAGGATAGCAGGCCTCCAAGGAGGAAAAAGACCCAGTGGTGATTTTAAGGTAAGCAATTAGAGTTTAAGTGGCTTCCAAGCTGCAGCTCACGTAATCACAATTCAGGAGGAAATACTTTAAAAAGAACGTGACTTGGCTCATCAGGATGATCTTTCACCGGATGTCAGAGAAAGAGGAGGAAGACATCAGGTCAGGGATGGAGAGACATCAACTCTACAGTAGAGATTGGTTAACTAAGAAATAAGGCCTGTGCTTCCTGAGCAATGCACGCTTCCAAGCGTTGGTCTTGATTAATTCACTATGAGGCCCACAGCACTGTGATGCCCATTTTCTTGCTGTCACTGCCAGGTCACCTGCTCCAGCCCCAAGAGCGTGCGCCCTGCCGGCTCCCAGGCAACCTCCCCACAGTCCCTTGGGGTGCCACAGGTCACCTGATGCAGCGAGCGCCCCCTGCAGGTCTGACACCTGCCTGGTACCAACACCTCTGAGCCAGGAGCAAACCCCTCCCCCTTCCTCCACCATCCTGCCGCTGTGCTTCAGCATTCAGCTCAAATGTCCTTTCCTCTATGAAGTCTCCTGACCAGGCAAAACTAACCTCCTGGGTCGACGTCTGACTCTGTACAGACTTTAACTCTGCCCCTATCAAAAGGCACTGCAACTATGGGTCCCATCCAGACCTCAAAGGTGGAACTGTATCATAGTTGTCTTTTATTTTTTTTAGACAGGGTCTCGCTGTGTGGTTCAAGATGGCCATGAACTCGTGGCGATCCCCCCTGCCTCATTCTCCTAAGTGCTGGAATTACAGGGATGCGCTGCCACACTTGGGCTTATTTTTGTCTTTGATACAAAGCAACGTATCCAGGCAAAGGGGCACTGTGAGATACTGGCGGGATGAAATGACTCAAGGGACATCCTGGGCATCCTCTCCCATCCCCTTCCTCACCATGTCTAGCAGGATGTCCACTTTCAGCCGCAGGAGATTGTTCTCTTCCTCCAGCTGCTGGTTCCGCCTGCGGAGGCGCTGCGCCTCCCTCTGGTCCACACCCCCACTGACCCCGGCCTCTGGAGGAAGGACAGAGCTGGAGTTACTGTGGGGTTTACTTCCACAGCCTTGTTCGGCAAGATGGCAGAAGGCAGTGCCGGGGATTTAGCTCAGTGGTTCAGGCGCCTGCCGCGCAAGCGCAAGGTCCTGAGTTCAATCCCCAGTACCAAAAAAAAAGATGGCAAGAGATGCAGCCCACCTGCTATCCACTGGCCCTTTTCAAACTTCAGGCTTTGTCCCGCCAAGTTCATGGTGGGGGTTCCATAGTTCAGGCCCAGCTCCACATCCCGGATTGAGCGATCCAACTGTGGGCGAGACGCTAAGTGACAGCTTCAGGAGGCTTCGGAATAGGAGCCCTCATCCGCTCCTCTTCCGCTCACTCTAGACCTCAACAGCCCATTTCTGTTCTTCGTTACCTAGCACTGTGTGTGTGTGTTGCTGGGGATTGAACCCAGAGCCTCGAATGTGCTAGGCAAGTGATCTGCCACTGAGCTACACCCCAGCACATTCCCTTTTTTACTTTTATTTTGAGCCAATCTTGCTAAATTCCCCAGGATAGCCTTGAACTTGCAATCTGCCTGCCTCAGCCTCCCAGCATGCTGGAATTACAAACGTGCATTACCTGGCTTCAAAAAATCCTTTAAAAATGTAAGTTATTTGCTTACTATGGAGCTACATATATCATGGAAAAGAAATAACTTACAACACCCAATTCACAGTAGTAGTTGTTTTTTAATGTGTGACAGACCAATTTCTGGATTCATTTATACAACTCACTGAGCACAGCCTGAGCCAGGACTAGGTGCTGACTGGCTCTCCCCTGGGGGAGCTTTCACCCCTGCAACAGGAGATCTGAGCAGCTCAGCAGAGCAGCCAGGCTGAGGGTGTAGCTCTGTGAAGAGAGCGCTTGCCTGGCATGCACAGAGCCCTGGGATCGATTCCCAGGGCTGCAAAAAAAAGAGAAAAAGAAACATGGCGAGGACTCTTCAGGTGCCTCGTTTTTTCTCAGGCCTCCCTGACCATCCTACTTACAAATGACAACTGTGCTCCACTGCCGCCGCGCCCTGTCCAGCCCTTGCTTGGTTCCAAAGCACCTATCATCATCTGACAAACTTACTTCCTGTACCCTTCCCAATTAAAATATTGGCCCCATGAATGCAGGGATTTTTTTTCTTCTTCTTCTTAATCCATTTTATGCCCAGTGCCTAGAACAGTGCCTGGCACATAACAAGTTATCAATTAGCAGCTCTGGAACTAATGAATAGGGCAGAAGACTGAAGGCTGAGGCAGGAGTACCATGCATAAAGGAGGCTCTAGCAAAGCATGGCTGCCTGAAGAAGAAGGATGTAGAAGTCAGGTGTGGTGGCGCATACCTGTAATTCCAGCACTGTGGGAGGCTGAGGCAGGAGGATTGCAAGTTTGAGCCTGTCCTGGGCAATTTAGAGAGACCCTGTCTCAAAATAAAAAATGGAAAAAGGGTTGGGTTATAGCTTAGTGCAAAGGCCTTGGGTTCAATCCCCAGTCCTGGGGGTGGGGGGGTTTAGAAAGCAAGAGTAGGAAGGGGAGATGGGGGGACATGAAAGGCCCCAATCTGGGCCCCACAATCTGGGCCGTTATCCTGGAATAATGAGGAGCTAATAAAATGTGCCGGTTCCCAGGCACAGCACTGAGGTTTCTTCCAAGTATGGGGCAGCACCTAGGGAGGGCTGCTGATCCAAGTTACAATGGAGAGCTCAGTCATACAAGCACATCTGTGTCAGGACAGGGTTGGCCTGAGCGCCCACAATGCTCCTGCATCTCTAACACACAAGAGAGGAGAGGGAGTGTGGGACTTCATAACTCTGTAATCATAAAACTCCCCTAGCCCCAAGCATGATTGAATGTGAGTAAATAGATAAAGATGCTTGTTAGTTCCGGGACACTAGATAAGATCTGTATCAGCCATAATTATTCAACTCTTTGTTCAAAAACTGATGTTCGGACACCGATATCTATAAAACAATCTACAAAACATCTGCTGACCATCAGTACATGTCAGGCTAATTAACATGCAAATGTAAGACCACTAACCTTTGTTCCCTCTTCTGTAAATTTCGCCTGTTAACTTCCCTGCAACCCCCTATAAAAAGAACCTCGGACTCTGGGCTGATCGCCTCTCTAAGCTACTTTGCTTTGGGAATGCCGTCTGGTCTTACATTCTGGAGGCACCGCTGGGATCCCTGGGTGTGCTCCACTACAGTCAGCTCCTTGGAGCATCTGGTAAGGCCCTTGGCCTTACATTCTGGAGGCACCACTGGGATCCCTGGGTGTGCTCCACTACAGTCAGCTCCTTGGAGCATCTGGTAAGGCCCTTGGCCTTACATTCTGGAGGCACCACTGGGATCCCTGGGTGTGCTCCACTATAGTCAGCTCCTCAGAGCCTTTGGTAAGGACAGCGGTCTTACAGGAGGCTCAGGGCCAGGGAGCACAAGAGACTGAGATCCAGAAGGCCCAGCTCTTGACATAGAGGTGCTGGCCTCCACTGTGATTTTAACTGGGGACAGGAGACAATGGACTCAATGGACTAAGCTGGGGTTAACCCTCAGCCCTAACAGGCTGTGAAGGTCCAGCCGATCTGAACAACCAGCCCTTCAGGAAAAGGCCCAGGCAACCAGGGTGAGTCTCTCCTCAGTGTCTGAGCACCAGGACTGGTGCATGAAGGATTATGGGGGACGAAGACCCTGCAGCTGGTCCCAGATGCTCGAAAGACTTCAGCAGAAAAGGAGGGTGACAGTATATAGTAGTGAGGGTGAACTTTTCAGAGCTTACAATGATACAAACAGCCCGCTGTGGCATACGTGCCATAGGTCCACTACCACTGGTATATAGAGTCATTGTGTATCTGTGTGCTGGAGATGGAGGAGAGACATCTCTTAGCTGGGAATGGAAACTGATTTCCATGTGGTCTGACTTTGTGATATATAATTTTAAAATTATTATGTGTGTTGGGCCAGGGATGTAGCTCAGTGGTGCTGTGCCTGCCTGGCAAGGGAAAGGTCCTGAGTTCAATCCCTGGTACAAAAAAAAAGTATTGTGTATGTGTGCATGTGCACGTGTGTGTGTGAGTGTGGCACTGGGATCAAACCCAGCGCCCCATACTGCTAGGCAAGTGCTCTACCACTGAGCTACATCCCAACCCTGTCATATAATGCTTTGTTTTGTTTTTTGTTTTGTGACAGGGATTCACTATGTAGTTCAGGCTGTCCTTGAAGTCACCATGCACTACAGGCTGGCCTCAAACTCACAGCAATCCTCCTGTCTCAGCCTCCCAACCACTGGGATTACAGGCGTGCACCACCACGCCCAGGAAATGTCATATAACCTTTGAAACTCAGAGCTTATACATTCAAAGGGGAAGTTATCATTTATCCCAAAGCTATTGTTATGGCTTCCAAACATCCTCAGAAACCACATTACCCTTTTGAATGCCACTAATGGTGGCAAATCATTGTCTTTTGAGAATGAATTTGATTCTCAAACATGACTAAGATTAGTTCCTGGCCAAGTCTTGGGAATGAAGTGAAAGTCAAACTGGATAATATTGTTTGGGACCAAAAACTGTAACAAGATTGACTGTCTCCTTTGTCTGTTGAATAAACTCTGACAATAGTCCCCAAATAGGAGTTACAGACTGTCTTTCAGCAACAGCAATCAATGAATTAAGAGGATGCTCTCCTGGGACAACTTGTCTGAGGCCCATGCTGTTGCTGGACACCAGGCAACAAGCCCTGCTGTGCCAGGCTGCCCTACCCCACACTTACAGTCTGCAGGTTGGACAGGGAAGCCGACTTCCGGGGAGGTGTCTTCTTTGGACTGAAGATATTCCCAAAGAGAGGCATCTCGCCTGCTGAGGGAAAGGCCAATGCTTCTTAGCCTGAGGTTTGGAAAGGTCAAACAGTTAGATTGGTGACCATAGGCTGTTCTCAAACCATGAATACTCATGTATCCCAGGCTGGCCTCAAACTCACAGTGATCCTCCTGCCTCAGCCTTCCGAGTGCTGGGATTACAGGTGTGAGCCATCACACCTGGCTATCCTCTACTTTAAAGACACAAAGCTCTCCGGACACACAGGTATCCACTCTCAGATTGATAACAGTGCTTCCCACCTGGTCCATATGTCATCAAGGAAAGGGGAGAGCTGACAATAGCATCCCCACCATGCTTTAGCTTTCAGCCCACTGAAGCCTGCTGCAGGCTCACAGGCCCAGGGAAGTAGATTTATTAACATCGCCCGGGCTTTTAGGGAGGAAAGTGTATTTATAACCATATTTATAACACAAATGCAGACACGTCTGTAAATCCTAAGTGTAAGCCTTCATGAGTTTTGCTACAAACACACACACACACACACACCCCTTCCTTCCAGATCAGGACACAACATTTCAGCACCCACAAGCCTTGCCTATCAACTTTATATGGCGTTCATATAGGTCCTCTTTTCCATCTGGCTTACACGCAACATGTTTATGAGATTTAACCATTTTGTTCTGTGTGGTAGTTTGTTCATTTACATTGCTATATTTTATCTTATTTTATTTTAGTTTAGTTTAGTTTTTTGAGACAGGGTCTCACTGTGTAGTTTGGGCTGGCCCAGAACTCACAGTGCTCCTCCTGCCTCGGCCTCACAAGTGCTTAGATTATAAGAGTGCACCTCCACAGCCAGTTGTATTGCTATATAATATTTTACCACATGATCATATCAAAAGTTGTTTGTCCACTCTGCAGGTAATGGATAGAATATGGGCTATATCCAGCTTTTGATTATCAAAAACAGGGCTGCTAAGAACATACTTGGACATGTATTTCTGTATTGCTGTGTATTTTTCTGGTTCTTAGGTGTGGAATTATTGATTTGTAGAGCATTCATATCTTTAGCTTCAATAGATACTGCTAAACAATTTTCCAAAGTAACTCTAAGAATTTATACTCCTACCTGCAATGTACAAGAAATCCTTTGTCATTTTCTGTCTTTTTCATTTCATCCTCTTTGGTAGCTATGTAGTGGTACTGAATCATTTAATTTACTCTTTCTCAGTATCTAAATTGTACACCTTTTCATATACTCTTTGGACATATCTGTACTCTCTTTTGTGGCAGTGCTTGTTAAAGTCTTTTGCCATTTTTCTATTGGGTTTGTCATTTTCTTACTGGTTTGTAAGAGTTCTTTATATATGCTTGTACTTGTCCTTTGTTATACACAGAGTCCACCAAAAAATGTATACACACTTCAGCAGTTTGCCATACTGATAAAAATGTCTGGAAGCTAATGGCCACCACTTTGACCATCTCTTGTAATTGTAGAGGCCAAAGTAACTTGTATTAATCTCGTGATTTCTCAATAAATTTAGTATTAAAATATTTATATGCTTTTCTTTTCCTGATATATACATTTTTTGGCAAACTCTGTATAAGTATAGTGCTAAAAATATCTCAACCTGTGACCTGCCTTTTTGCTTTTGTTTGCTCTGGGAAGGGTACTGGGGAACAACCTACTGAGCTCCATCCTCAGCCCTTTTTACTTTTTAGAGACAGTCTCACTAAGTTGCCCAGGCTGTCCTCAAACTTGCAATCCTCCCACCTTAGTCTCCCAAGTAGGTAGGATCCCATTTTGTTCCTTATTGGCTTCTTTTGGTCAAATAAGTTCTTAATTTTTAATGAAAACCAATTTATTACTTTTTATTTATTTATTTATTTTTGGTACCGGGGATCAAACTCAGGTCCTTGAGCTTGTGCAGCAGGTGGTGAAACCACTGAGCTAAATCTCCGGCCCAATTTATTACTTTTTAATGATTAGCATTTTATATCTTGTTTAAGAAATTTTTCATACTCCAAAGTCATATGAGTTTTATTTTGTTTTGGGGGGGTTTTTTTGGTATTGGGGATTGAACTCGGGTCCTTGCGCTTGTGCAGCAGGTGGCGAAACCACTGAGCTAAATCCCTGGCCCAGTTTTATTTTGTTTTTGAGACAGGGTCTTGCTAAGTTGTTAAATTGCCCAAGCTGGGCTCGAACTTCCTCCTCAACCTCCCAGAGTGTTGGGATTACAGGCATCCATCACCCTAACCATCTATATTTTTAAAGCTAATTTCTGAAATTTTATTGTCTTACCTTTTATATTTAGGACTATAATTCATCTGGAACTGGAATTAATTTTTGAATATGATGTAAGACAAGGGTTAGGGTTCATTTTTTCCCATATATTACCCAATTTTAACTTATAACACTCAAGTAGCTTAAAAAGATCCTTCAGAGAATCCATGGACTAAAAATAACAATGAAAGCAGTCAGCAAAAAGAAAATGGCAGAGCTCCCTTTTCCCTACTCCTAGGTATAGTCTTCCTTTACTACATTATGAGATAAAAGCAATAATAGGTTCATCATATCTGAGAAGGAAATGACCCAAAAAAGGAGGGGTCATCTCAAGAATATTTAAAACAAGGTTTTGTATCAACTGTATTAAAAGATAATTCACAGTATGAATTCATCACGATTAACAAGACATGTATCCAAAGAGAAAATGATTTTCACCAAGATAGAAATCAATTTCACTAATGTTAATTATGAAAGTATAGAAGATTCTTTGAAAGTTTTATAGTACATAGTACAAAAATATACACATATGTGACATATAGTTAAACAAATGGGCTGCGGATGTAGCTCAGTGGTAAAGCATGTGCCCAACATATGTGAGGCTCTGGCTTTGATACCAGTACTACAAAATTTTTTAAAAAATTATAAATAAATAGCCAGCCATGGTAGTACACACCTCCAATCTCAGCACTCGGGAGGCAGAGGCAGGAGGATCAATGTGAGTTTGAGGCCAGCCTGGGCTACGTAGTGAGTTCAAGACCAGCCTGAACTACATAATGAGATCCTATCTCAAAAAAACAAACAAAAAGTTATAAATAAATAAAAAATCAAGCCACTTGAAGATGTCTGCTCATGACAGTTTCACTGGTAGGCATATGTCTATAATTGAAAACAACTGTAGACCAACAACCTAAGGCAGTGGTGGCCAATTTACGGCATGTGTGCCACAGCAGGCTGTTTGTATCATTGAAAGCTCTAAATGGTTTGCTACTGACCTAGGGGATGGCATTTGGTCCTGAGCACGTTTAGGACTTGGAAAAACTTTAATGGTTTCAGCTTGATGGTGAAGGGGACAGGGTGGGAACCAAGATGCCAGGGAGATCTAAAGCTATGCCACTATCCAAAACATACTGGAAGGCCCTGGTATTATTTCTGCTGGAAAAAAGAAAGAGGGTAGAAGAGGGAAAAGGATTAATCTTATGTTTGTAGAGAGCAGAACAAGAATAAAACAGAAGGAATGTGCAGGAAGAAAGATCTTAAGAAAAAGGCACAATAACAAAAACTAGTATCACTCTTTGCCCATCAATTATGCGTCAAGGCCAGTGCTGGGCACACTTCAGATATTTCCTTCATTCTTTGCAATTATCCTGAGAAGCAGTATTTTCTTATCTGTATTGAAGATGAGAAAACTAGAGCTCAGAGAAATTAACCAATTGTCCCAAAGTAGGTAGTCATGGTTGGCTAAAGGTATATATCAAGCTATTCTTGTATTAATAACTTAGGAGGTACATCTTTTTTTGTTTTTGTTTTTACTTTTTTAAGGCAGGGTCTCACTGTGTAGTTCAGGCTGGTTGATTTCACTAGGTAGCCCAGGCTGGCCTTGAACTTGCAGTGATCCTCCTGCTTCAGCCTCCCGAGTGCTGGGATTACAGGTGTGTGCCACCACGCCTGGTGGGAGATACATTTTAAAAGAAGCACTTTTAGGCTGGGGATTTAGCTCAGTGGTTCTGTCACCTGCCTCGCAAGTGCAAGGACCCAAGTTCAATCCCCGGTACCAAAAAAAAAAAAAAAGAATGGGAAGAAGCACTTTCATCTATCATATTGGTAAAAAAAGTTAATAAATATCCAATGTTGGTGAAGTTGTTAAGAAAGACAATTTATTATCAGCAGAAATATATTATAATTCTTTCAAGGACAATTATGCAAAACCTAACAATATCTTTGTTTGTTTGTTTTTTGAGACAGGGTCTTGTTTTTTTGGTACCAGGGTTCAAACTCGGATCCTTGCGCTTGCACAGCAGGCGGTGAAACCACTGAGCTAAATCCCCAGCCTCAAGGTCTTACTTTGTAGTTCAGGGCTAGCCTCAAACTCTCAGCGATCCTAGTGCCTCAGCCTCCCCAGTGCTAAGATTACAGTCATAAGCCACCACATCCAGCAATGTGCATACTTTTTGGATAATAAATCTATTTCTAAAATTTCATCCTCCAGAAAGACTTGTATAGAAGATGGCAGAGTGGTGAGCAGCAGAGAAAGAGTCTCTCGCAGATTTGGTGCCCTGACACTGAAATATAGCAGCTTGAAGAGGAGAAGGAGGTGCGAAGTGGGTTTCCAGGATCCAGGAAGGATCTGAAGTGAGAAGTGAAGTCAATGGGGAGAGCTAAGAGAGAGACTTGAGCAAAAAGGAGGGAGGTGGCAGGTGGTGCTTTCTCCCAGAGCCCAGACTCATGGCATAGGAAAGGCAGGTCGACCCTGCACATGTACATTAACTACTGGTGACCCCAAAGGCCTCCACGGAAAAACTCATTAGTGGAGCAGAGCAGTGGATGCAGTGACCTGCACTGGCTGGTGAGTTATTTGGGCTCAGACATCACCCAGTAAAGGGTGATTGGCCTGTAGCCATTTTGGAGAGGGGCCAACTGAGCTCAGAACTCAAAAGAGCTATTGGCTGGCTCCATCTAGTGGCTCCCAGTATCACAGTGAGGGTGCCGAGTTCAAGCCAGAAGGAGGCACACAGACTGTTGCAAGCTCAAAAAATCTGGTTCTAGCCTCATAGCCAGAAACCAGCCTGAACTTCAGTGGAACTAAAGGTGCAGACTTGCTGAGATTATCCACTACCCTACCATAAATCTATGGTTGGCTTGCTCAGATTAATCAACTCAGATCTGGACTCTGTCTGCCCATGTTGTCTACCAGTGACAGCAGAGACATGCCTTAAATTGGACTTTTAAAATTTTTTCTTCTTTCTTTTTGTTTTTCCTCTTTTCTGGTTATTGTTCTTGTTTTGTTTTTTTCTTGATTGTTTGTTATTGTTTCTTATGAGTGTGAACACAGTTTCTAGTTTTTGTGTTGTTGTTGTTCTTTTCTGTTCTTGTTTTTATTTCTTCCTTCTCTTCTTTCCCATCTGTCTTTCTTACCCATTTCCCAAAGTTTGTATGATCTTCCTTTGTCCTCCAGCCTTGCTTCTAATCTCTTCCTCTTCTATTTCTCTATTTTTCCTCCCGAACCCCTTTTAAAGTTTCTCCTCTAAGGGTAAAATCACCATATTGAGGGTTTATTGATTGCATACAATTTTCTGGTTCATTTTAGATTTTGTTATATAACCACCAATCTAGTTCATATGGTTAAAGGTGGCAAATAGTTACCACAATTTGTCATTTTCTAGGCTATGTTTGTTGCTATCATCATTGCTAATTGTACTACTTTAGCCAAGGTGACATAATTGTGTTAATCAGTTGTTCTTCTTGGTATACCAAGACTGAGACTGCCTAAGGGTGTTAAAAAATACTCTAGGCCAGTGCCAAAGAACCAGGGGCTGCGCCAAGTAGGCAGAAACTTCTCATCCCCAAAAAACTGAAAAGGCAGGATCTTGCAACAGATTCAAAACCCAGAAAGACTTGTACATACACAAATGTTCTCTATTGGGTTTTTTTGTTTGTTTTTTGGTACCAGGGATCGAACTTAGGACCTTGCACTTGCGAGACAGGCGGCAGAACCACAGAGCTAAATCCCCGGCCCTACTGTTTATAACAGTGAAAAATAAGAAATACTGCAAAATGTCTACCAAGGGTTGGTGTAGCCAAATGTATTGTGGCACATTCTTATACTGGACTAGGAAACAGCAATTACAGATAGTGAGACAGTTGTATATGGACTGACCAGAAAAACCTCCATAACACATTTGAACATGAAGAAAGCAAATTGTAGAACAATGTGTATAATACAATCCCATATGAGATGACAAACAGAAACATTCATAGTGTATCGTGGTTAAACCTGGGAAGGGGAGTAATTGACTTCCTTGGATGAAATTGCCACTTTATAGGTTAAAAAATGGTCCAATTTGGTAATTCCATCTGATATAAGATTATATTAAAGAAATAAGCTTCTGGATTTAATGGATTGTTACAATGATAATATATTTATGTATTGGTTATGAACAACACAAACAAAAATAGTTAAAAGGCAGTCCCTGTCCCTCCAAGCATCTGGAGAAGAAGCAAAAGTAAGCCAGGCAGGGCCGGGGATTTAGCTCAGTGGTTTCGCCACCTGCTGCGCAAGCGCAAAGACCCGAGTTCGATCCCTGGTACAAAAAAAAAAAAAAAAGTAAGCCAGGTGGTCCTTGCCAATCTTCCTGACTGTGCTAAGACCACTGCACCTAAGGCCATCATCCAGACACGACAGATAAGAGTTTAGGCCTAGCTCTGGACTCAGCTGATTGCTAAACCTTGGTTGAGTTGCTCAGTTTCTTGGAGTTTTAACTGGAGCCTCTCATGCATGGCCTCACTAATTGTCATAACCCTTAGGCCAAGAACTGCCAACCACTGAGTCATGGATCACATAAAAAAATTTCAGTCAACAAAAGACCACCGACACAACAGTGGTCCTGTAAGATTATAATGGAGCTGAAAAATTCCTATCATTTACTGACATCGTGGCCATGTGGTTGTGGCAAAATGCACCCACATGTTTATGGTGATGAGGCATAAACATATAAATGTACAGCATGTTCTATCATGTAAGTGTATAGTACATACAACTATGTACAGCACATAATACTTGATAATAAAAGACTGTGTTGCTGGTTTGTGTTTACTATACTATATTTTTATCATTAGTGTACTCTTCTTACTTATAAAAAAAGTTTAGGGTAAAACAGCATGACAGTCCCCTCAGATGTCTCATCTGAGACAAGTTTACACCTATTAAATGCACAATTTTCTCTTGTGCTTGATTTAATTTCATGATTTTTTGTTCACTGTGGCCCCAGGAGCAATAGGCCAACACACACATATAGATACATATAGATATATATACAATCTCTTATGTGTGTTCCAGGCTATTCAATTAGGTTTATGTAAGTATACATATACAACATTTGTACAACTAATGAAATTCTCCCCCCACCCCCCCAACGCATTCTTAGAAGGTGTCCTTGTCTTTAAGTGACACATAACTGTGTTACGGATGAGGGGAAGGAAGGGTCTGGACTAGCTGCCTTTTAAGTTAGATCTAACAAGTCATAAACAACTTGGGCTGAGATCCTGAGACCTGGGGTCCTGGGGCAGTAGTGTGGGCAGAGATATAAGCTGTCTCCTTGGCCCAAGGCAGCTTCTTTCTAGCCAAACTCCTTGGGAAAGAGAAAGTGAAGGCAGAGCACCTGACTCAACCATCAATCTGCTGATCACTCTCAGAGGACTCCTGCATTTATCCCTCTGAGGCCTGGCTTTTTTATTTGTGATCAGGAATAATAACAGCACCCAGTTCACAAGTTGTTAGAGTGCTTTAGTGCTCATAAGATACTGTGGCATTTAGTCCTCCCAGCGACCCTGAGGAGTAGGATCAAGTGTGTCCCTATCTATAGATAATGACACTAATTGCTAATCATTGTCCAAAGCTTTAGTTTGCAACAGACCATAAAACTTATTCATCAATTCTGACAAGAAGGTAAGGGAGGAATCTTTGACTTTCCTCCGATCATCAAAGGGAAACGCGTTCCCCAAAGAGTTAAGAGCCAATCAGGTATACGTCTCACAAGGACAAGGGCCACCAGGGCTCACGCACTCAGGTAACGGTTGTGAACACACATTCACACGCACAATCTTACTTAATCACCCTCAAGCCTATTTATGGGGGGCAACTTCTATCCCAGATCACACAGGAGGAAACACACTCGGGGCAAGGCGGAGCCGGCCTAGGGTGAGCCCCGCCGATCCTCTCCAGGGGAGGCCCGGGGGTCCCACCCGTCTCGGATGATTCCAGGCCTCGCGGCCAGCCAGGCTCAGGGCCATACCTGTCGCGTCCCAGAAGTCAGGATCAAAGGCAATCCCTGGACGTCAGCAAGGACCAAGGTGGGCCCCTAGCAACCCAGCCCATCAGCTTGCAGCTACCTGGTCGTCGCACGCATGCGCGGCCCAGCCCCGGACTGTACCACTAGGAAAGGGTGGGGGTGCCCTGAGAGGCCAACACAACCCCCCTGGAAAGCACCAGAGGCTCTTGCAGGCTCCCTCCAGTATACTAAATATATTGTACAAAGGAAATGTCTTATGGAGTCATTTATATCTCTGTGTTATAGGAGGAGCTACACTCTCCCCACAACAAACAGGTTGATCTGGTACCCAAGCCCTCAGCGGCCGTCACCCTGGTAACGGCGTCTAAAGGGCACAGTGGAGGCTGGCAAAGGTTCCATTGTTATAGGAAAAGTGAAACTAGTGACCGCGCCCGGGGTTCCCTGGAGAACACACGGACATGATCACAGTAGCAAAATGGGCCTCACCCCGACTCCTCTTCTGCCCCCACCCCACCCACAAAGCAAAGGTTACCCCTTCCTGGTGGATGTGGGGCAACAGGTGCCGGGTGCCCATCCAGGACTTTGCGGAGTCCCCTGAGGGACACGTGGTGCTGCCTGCCACAGATTCGTCGGATTCTACCGATGCTTTCAGGTAGGGGAAACGGACAGGCGGACGGTGACCCCATTCTGACAGTGAATGGGTTCCGGGCAGGTCTGCTTCCTCCCCACGCCTTGACACTTCTCGGCTTCTATAAACAAGGGAAACCGAGGCCCCAGGACCACTTCGAAGTCGCCCAGTGAGCCAGGGCCAGAGAACTCAAGAATCAACCTCGGGTCTCCTACTATCCTAACAGCATGTACTGGCACCATTTGGTAAACGAAGAAACTTGGGTCATTTAAGAGATATTTACTGACTGCCTACTGGGTATACTAGGTCATCCATGCAATGAGGGACAGGATCCCTGGTCTCTTTCTCCAAGGAGGATTCTCTTCCAATACTGCATTAAAGAGGGGAGAGTTCCATGTCCTAGACCCAAAGTCTGCACTGTGTAGCCCAGCACTGTTCAACAGAAACATAAAGCAGACCACGTAATCTGGAATCTTCTAGTAGCGCCATATATATATATTTATATATTTTTTGGTACTGGGGATCGAACTCAGGATCTTGCCCTTGCAAGGCAGGCGGCAGAACTACTGAGCTAAATCCCCGGCCCCTAGTAACTATATTTTTTAAAGTCAAAACAAAATGAGTACAATTAATTTGAATGTTTTATTTAACTTCATACATCCATAACACAGTATTCTTTTTTAAATTAAGTTAGTATTTTAAATTTTATACTGCTTCAGTGTCTTTTTTTTTTTTTTGGTACCAGGGATCAAACTCCGGTCCTTCCGCTTGCAAGGCAGGTGGCCAAACCACTGAGCTAAATCCCCGGCCCTATACTGCTTCAGTTTTAAAATTTAAATTAAATTAAATTAAATTTAACTTCAGTCACCCTAACCAATTCATGGGATCACTTGTCACATGTATCTAGTGGCTTCTGCAATGGGCAGCACAAGTCTAGCTTCTTTGTACCTTTCCAGTTTTGCTACCCTCTTCTTGGAAGATACTTACCTTCTGCTTTGTCTAATTAACGCTTGCTCTTCCTTTAGCAACGAGACCCCTCCCCTTGATTACATTAAGCTACACTAGTGTTCAATCTCATAGCACCATGCACCTCCTTGTGAAACAGTAGTGACAAGTATCATTCACTATTATAATTCATAATTATTCTTCATGAATTAGAATTTATAATTACTTGGGCCGGGGATTTAGCTCAGTGGTTTCACTGCCTGCCTTGCAAGCGCAAGGACCCGAGTTCGATCCCTGGTACCAAAAAAAAGAATTTATAATTACTTATGTATTTATTTGATTTTTACAGGTCTTTTCCAGTAGATGTAAGCACTATTATTACAGTAGCAATCAAATGTGCTTTATCTCACCATTCTGTCCCCAGGAAGAGCACACTGCTGGCTTGTGGGAAGTGTTAAGTAAATAGTCATTGAAAGACTGAAGGGGGAGCCGGGCATTTAGCCTAGTGGCACCACACCTGCCTTGCAAGTGCAAGGTCCTGAGTTTGATCCCTAGTACCAAAAAAAAAAAAAAAAAGACTGAGGGGGAAGATGAACGGAAGTGTACCTGACTCCACAGGCAGCATTGTCTTCACATGCTAGGACATGTCAGCCTTCAGCAAGGGACACTGAAATCTCTGCTGCCAGAATCTGTGTTCCCTGAGAAGTAGAAGGTTTCCCCCTCATCTGCCCCAAGATATAACACAGTGGTTGCTGTACTGTAGCTATTCAGAGAAGCTAGTTTTCTTCCTCCTTAGTCAAGTAGTGACAATTAAATCTTATCAGGCTTCAAAGAATACTTATCCGTAAATGTTCTGATGAAAAATTCATCAGGGCACAGGGTATGTATTTTAAACATTTCTCTTAAGAAGCATGCTATTCAAGCCTCCCATTAAGCATGAGTAATAATGTTAAGCTGAGTCAGGAGGCTTTTTGACAGAGTCACCTAAGCCTGGCTTCTCAGAGAACATGTAGTTTTCTAGTCATTCTGGGGAATGAGTGGGAGGAAAATGAGAAGCCCTAAAATGCACCTGCCTCCTCCTGCCCATCTCCCCTTTGCTTATATATAGCTAAAGGCTAGGAGCAGGGGACAGGAGATGGGACTGACCTGGGCCTGGGCCAACTTTTCCTATGATCCAACTTTTCCTATGATCCAACTGACTTTGGACTTGAAAGCAGTAAAATGAATGAAGCCAAAAGAAATAAAATATTGAATGAACTTAATCCTCAAGGAGTAAATTGTCTAATGGAGAAAGATGTAGAAACAGTCATTCCAGTTCAATATTTTAAATGCTGTAATCGAGAAATGAAAGTAGAACCATGGGCTTCTTGGAGGAGGCACGGTGATAATGGCCTGGAATAATTCAAGGAGCTTTTCCAAAAGATGTTTCACCTGGGCTGAGTCCAGTAGATGGAACAGCATGATCAAAGGAATAGATGCGTGAGGAGCATAACACAGTCAGGGAGTATGAGGACACTTCAGTGGGTCAGGTATATGGGATGCATGGTTGGGGAGAAGGGGGAAGATAAAGCCTGAGCCAGGGGAGAGGGAAAGAGAGAGCAGTGAGAGGCCACCTGGGTTAATTTTTTCACCAAACTTGATCCTTTTTTGCTCCTTCCATTATGTATAAGTTGCTTGAGCATAGGATCTAAGCTTTGGCTTTTGTATAACAGGGCTAATAACACTGGCTGTGGACATGGGGAACCAAGAAATGGCAGTGTTGGACCCTTGACCATTAAGCAGAGACCTAGGAGAGCAGTCAGGCCAGAGTGTTCTAGAGGTAGGGAAGAAGGGCAGGGATGGGGCCAGTTTCCTGAGAGGGAGCAGAAAGCCCCAGGTAGATCGGGAGTTTCATCTGAGGAGTTGGGCCCTATAACCTAGAATCATCACATCTGAGATCTGGAAGGAGACTTGGGGTCATCTATACCAAATCTCCTGCTTTTGCATTTAAGGCTCAGAGTGGCAAAGTCTTGATTTCACTTCTAGTTTGGAAACTGGCTTGCTTGATAGTCTGGAGACCTGGGCTTCTCAGCCCTCTAGTCTTTTTATTTTTAAAACTAGAACAGTTTTTAATCATGAGTGGAACATGGGCCCACATGCTGAAGAAACAAATACCTGTTCCTTGAATGGGCTTCCCAGACAAAAGCCTTTCTTCCCCACAGAGGCCTGGGTCATACGTTTGGCCATCAGCCCTGGTTAGCAGGTGACCTTGTTGGGCTTGTTTCCTCTTGGGTTTTCTAAGACAGCTCTATGTTATTTGTGATTTCCAGGAGGCTGATTGAACAGAGAACAAGACTGGAGGGGCAAATAAGAGGCTTTTAAACGTGGGTACGTTTTGTTTGCCACTTTACATAAAATTGGACAATGAATTACAACAAGCAGATGGATATCATCAACGCCACCGCCTTACCATTGATACCAGTGGCTGAGCAGCGGGCGGTCTCCCTCAGTGTACAGAAGGCAACGGAATGTGCTATGAGGAAGACTTTAGAGGACCTTTTATCCAGTATCCTTCCAGGGGAGGTGCTGAAAACCAGACCAGATGCACCTAATTGAGTCAGGCCTCAGAGGCCTAATTCGTGCTTACGTCTATAATACAAGTTACTTACTAGCACAGTTCATATGCACTCATTAATTTTTTTCAAATACTTAAACTTATTCTTTAAAAGAATGTGAGACTGTATAGGATTGATTTGAGTTGTTTTTGTTTGTTTTGTTTTATTTTTGTGGCACTAGGGATGAAACCCAGGGCCTCTCACATGCTAGGCAAGTGCTCTACCACTAAGCTACCTCCCCAGCCTGACTTATTTTGTTGCTGATATAATCAGAGAGTCAAAGGAAGAAGCCCTGGATGTATTTGCTGAAAGAATAAAGCAGAAGTGAGTTTGGGACCTAGCTTTCTGTCTTTACTCTGGTTGACCTCGCTTCTCCTCCCCTGCCAGCCCTTCTGCCCAGGCCCTCTGTTTGTCCCTTCTGATACCATCTAGGGTCTTCCCGCATCTGCCTTCCTGGTCCCATCTTCACTGATCCTTGTCTCCCTTCTGAATCACACCCCAGAATCACAGAACCCCATCTCTGGAGCCCTGCCAGCCCATCTAGCAAACAGCCCTCTCAGGTTATAAATAACCAGGGACTGTTCCCATCAAGTCATGCTGCCACCAGGCAAAGTGTTCGGACCACTCTGCGTCCCGCGACTTCCTCGCCTCTCTGAAACCCTTCTCATGATTCGGTGAAGCATGATTCCATCTGAATCTGCTTCAGGGTCTCATTTTGCTAGGCCCGTTTCTAATGCCCCCTCTTGCTTCTTAATCCTGCACTCATCTCAGCCTCACTGATGCATTTCCCTTTCTCTGATTTGTCATGTCCCTTCTTGGTGTTCTCATTTTCTCAAGTGTCCTCTGATTGGTGAGGCCACTTGAGGGTAATGGAAGGAAGAGTGAACCCTGTTCTCTGTGAAAGGAGTGAGAAGAGATGGGATTATGGGGCTTTTACCAAGGTTGTATCCTAAACCAGCTGAGGCTCAGACAGAAAGAAATGCAGAAGTCAAGAGGGCATCCAGAGGGCCATCGAAATGAGCATATTTTAACAGTGGTAAACAAGGTCACAATAGCCTTTGACCTAACCATCCCTCACCTTAAAAATCTCTCTTGAAGAACTATTCCAGAGTGAAATAAACCAGACACACAAGCTTAAATACCATATGGCATCTCTCATTTGAGTGAGGCAAAGTACAAACAAAGAAAATAATAAAGGATGGATAGAAGGGGGACAAGAGGATAGATCTCTTGGAATAGGGAAGGAATCTAAGAGAACAAGGTTGAGGAGAGAAGAGGAGGGGAATGGGAAATAAGTAGAATAGAGATATACCATGTACAGGAACATAATAACCTCAATGAATATAAACATATGCCATAACATGAGCTAAGATTAATATTATCAACAAGAATGATAATCAGCATAGGGGAATTAGAGGAGGAAGGAGGGAGGGAGGAGGAAAGGGGGAAGGGGATGAAAAAAAAGAAACAAGCTGTATTATGTACATGTACCCACTTCCCAAGACGACTGTAAACTGCATGTACTCTAAACATGTACTAATAAAATATTTTTGAAAAGAAATATTCCAAAATATGAAACAGCTCTCTGCATGAGCCTGTGTACCCAAGCATTGTTTAAAGTTACAGGAAGCTGTAAGCAGCTTAAATATTCTCTAGCCAAGGGGTAGCTGAGTGTATTAAGGTGCACCCTTTAAATAGATTAGTATAATCCTATTGAAAGTAATTATTAAGATTATTTAGCCATATGGAAAATGCTCACAATAATGGTGGAAGTCAGAGCAGTAAAACAGGCATCTTCTGAGGTTATAATTATGTTGAAGGGGGGTAGAGGAGAGCAAGAGGGAATATAAAAAGAATTAAGATGTGTTATGTACATGTACCAACTCTTCACGATGAAAGGGATCATTATGTACTACAAATACGTACAAATAAAAATTTAAAAAAAGAAAGTGGCAAGAATGATGGGATAAGTGTGTTTGATGTTTTGAATGGGATTGATGGCAATGTGTCTTTTACTGTAAAAAAAAGTTTTTAAAATTAAAAAAAAAAGATATCAGAAGGAAATTTCTCTAGATCCTAATAGAGTTTTTAGCATGAGTGGTACTTTTTTCCTTTTTATATTTTCCAAGGTGTCTGCAATGTTGTTAACTTTCATTTACAATTTATAAAGCAGCCCACTTAAAACAAGATGAAGTGTAGTCAGGTGTGGTGTATATTCCTGTAATGCCAGCACTGGGGGGCTGAGGCAGGAGGATCACAAATTTGAGGCCAGTCTGTACTATAGAGCAAGACCCTTTTTCAAAAGCAAAAAACCCACAAAAGTGAAGTGTGATGCAGCCAGGTCTAAGCCCCCACTCAACTGTCAGCCCAGGGGTAGAGCACTTGCTTAGTATGCTCAAGGCCTTGGGTTCAATCCTCAGCACCATGAATGCTTACAGACAAAATAATGAAGTGGAGAGATGTAGTGTGTGATCCTTCCTTAGCTGACACCCTCCCAGCCTGCCTCCAAGGATCCATTCCCCAGGTGAACCAGAGGATCACTGAGATGGACCTGAGTACCAACTCGATGGCCAACAGCCTGGTGAGTTACAGGCACTGGAGCTGAGACAAGGGTTTGGGGAAGGAAGGGTCCCTCCATCTTCACTGTAACAGGTCTTACAGTACTTGAGGGGGGTCTCGTTCATTTGGAAGCATATTTGCACAATTTAAGTTTCAAAGGTTTTAAAAATTCACAGCATTTTTTAAAAGAGAAATTTAACATTCACAACCAAATTGAGTAGAAAGTGCAGTTTTCCTTATGCCTCCATCCCCAACATTGTACATCTCAGTTGTTACAGCCGCTGAGGCTACATTCACACACCACATCACCGACACCCATGATTTATACGAGCATTCGCCCTTCTATGAGTCTGGTCCAGTATGATATAATGGACATAACGATGTGGATCTACCATGGTAGTGCTGTACTTATAAAACTCCTCTGTGTGCTGCCTGCTCTCACTCCCTACCCCCAACCCCGGCCACCTCTGATCTTTTCAACATCTCCATAGTTTTCCCTTTCCTAGAATGTCATAGAATTGGAATAATACGGTACATGTGTTGCTTTTTCAGCTTGGCTTCTTTCACTTAGTAATACGCATTTAAGGTTCCCTTTGTCTTTTATGGCTTGATAGCTCTTTCTCTTTAGCATTCAATAATATTTCATTGTCTGCATGGTTTATTTATCCATGCAGCCTACTTGAGTATCTTAGTTGCTACTAAGTTTTGACAACTCTGAATACAGCTGCTGTAAACATCCCTGTGCAGGGTTTGTGTGGATGTCTGCTCCCTCTGGTAAATTCTAAGCACATTTGCTGGATCTTGTAGAAAGGGTATGTTTAGCTTTGTAAGAAACCACTAACTCTGTTCCAGAGTGGCCTCACCAGCCAGACGTGATGATATACTCCAGTAAATCCCAGCACTTGGCAGGCTGAGGCAGGAGGGTTGGGAATTTGAGGCCAGCCTAAGCTACGTAATGAGACCCTGTCTCAACAAAACAAAACAAAAACCAGAGTGGCCTTACCATTTTGCCTTTTACCAGCAATGAATGAAAGTTCCTTTAGCTCCCTGTCCTCACTGGCATTTGGTGTATTATGGATTTTGGTGTTCTACTGTGTATGTAGTGCAATCTCATTGTTATTTTAATTCACATTTCTCTGATGACATGTGATTCGGAGGATCTATTCCCATGCTTATTCACCATCTGAATGTCTTCTTTGCTAAGGTATCAGTTAAGGTTTTGGACCCATTTTTGAATTGGGTTGTTTTCCTACTGCTGAGTTTTGAGAGTTCTTTGTATATTTTGGGTAACAGTCATTAACTGGCTATGTCTTTTGCAAATTTTTTTCTCCCCGTTTATCGATTGTCACTTCATTGACCTGACAGTGTCTTTGGCATGGCAGAAATTTTTTATTTTAATGAAATGCAGCTTATTAATTCCTTCTTTCATGGACTGTGCTTTGGTGTCATATCTAAAAAGTGATCACCAGTCCCAAGGTCATCTAGGTTTTCTCCTGTGCTGTTTCCTAGGGCTTTTATAATTTAGCATTTTACTTTGTTTTTTGGGTTTTTGGTGACAGGGTCACACTGTATTGTTCAGATTGGCCTTGAACTCACTATGTAGCCCTGGATGGCTTTGAACTTGTGGCAATCCTCCTGCCTCAGCCTCCTGAGTGCTAAGATTACAGGTGTGGACCAGCATGCCTGGCCTGGATTTTACATTTAGGACTATGATCCATTTTGAGTTAATTTTTTGAACCCTGAACTTCTGGCCATTCATTAGTGATAGTTTAGTTTTTCCTGCTGGTTCCTGTGGAGGTTTCTGCTCAAGTGAGTTTCGATTTTCTGTATCTGCCTGTCTCTCCCATTTGGGGACAGTAATTTGCCCTATGACTTCAGTTCTCCAGAAGATCTAAGATAAGTTGTTTCAGTTTCTTCAGTCTTTTACTTGTTAGGACAGAGTTTTGGCTTCTGAGCTCTTTATACGTTTGACTGTAAACCAGAAGTCTGAAGGTTAATTTTGATTCATTTTGGGGGGGCAATATTGGGAGTTAAACTCAGGGCCTTAGCATGGAACTATACCTTGATCCTTTCTTATTTTGAGACAGGGTCTCATTAATTCACTAAGTTGCCCAAGCTGGGTGTGAACTTGTGGTCTTCCTGCCTCAGCCTTCCAGGGTGCTGGGATTACATGTGTGTCCTGCCACACCTGGCTTTATTTTAGAAAATATAAAATAAGACCCCCAACAATTCCCTCTGGTGTCTTGCTTTCTACCAAGTTCCCCTGCCTGTAGGGTTCTGACCTCATGATTTGCCATCACAATATTAGCTCCCTGTTCACCACCACTTTTCTAGTACTGGATTTTGGGATCTGTTCAGCTTTTGAGTAAATCTTTTTGTTAGATTTAAAAGTGTTGAATACAGGGTGATGCATGCGTGTACATAAGTAAAAGGTCAAAGTCACCTTTCCCCATTCTCCTCCTTAGGAGTAACCATTGCTAACCATATGCATGTGTCCTTTCAGGATTTTTTTAGGTTATTATTTCCATATATTTTGGGATTGTTGTGTGTCTCTCTTTGTCTCCCTCTCTTCCTCCCTCTCTCTCTGTTTCTCTTAATATAACCAGAATCACACCATAAATATTATTTTATAATTTACATTTGTTTTCTCTTATTCATTCATTCATTTTTAGCATAAATACCTTGGAGATATTTTCAAAATCAGTAGTATCTATCTGCCCATTCTTTTCATGCCTGCATAAAGTTCTATAGGTTGGATATGGCATAAGTTAAGTATTCCTACATGATAAATGTTTCAGTGACATTTTGAACATAGTGAACATGTGACTATTTTGATGCATTTACCTTAGGGGTCATTTGCAAGTATTTCTGCACAGCAGAGACCTAGATATAAAATTTTTAATTTTGATACATATACTGTAGTCAAATAGGTTTTCATACAGGTGAAGCCATTCTTTACTGCTGCAGGAGAGAGACCTCTAGCCTCAGTCTCTCTACCCCACCATTGAGTACAGTTTAGAATTAAATTGTGGATAAAAGCAAAGCACACATGCACACTATTTGGAATGATTCCACGTAGGTTAAAAAGCACTCTCCATATCTGAGTGTTTATCTGTGGGAGAGAAGGCAGGCTCCAGGGTAAGGCTGTGGGAGTTTAAATTCCTGCTCTCATGTTCTTTCACATTGTGACATGCAGTAGGCGACTTAACCCTCGATGTCCCGTAAAAGGTATGACAACGACATGTCTACCTACTGGGGTTGTTGCTGTGTCAGATGAGTCAGAGCTCATGCAGCCCTTAGTCCAGGACTCAGAGGAACACCTGGCTCACAGCTGGACCATGCTCTGTGCATCAGTGCATAGGGGGGTCTGGATAGATTGGCACCAAGCAATCAGGGTCAGCTCTGGAAAAGAGAGTGGGGTAGTAATGGTGTAAAGTTTCCACTCTATATTATAGTACTTCTGTGTATTTGGATATTTTAAAACAATAATATATATGTCACTTCTGTGATTTTTTAATAACAGTTTTTGGGTTTTTTTAAGCCAGGAAAAGGAATGAAGTTACCCTCCCAGAAGCAGGGATCTGGTGGACAACTGCCCAGCACAGGACTAGCTCCTTGGGTGTTGTTTGTTTGTTGTTTTGAAATGAACTCTTGCTGTACTGCCCCACTGGCCCCAAACCCATCCACCTCTCGCCCCAGTCTACCATGAGGTGGCATTATAGGCACATGCCACCATGCCCGGTTCTTAGGTGTTCTTGATTTCCAGTCAGAACCAGGACAGGGCTGTCAAGAGCCTCAGTCACTCCCACTGTGACCCAAAGGAAGGTCTCCTTGCCTGTCCCTTTTGCTCCTCTGCCCAGGCAGTTGGCCAGATCTGCTGATACCTGCAACCAGCTAAGTGTATCCCTGGGCCACCCTGTGCACCCTCTTTGGACCAGAATTTTCTATGACCTTTATATACTGGGCCTCCACTGTGTGGCCTCTTCTCCCTCAGTGCCAGACGGCTTTCTCAGCATCCATTCCATGCTGGTAGATGGCACCCAGCACCTGGTGCAGAGATGACTTTGCTATCCAAGCACGATGCTGGACTCTTGGTTGACAATCAATACAACTCTAGGTCACTGGTGTTCATTTTTCTTTCCTTCCTTTTTTTTTTCTTCCTTTTTTTAAGGGGTATGGGGTGGGGTGGAGGGAATCAGATATCAAAGGACTCAAAAGGTCAAGGGTATGGTGGTTAATAATTTCACGGTTACACCTGAGTGAGCAACCCTATCTGATAACCTCTGTTAGTGTTTCAAAATGCATCAAATACTTTATCTCTGATCATTAAAGGATCCTGGAAGGTAGATGTATCGCTGACACTCAGGGAGGATTTCACTGATGCAGGTAGCTCTGGGCTATAGAAGGAAGGTAGGAGGGACCAGATACAGACTTTGCCCCAGACCTTTCGGGTACCCAAAGAGTGGGTCCTCCCACTCTCCTCCAATATTTGCATCAATCTCTAATGCCCCATTTTTTTCTTCTGGTTTTTTAAGGCAATTGAGAGATTTGAGTTGGAGAAGAAGGCTTTAAGAGAGAAAAGTCACAGCAGCCCAGGAGACAGAGGCAAAAATCTTTTCTCATAGCCTTGAAAGTGTCTTCATGGGGTTTGATTGTTTTTATTTTTATTTTTAAAATTTTTGTTGTTGTTTTTGCCATGCTAGGGATCCAGCCCAGGACCCTGCACACGGTGGACAAGCAGTGTACCATTGAGCTACATCCCCAGTCTTGATTTTTAAAATTTTTGAAGTGCAGTTGAGTAGGGACCCTGAGTTCTACATGAGGATATTTTTATCCTCTTCTGATGGAGCCTTAAGTCTGACTTCTTGATCTTGGGCAAGAAAGGAGGAAGGGACAGTACCATCTAGGGATCAGCTACTATGTAATACATTACACCAAGTCAGCTAGGGAGGGGGATCTTAGTAAGTGAGCAACGAAGTTGGGATCTAGTGACACCAGAAGGCTGAGTGGTGTCACCTGGCAGCTCAGGGGAATGCCAAGTCACAGGGACAGTCACCACCAAGAAGTGGGTAATGCCTGGAGCTCCTCGTTTCTGATTTCTCTTCCTCCTTTATTCTGCAGTCAAGAGACCAAGAAAAGCACAGTACTCCTGCATAGGTGCAGCACTCAGGACCACTAACTTTTCCCTTATAAAGAGGGTAAGGGAGACGGCTCTTTTGCAAATGGGTAGGGGACCAAGATATGGGGATGGGGACATAAAAGGAATTAAGATGTGTTTTGTACATGTACCAGCTCCCCACGATGAATGTAATCATTATGTTTTGCAAACATGTGCTAGTCAGAATAAAAAGGGAAGGGGACTGACATTTGGATATGTCTCTAACTGCCTTCTACTGGCCATGAAATAGGTTCTGTTCCTGGGCAGAAGGACCCTGGCACCTGCATGGTGATTCTGATGCAGTGCGCACAATCTGGACTTACCTCACATCCACCGCAGTGAAGATTCCCCCATGGACTGGGGGTGTAGCTCAGTGGTATGGTTTGCCTAGCATGTGTGAGGCCATAGGTTCAATTCTCAGCCCTAAAAAATAAAAGATTAAAATATTTAAGAAAGATTCTCCTGCTGGGCGAGGTGGGGCACACCTGTATTCCCAGTACTTGGGAGGCTGAGGCAGGAGGATCGCCAGGAGTTCGAGGCCAGCCTGGGCTACACAGTGAGTTCAAAGCCAGGCGGAACTATATAGTGAGACCCAGGTCATATGCACCCAAAGCTTTACATGCTGGAGAGTATGAAGTAGTATGTTACTGTTATCCTTTTATACCTTTTAGCCTAGCAAATTCCAAAGCAGCATGAAGTCTAATGTTTGAGGTTGTGTTGAAATTGTCTTGCTCTCCATCCTTGGTGGCTGAGCAGATGTAAGTGTCCTGCCCACGGTGGCACAGCTAGGAAGTGGCAGAGCTACCATGTGACTCTGGATCAAGGCACTGAATCACCAAGCTGCCCTGCCTTTGCTAATCACCATAGTCTGTTAGAAGATAATTCTGTCTCTCACAGTGTTTCCAGGAGGTGCCTTGGGGGAATGGTAATTAATTCCCTCTTTTTACTTTTCTGGATTTTTACTTGTTTTTTTGGTACCGGGGATTGAACTCGGGACCTTGCGCTTTTGAGGCAGGCGCCGGAACCACTGAGCTAAATCCCCGGTCCTTTACATTTTTTAATGAATACTACATGTTAGTTTTGTTTAAAAACCAATTTAATGTAATATATTGAGTATCGTATTGTCATATCCTTTGATCCAATTTTACCATTTTGAGAAAATCATGCCAAATAAATGACTTGCAGGTCAGGGGTGCCTGGGGACTATAAACTCCAAGTTATTCATGACTAATATCTATTGGACACAATCAGTGAGTAATTAAATTGTAGTATTTTAAATGATAGTTTTGTTTTTTGTTTTTTTGGGACAGGGTCTCGCTATTAGCTCGGACTGGCCTTGAACTCACTATGTAGCCCAGGTTGGCTTGGAACTCATGGCAATCCTCCTGCTTCAGCCTCCCAAGTGCTGAGATCACAGTCGTGCGCCACCACGCCCGGCTTAAAATGATAATTTTGAAGACTGAAGCTGGATGAAAAACCTAAAGTAGATAAAGCAGGACATAAATGTGCGTGTGTGTGTGTGTAATGAATAAAGTCACATATATATGCTGGGCATGGTGGTGCACACCTGTAATCCTAGCCCTTAAGAGACTAAGGCAGGAGGGTTGCCATGAGTTCCAGGCCAGCCTGGGCCACATAGTGAGTTCAAGACCAGCCTGGACTACATAGTGAGGCCCTGTCTCAAAAAAAAAGAAAAGAAAAGAAAAAGAAAAAATTACATATACATATTTGGATACCTTTGCTCAAAGCCTTTAAAGGAAAACAGAAATAATGTAAATAGATATGTGGTAATAGATACTGGAACCATGCAGCCTCATTTTCTCAGGGTCTGTAACACTGTTCCGCTGCCTTTGTAATAAAAAGGCGGAAGAAATCCCATTATCCTAAACTGTCAGAATCATAAAACCCATTTTCATTTTTTTTGTCCATTTCTTTTTTGCTTCAGAAAACTGCAGATAAAAATCTGCTGGCTGAGCTGTACCAGCCCCCCCCCCCCAGTATAACGACACTAGGCCCAACAAGCTCCCCAATGGGGTGCACTTCTGTGACATTGTGGGCAACGTGGTCCGGGCTGAGAAAAACCCACTCAGTGGCAAGATAAGGACAGGGAGTGGGCTGCTCGCCCAGCCTGAGGAGCTCCCCTGGGGCCACACGCTCCGCTCCGGGGGATGGAGCTGAGCTGGGAACCCCGGCCCAAGTTCACCCCAAATCCTAGATGCCGCTTCCCAGGGCGGTATATCTGGGGTCTTTTGATCACGTGCCCTGCAGCTCCCGCACAGGTGCCGCTGTGGCTACATCAGAGCTGTGCTCCATTGCCCCGGGGTAAGCTTGGCTTCGTTTCTTTCTGAATCAGACATGAATTAGAATTCTTCCTGTGCCCCGGGGTGAGGACACTGCCTCGAGAGCTGTGCACTCGCACACCGGGGACTTAGGAGGGCAGAACGTCACTGAGGGACTCTGCATGTGCACACGAAATGAACACAGGAGATGCGGGTGATTGTCAGGAGGTCCAGACCGGGCAGACACCCCGGAAATGGTCTTGGCAGCTGTACCCTGAGCCTCTTCATCCTTCATGACCATGTAACTCTTGTGTCTCCAAAGCAGCTCTGGTGACAGGGAACATCTCAGACTGCTCCTTCCTTCTTCCTGTCCTCCTCATGCTCCTTTAGCCACCATCGTTATACCACTTCTCCCTTCTCTCCTTTCCTTCTGCCTGGCTGGGTCTGAGGCTGAGGAACAAAGTGAATGGATGAGGAACAAAGCCTTCAGTAAATGTTCCACGTCATATTGTGACAGTGAGAGCTTTGGGCTCAGGCCAAGGTTCAAGACTCTGTTATGGCCACAGAAACTAAATTTTCTGCCATTCTGAACTCACAGATAATTGGCTTAATCTTGGAATCCCATGGGCTTATTTCTAACTGAGCCACATCTTACAGTGAAGTCATTTTGTTATTGTTGCTGTTGTTTTGTTTTGTTTTTTTGTTTTTTTGAGACAGGGTCTCACTATGTAGCTCAGGCTGGCCTGGAACTCACGGCGATCCTCCTGCCTCGGCTTCCTGAATGCTGGGATTATAGGTGTGCACCCCACACCCAGGTTCAGCACAGTCACTTGTGTTTGTAGAATATCTGAACATTAGTGGATACTGGTTACTGCTAACAGAACAAACACAGGACATGAGAGCCCAGGGAAGCTGGTGAGGAGCAGCTGTCTAGAGTCACAGGTTCCAACCTGCTCTGTGCTCCCGGCCGTGTTATTTTAGGCAGATGCCGTCAGCTCTTTGGCCCTAGGTGCCCTCCTCTGAAAATCTTGGTCTCCTACACTCTGAGGGTAACTCGTGCTCATAAGAGGGCTGAAGTGGAAGGAGAGCAGGTAAACTCCTGACTCAGGGCCAGGCAGTCACAAGCACTCCCCGAGAGGCGAGGTGCCTTTCTCTGAAATATGAGGACTCCGAAGGTGACCAGTGGGAAGATGGGGCCCTGGACGGTAACAGGATGCAGGACGCAGGAGAGAAGGCAGGTTTTGTGTGAGGATGATTATGAATCTAGCTGTGACCCTGAATGAATGAAAGAAAATCAATAATAATAATGTGGATTTTTTTTCCCAAGTCTTTATGTTCAGATGCAGAATTGGAGAAGTTTCTCTCTTCTCCTTCTTTCAGAGCAATATGGCTGGATAGCTTTTGGTGGATATTTCATGAAAGATACCAGGTAAATGCAAATCCAATTGTTTTTCTCCTTGCTATAGTTATTTTCTACAGAACAAATTTCAACTTTGTTTTTGTTTTTGTTTTTTTGATACAGGGTCTGAGTATGTAGCCCAGGCTAGCCCCGAACTCTCAGCCCTCCTGCAAAGGCTTTTGAAATTCCAGCCCCTTTAACATGCACTATGACCTCTCCCCCATTTTAGGGATCACCCCTGCCAACTTATTTGTCACCCCCTCCCTTCCCCACTCAGGTCTTACTCAAGCTCCAGCTCAAGCTCCAGCCATTACCCAATGTCCTGTCCCCAGCTCGAGCTTTACGAGCTCTGTATCACATGGTTGGTCAAAGGGCAGGGCTGGGAATAGAACTCAGGACCTCCTGGCCCAGGGTTAGGTCCTTCCTTCAACAATACTCTGCCTCTAGGTGAGGTACTATTTCATAAGCTGTATGAAGCTGAATAGTTTAAGTATGAGATCCCTGGAGGGCTGGGGATTTAACTCAGTCACAACTTGCCTGCCTTGCAAGTACAAGATCCTGAGTTTGATCCCCAGTACCGCAAAACAAACAAACAAACAAACAAACAAAACAAAAAAGAATAAGATCCCTGGAGCTGAGAGAAATTCTTGAAGAATACCAGCCCCTTGGCTTTTCCAACAAGGGACTCAGAGTAATTCCTTCCCTTCTATTCTGGGCAGCCAGACAAGGAGATACAGAATAAGCTGTTTGACCACATCGCACGACACTATACCTTCCTTCTGTTCCGTGGGCCCAGGTCTCATTATGAAGAGGCACTCTTAAAAGTGAGCAAGATTTTCTGCTTAGAAAAACATGACATTAGGTTTCTATTCACTTCTAATGCCAAGAGAATGCTGTAAACATTCTTCCTGTAAAGGAGAAATTAATAAGTTGTGATATTATCTGTATGCTGACTTATAATACTGCAGTTACAAAAATAGAACAGAGCTCTGTACACTCACTGGGAAAGACATGATATATTTTAAGTGAAAAACCAAAGCAATCTATGTAACTCTGTGTTCAGTACATATACTTACGTACAGGCTAGCACTGCCTAACATGAGGATTTGGCCAATGAGAGATTGTGTATTGTGGCAGTGGCTCTGTGAGAGATCACCCAAGATGTCACAGCCATCTCAATTTGCTTACACACACTCAGCAATGTCTACACAGTGACAAGACCTCCTAGCGACAGCCTTCTTGGGATGAATCCCTATTGCTAAGTGATGGGTGACTGTATATGAATGTCTCTATGGACAGGAAAACAATCTGGAAAACAAATTTACCAAACTCTTAGCAATGGTTATCCCAGGGGAGTGAAGTTAGAAGATTTTCCTTTTCTTTTTTATGTCTTTTGGTAGTATTTAAGTAAGCTTGTAATATTAAAATTAAAAGTGTGTGTATATACCAGAATATACTTTATATATGTATGGATTACATAATATGTGCACTAAAGGATTGCTATACATAGTGAAATCTTACATGATTCAGGAGTAAAGAAGAAAATTCTAAATAGGACCTGGAGGAATAAGCCATAAAGGAAAATACTGATAAATTTATAGATATAAATACACATTTTAATTACTGTGGACGTAATTGCTATGAACACAGTTAAGAGGCAAATGACAAACTATGCAAAACTACAAGCGACATATATGTTACATGACATAAATAATTTACAAATCAATAAGAAAAAATTAGGCACCCTGTAGACCAATGGGCAAAGTACATAACTTAGAAATTCCTTAAGGAAGAAGTATGAATGGGGGAAAAGGTTCACCCTTAACAATAATCAAAAATGCAAATTAAAACACTAGTCATTCAAAATCTCTTTTACCTGTTAGGTGACCTAGATTCACAAGTACAATTTCCAGAGTGGTCAAGGAGGGAGGAAAACACCCTTCTTCCAGTGTGGGTGGGAAGTGGATCCATACACTCACACTGGAAAACACTTAATATTACTTTAGTGCTGGCTAAACAAGACATCTAGGCTTTGTGTGCCTTGCTGCATCACCCATAAGATGGAAATAATAATACCACTCTGAGTTGTTCTAAGGATTAAATGAGATGCTGTTTTAGTTGTGTGTGGTGGTGTATGCCTGCAATCCCAGCACTTGGGAGGCTAAGGTAAGAGGATCACTGCAAGTTTGAGGTCAACCTGGGGTACATAGTGAGTTCAAGGCCAGCCTGAACTACATAGTGAAATCCTATCTAACCCACCCCACCCCCTGCAAAAAAAAAAAAAAAACCAAACCAGAACAAAAAAACCTGTAAGAAGAGCTGCCTTCATTCATGCACTCATTCCCTCAGATTTTTGACTTTCAATAGCAACATCTGTTGATGGAGGATGTTTAAGTAAATTTGAGTATTTTGCCCACACAGTATAATATTACAAAGATCACTACTAGGGGAAAAAAATTTGATTTTATAGCAATGCAAGGAAGTGCTTGTATTACAGTATTAAATGAGTGAAGCCAGCTATCCATGTACAATTAGAGCTCAGCCATGGTTATGAAGCCTCAGTGTAATGGGGCATAGTGGTGTTTGCCTATAGACCCAGCACTAGCACTGGGGAGGCTGAGCCAGGAGGAGGCAGCTCAGGTCAGGAAAGGATTTTATCATAGATCCTTTCTGGTTTCATGATTCTTTTCTTGGGGCAAAAATGCAGAGAACATTGCCTGATCTCCACTTGCCCCCAGAGGCTGCCGTTTCTGCTGAGCAAAGCCGTGTATACCAGCTTCTGCTGCTGCTTCCCGCAGTCCTGGTTCAACACTCATGAATTCAAGTCGGACATCTGCAACACCATGAACCTGTGGATCACAGGTGAGAAGTGACCTTCTCCTCCCAGGGAAAGCAATTCTGGAAAAACTTTTTTCCCTGGAGCCTAGGTACATTCTTATTTGCCACATACCCCTACATCAAGGCAATCTAACATTAAAGAGAGAAAAGTGTATGGTTACAGCCCCAAGGAAAGCCAGATGTGATGGTGCATGCCTGTAATACAGGCACTCAGGAGGCTGAGGGAGGAGGATTGCTGTGGATTTGAGGCCTGCCTGGGCTACATAGGGAGTTCAAGGCCAACCTGAACTACATAGTGAGACCCCATCTCAAACAAAACAAAACTGACCCAAGAAGTATGAATTTTCCTGTTGCCTCAAAATGGCTGTCGGACATCCCTTCCTAGTCCACTTCATGACCCCCAGCTACGTCTGCAGGGAACATGGAGTCCTTTCTTAACAAGATACCGAGATTTAGCTCCACCCTGTTAGTTAACCATGCGGCATGGGCTTATGGACCACAAAAAAGCGTGCTGATTAGACAGTCTCTCGCTCCCCTGCCACAGGACCCAAGTAGGTAACGTATCAACCTCCTTCCAGCACCCACCACGCCAGCCTTCTCAGCCCCCTTCAGTCCTCCTCTCGCTGCCTGGTTCACCTAGACACTTCCTAAGGTCATTAAACGCTGTTTATTGTGAGGTTCCTGTGTTCTACATTCTGTGTTAAGAAAGCACTTGTACACTTCCTATTATCTTGGGGGACCCGAGATCCCTTCATGCTAGATTTGCAAGAAGAACTTGCAGATCTCAGTATAGAGGTGCAGTCATGGCTGAGCTTTCTCACAGAGGTGGAGAGAGGTGCAGGGCCAGGGCATGGGGCACAGGGTGGTTTGGAGGATCCATAGTCTCCCTCCCACCCACAGGTGTCACTTGGCCTGCTTCTCCCCCTGCAATGATGCAGTGACTCGTGTGTGATTTTTTTTTTTTTTTTTGTATCGGGGATCGAACTCAGGCCCTTGCGCTTGCGCAGCAGGCAGCGAAACCACTGAGCTAAATCCCCGGCCCCATGTGTGATGTTTGTGCCCAGGGAAACCCACTAGAGATGCAGTGGCCAAGGTTTCCATTAGTGGTCGTCATGGAGACACCCATGTCTGTCCTGCATTGTCATTCCGGGAGAGCAGGTGTAGTTAGGCATGGGGTGCCGACTCTGCAGCAGAGAAAGTTTGAGTCAGCATAAGGAGCTGTTTACCAGCCAAGTTCTCAGATGCCAGTCAACGGGAGCCTTATAGGCCTTTCTAAGGGTCACAGTGTCAGGCCTGCTGCATTAACTTTTCTCAGCACAATCTTTCTCAGTTAATCTTCTTAACATGGAGGACCACAGAACCCCAACAGCCAACAAATGAGGGCAGGAGTTAAGACCCCAGCCTGGCCTACTTCACAGCTAGGGCTCTGACCACTGCGCACTCCATCTTCCGTTCCCTGGCCCTCTTCTTAATCCTTCTTCCAGTTCTCTTTTTTCTTCAGGGTGGCACCTCCTTCCCCCAACTCATCCCCAGTAATAAACCTCCTGCCCACTTCCTTTCCAGTGGAACCTCCTGCTCTGCCCCTATCCAACAGAGCTGGTGGCTAGGCACAGTGGCTCAAAATTCTCAAGTAACCCTGGGAAGCCTCACCACGAAATGGTAGGGAGAAGCCACTTCCGGCACTCAACTAAAAGTGTCACGATGCATTCAACAAACACTTGCTCGGCACCTGCTTACTCTGCGCCAGGCCCAGCAGGAGGTCCCAGAAGCACAGAGCTGAGCAGGCTCCAGGCCCTGCCTGCGGGACCTCAGGGTCTAGCAGCAGCAGGGGAGATGCATGGGAAACAAATAACCACAGCACCTGCACATGTCGCTGTCACATACCTTGTGACTTGAGCCTCACACCATCCGTCAAAACAGGGAAGGTGAAAAAACAAAACAAAACAAAACAAAACAAAAAAACAGGGAAGGTAGCATCATTCCTCATCCAGACAAAGAAACCATGTTGTCGGTTTGATAGCCCAACCAGTTACTGAGGGATGAGGGTACAGCAGGAGATGAAAGAATAATACACAAAGAACAAGGAATAGAGAATAATCAATGACAGTATATTACTTGGGAGGGGGTGGGAGCTGATCTTTAGCTCTCTCCTGGCTAAAGACCACCTGATCTCAGCTCTGTCCTGGCTATGACCACGAGCTCTGGAGTAGTCAGTCTTCATCATTATACAACATAGCAAGGGGAATGAAGGCAAATGTAGGGAATAGAACTAATGCACTTAAGGAGCCAGGCTTGGAAAAAGGGAGTAACTGTGTATACTTGTGAAGGACAGGTCACAGTTAACAAGGCCCATGTGCTATCTCACAGATCATAACTAATGAGCCACTTTGTTACCTTTTGCTAACATTTGATCTTGGAGAATGGTTCCTTGCTATAGAGACATCACAACCTCTTTGATCACTGAGATCTCAGTTGTGACTGTTGCCATAGGGAAGTCTATCTCTGTATACCAGCTGAAAGGTCAACTAGCAATTCACACTTAGGCCTTGGAGTGACCCATAGTTTTAATCAATAGCCAAATTCATAAACCAAATCAATAATATTTAAGCCTGCTCAGAGCAGTTTCAAGCTGGTCTCCTACACCATTGGAGAAGCCATGAGTCGCCCAAGGCCAGTGAGGGCTGGGGCTGGCACTGTGCCCAGGACCAGCAGGGGTCCTGAGGCCTCAGCCTCCGCTGTCCTGGGGAACTGCTTCCCTTCTCTTTGCAAAAGTGCTCATTATCCATTTGGACTTTTCTCAGGGATGAATGCTTGCCCACAGAACTATAACAGCTGGGACTACTCTGAATTGGATCCAGAGAGATTCCGGAGAGAAGAATTAATGCTGCAGAGAAGACTCCTGATAAAGAGTGAGATACCCTTTCTGACCTCCTGTCCCCTCTGTCCCTGCCACATCCAGCCACCTGTCATGGAGGCCGGGGTGGGGGCTGTGATGTGGATGTCCCCAGCTCAGGCTCCCCCTCACAGCCCCCATCAAAATGACTGACATGCCAGTGCTTCTCAACTACAGTTAAGAGTCCACACCACATAGCTGTTGGGAGACAGGGGGTGGGATTTTATTCAAATAGTAGATTTCTGTTAGTGGGTGTCTACAAAATGCCCACAACAATGCTGGGTTCTCTTTTAGTTCATCTTCACGACAACCTATGTAGGACACACTAAACCCATGTCACAGATGAGAAAACTAAGATGAAAGGGAGCAACTTCCCCAAGATCAACTTTTTTTGTTTTCAGTACTAGGGATTGAACCCAGGGATTTCCCGCTGAGCTATGTACCCAGCAACCCTTTTTACTTTTTATTTTGAGACAAGGACTCACTGAGTTGCTAAATTGCTACATTGCCCCGGTTGAGCTTGAATTTGCAACCCTCTTGCCTCAGCCTCCGAGAGTGGTGGGACTACAGGTGTGTGCCACCATGCCTGTCTGAAAAACCAACTTTGCAGGAGTGGTGACAGTCATTTGAAAGGTGGCAACTCCCCGCCCCCCTGCATTGGTGAGTCCGAGAAGCTGGGCAGGTGCTGTGTGAGAGTTCCAGGGCACCTGGTCTTAGCCAAAGGGCTCAGATGCCAGGTCTGGAAATTATAACAGCCGTCACTATCATCTGCCACTGTTCTAACCATTTACACCCCATTCGCTTTCCTGGTGGCCATCATGCACATGCGGGGATTTTTTTTCAAGGTGGAAAAAAATGCAACCCATAAAGTTGTCTTCAATTTTTTTTGTATATCTTTTTATTGGTGCATTTTAGGTGTACAACATAATGACATTCATCATTGGAGATATGCACCTTTACATACTCTCTCGGTGTGCACCTTCGATAGCTTAGCTGGTAGAGCGGAGGACTGGAGACCTGACAGAGATCTGTGGCCCCTACATACTCTCTCAGTTCTTATTTTTCCCCCTTCCCCTACCTCCCTTCAACCCCTCCATCCCTCCCTATTTACAAAGACTTTGTTTCCATTTTTTCATTTTCTCATATTAGTGGTATATTTTAGGTATACAATATAATGACATTCATCATTGGAA